ACAAATATTTTTTATCCCGTTTCAGCCTCAGTCTAAAAGTTTTACAGGCCACCAGATGCAGCTGTGTTTGCTCAGCTTCTGAATGCTTCACCCGCTCATCACACTCGCTAGCGATTGTCAGCTGATCTGACTGTGTTTGAGGGACTGTTTTGTCCCACAGATGAGTCAGAGGAGGAAGAGGAAGGACGGGATTATCTTCAAATGGGTGACATAGGGACTCCAGAAGAAATGAAATGTGAAAGCAGGTGAAATGGAGCGTTTAGAAGAAAGGAGTGAATAGAAGATGAGTAAAGGGAGCACAGATGCCAGAAGTAAATGTAAAATGTTCTTTATGATGATCTTTAGAGGAGGACGGCGGTGACCATGAAGGAGCTGAAATCCGTAAAGTAAATTAGGGATGTAAACTAGTCCTTTAAAGCTGATGAGGAGACGTTTTGTTTTGGATTTTGACGTGCAAATGAAATGCTTAGTAATTATCCAGAAATCCCATAGAAAAAACGTTTATTCAGAGATTCGATAATGGTTTTATAATCGCAGCCCTCTGAATCGTAGTGAAACGCAGTCATGAGGTGCTGAGAGATTCCCGCCTCCAGTGATGATCAGAAACTGTTACACCATATTTCTACCGTACCTCGTTATGTGACTTAAAAACAGTAACATCAGAAAAGTTTTGCCTCTTTTTAGTTGCCAGGAGTGAAAATGAGTGATCTTCAACGTTTGTTGTGTTTTGGATTAACTCCAGCTGGAGAACAATTAATCAAAACAGATTGGAGCTCTGCAGGACGATTATTTTCCAAAGCAACGTTCATCTTTTTCCCAGACAGTATGTAGACTTTTAGGCAGTCTGTCATCTCAAACAGCAGGAAAAATAGTGCATTAAAGAGGGTGCATGGCCCCGGACCCCTCTAGGTTTGGCCACGCCTCCGCCTCTGCTTTAGACTGAACCTCAGAAGACATACTGCTGACTAACGTCAGGAGGGTGTCAGAGGAACCTAATTCTTTGTGCAAAAAGGGGCCCAGTTTATTCTTTAATGAGGAGCTTCACATATATGCAAATCATGCACTGTGTCAGGGGTCAACTTTCTGTCCTTCTAGAGGATCCTGGGACAGAAAATAAAGCCCGGGATGAGATTCTTTGGACAGGCTATCGATGGGGACGTCGGCCCCGGAGAGGACGGACTCCCAAACATTGTGGTGGGATCACAGGACATGGCTGTTGTCTTGAGGTATGAAAAGTGAATGTAGGTAAGCAGTGAATGTTTCTCAACAAACAGACAAATGGTGTCTCAGACGGATTCATCCACAGAACACAATGACTAAAGTGAAATCCTGGGCTGGAGTTCGTGCATTAGTTATCCTGTCTTACTAATCCCGGGGCCGGCCCTGGCAGTGTTGGAGCCCTAAGCGAGATTTGAAGTTGGCGCCTCACAGTCCCAAACAGACCCGGTTCTTAGATGTTTATATTGCAGAACTCGACCAGTTACGTTAGCACTCTGACCGGACTCACAGCGCGACGTGCGTTTGATTATTATTATTAATGTCGACATTTTGCGCCCTGGGCGATTTCAAAATCCTGCTGCTAGTTTATAAAGCACTAAATGGTTTAGGGCCAAAATACATTTCTGATCTTCTGCTTCGTTACGAACCATCCGGACCTCTCAGGTCGTCTGGGATCAGGTCTGCTTTCTGTCCCCAGAGTCAAAACTAAACAAGGAGAAGCAGCGTTCAGTTATTATGCTCCGTATATCTGGAACAAACTCCCAGATAACTGCAGGTCATTTCTTTTAAATCAAGACTGAAGACTTTTCTTTTCACCGCTGCCTTTAAGTAAAGCCGTAGATTGGTAGCTTTCACTGCTCTGTAACGTCCTGTTTTCTTTGTCTTTGTTTTTAGTTTTTCCCCGGCCAGAGATCAGCAGGTGATTGAGTGAAAAGAGAAAGAGAGTGAGATGATTTGTAAACGCACAAGTGGGTCTAGAGTATAACTGGATCAACGTGACCTGCGGACAGATGTGTCCTGGCTTCTCTGTGGGGTCCGAGGGGTTTTGGGGTTTCCAGCTGATAAGTTGGGTTTGCAGCACGAAGCCTCAGACGTAACATGTCTATGGACCCGAGTCCAGACCAGCTAGAGAGAGTAGACCTTCTCTGTTTATCCTCTTTTCAGAGACAAAAAATAATTGTAACTCAAATTATTTGCTCATTAAGCCCTCAGCCTGTTTTTATTTTCCATTTCACTCTTTTCTAAATGATATTTTAACGTGTTTCTTTTCCTGTTTCCTGTGTTGCTTTTATGTTTAATGTAAAGCACTTTGAATTGCCTTGTGGTCGGCCTGGCTAATGCATGTTAATCCATGTCTTCCAGGTCCAGGCCTGTCTTCAGTGTCTTGGCTCGTCTGTCTTTCCATCCTGAGAAGATAAGCACTGAGACAACTGACTGTCTGGGAAACACTGAGGAAAATAGAGTTCTGCCAATGGTTACCTTAACGGCCTGCTTTGAGCTGGTCGAAACAACAAAGAGCAAAGCAGGTAGGGAAACTGTACGCAGGGGGTTAGAGGTGAGGAAAGGGCCATGTTGGGTTCATCATGACGGACAGTCAGACATCTGGTCTCACTTCGCGTCATCTGATTCATATTTATTTTATTCTTTGTAATCTGAAGGTGGGGAAAAGAATATTGGAGGGTGCAGTTCATCAACAGCCAGAGCTGGTCACTCATTCTGTAGCATTTATCTGCCAGCTTCTTCATTAAAACCGGTTTCTGCTGACGCATGAGGGGTGTAGTTCAAAGTGAAACTGCTTTTCAGCCTGCGGCCAAGTTACTCTTAGCAGAGCCTCGCATTCTTAATAAATTAAGATTCAGCTGACCCTACCAACCCCGATAACCTTCAACCTCCTCAACAGCTGCACATGCTTCTCACCTTGTGGCTAATTGAATCCATTTGGATGCTTTTGCAGGGGCAGTGAACTCAGGGCTGAACATCTCGTGTGCGCTCAGCGTGGATCCAATGAGACAAACGCATCGAGCTTTCTTCAGTCCAACTGATTGGACCGCTAGGAATCTTACCTCAACGCTAAAGCTCAGGGATAAAGACACCTGCTTCAACTACTCAGTCTACAGGCCTGTATGGAGATTTTATAGACAAACTCACCTCCTGTCTCTGTAAATAATCCATACATCCGCCTGCGCACATCTCAGGGTGGTGGTCTCCTCACACCTTAGAAGTGCAGAGGGACTTATTACTTATTACTAATAATAAATGGAGGTTTTGTACCAGTGTGGCATCGAACTCCCACTAAGGCAGAAGCGTTAAATAACCACAGGAGACAGGGATAAAAAACATAACTACATAATAATCTTTATTAGGTAAACAGCAGCTATTCAACAATTGATAGAAAAGGAAGGGGGGGTCCAACAGCGCACAGTTAAACACAGGGCCGGGCTCTTATCTATAATGTTAGAATGTCAGATGTTCATGTTAAACATGACCAAAGCTTTAAATAACGAGGTCAAAGTATTTAAAAGAAACCTCTGTGAGCCCAAACCTCAGATATCCTGCTGCTCTGAACGCTCTGTTTGAAATTTAATAAAAAGATTTCCATATTTGGCTCCAAGCAGAGAGTGCTGGCCACGCCCACAAAGGAACATGCAGTCCCATCCCCGCAGCAACCTGCTAAACACGTAAGACAACGGCCAATCAGAAGACAGTGGGCTTGTTTCAGACAGAGGCTGAAATGAAGGCCTACATGAAGAGCCAGTATAAGACAGAAAAATATTTTTTTGAACTTTAAATCATGCAAAGCTGCCAGAACTACAATCTAAAGTCTCCTTTAAGGCGCATCACTGGAACACATCACGCTAACTGGAGGCACAGACTTACCTGTCAGCAGGCACTGCAGTCCACAGGTCACCAGGTGAAAGGTGAAAAGCCTAAGATCTATGATTAAATCCCCCCCGCTGCTCTCCCTGCCCACACTTTCACTTCTTAGCCGTCAACTTGATTTGTGTCAAAAATAATAGAGAGCTGATGATTTCCATTGAAACGATTAACTGCTGGTTAATGAAGTGCGTCCGTCTGCATTTCCTTGTTTTGTTTTTTGTTCAAAGGCTCAAATCCTCACCAGCCCTCCTGCCCATGTAGCACCTTTCTGTCACATTATTAGAAACTTCTTAGATACAAATCAGCTTCATCACCAGCACTTATTCACGTTTCAGTAATTTTGCTTAATATGTCTTTAAAAATACGCACGGCTCTTCTTTTCCTTCGCAGCAATGTGTGGATGACACATCATCACCGGTCAGCATCAGACTAAACTTCTTCCAAGCTGACAGTGAGAGAGCGAGAGCCGTCCTGGACGTGGACAGCAAAAGGCAGGCTGTTGCTGAGGTACGTATCGTTTGGCTTTTCAACAAATGACACCAACACGTGTGGCGTGCGTAGCTCCCAACCTTTCCTCCATGTAAACACATTCCCCCAGATTACTATGAGCTGTCTGGTCAAATCTAAATGATAAAGAAAAAACATCATGTCATGTCCTCGTTCTGTCTGGACGACCGATTTCTGACTTGCTCTCTGTTTTCAAGTGACCTGAACGCAAACTATAACCATTTTACAGGTTCCCTTTCAAAAGTAAATGTTGAGGAAAGTACACCTGAACTTGGAAGCTGGATTTCAAGTATGTCAAGCAGCAAAGAGAACTGAAATCATATATCAGTATATTGGCACCGTACTGATGAGGGCAACTGTTTGTGTTTTCCTGCAGTACAACCCACTCTCATGCCAACATGTTCGTCTCATCAAATCATTGTAATCATGCATATAATAAAGGTATAGCTCCAATGTTTCCATGGATACTGTATATACGATACGCGGTGATTTGATATGTGTGTACTGGCCTACTTTAAAATTCACCAACTGAAACACAATATGAAGGTTATTTCTCATGAAAGAAGACGACCTTTCTGGATCCAGAGTCGGGAAGACGACTTTACTTTCACTAAATTTACAGCAGTTTGATAAACTGTCATTATTTACATCCTTAAAACTCAGGAAGTCTTTAATTCACTGGTTCTCTGTTAGATCAGATATGACAACTTCATGTTAAACATATCAGCAGAAACAACACAATGAAAACTACAACATTTAGTCATCAGCATCACCATCACCATCATCATCATCATCTATCTCTGTTGTTCTACAGTCACAAAGACCTTCGCTGGTAAAACCTTCAGTGGGAGTTTATCCAAAGTGTAAATATATGGAAACATCCTGTCAGTGAAAGTGTGTGTGAAGGTGTGTATGTGTGTGTTAGTATCAGGATCAGAGAACGACAGCTTTCCTCTGTTCCAGTCCAGATTCACTCTGATCCTCTGGAGCTTCTTCTGCACGCTGAGAACAGTGGGTCGAGCTGATGGTGACTGAGCTGAGTATTTACCTCTATAGAACCATATTCTCCATAATCCAGACCGTATGTCTTTCTTCCTCTGGACAGACTCTGCTAACACACCCAGTTCCCAGTCTGTATTGTCTCCAACCTCGACATCCCAGCTGTGAGTCCCTGAGTTAAAGCCCTCAGAGCCCAGGACAGAGTAGTAATGATCAACCCTCTCTGGATTGTCAGGAAGCTGCTGTCTCTCTCCTCCTCGTCTCACACTGGTCAGATCTTCAGACAGGATGAGTTCTGGATCAGCAGTGTTTGGGTCCAGAATGAGAGGAGTGTGGGAGACCATGTCCTTCATCTTGTTCCAGATGTTGAAGGTCAGGTTGCCCAGGTGTTTGGCCTGGTCTATCAGAGCTCCTGAGGGCAGCTGTGGATCATCCAGCAGGGGGCGCTGCTGGACTCTTTCCACTGCAGCCTTGTAGTTGAGCAGGAATGAGACGTCTTCAGCTCTCAGCTCCTCCTCTGTGGCTCTGACTGTGTCTGAAAGAGCTGCTATCTGTCTGCTCAGAGCCTCCATCTTCTCCTTCATCATCTGACTCTTCTGCTCCTCTTCCTCCCTCAGTGCAGCCATCCTGGCCTCCTCTTCCTCCTCTAGAAACTGCTGAAGCTTCTTAAACTGCTCCTTAATCTGCCTCTCTGTGTGTCGGGCCTGGACCTTCATGTGTTCTGCTGTTTGATCAAACTCCACTTTAACTCGTTCACAAACCTTTAACTTCTCCTTTAAGGGCTCCAGAGTTTCCTGAAGTTCCTTCTTGTGTTGTCGTGCAGCTTCATTGATGGGTCTGAATCTGTGGTTGATGTGTTTTTCTGAGTCTCTGCAGACGACACACACTGGCTGCTGATGGTCCAGACAGAAGAGTTTGAGTTTCTCAGAGTGCAGACTGCAGAGAGCCTCTGAAGCTCTCTGATCTCTCTCCTGTAGGAAACTCTCACACAGGCTCTTTAATAAAAAGTTAGTATGTGGATGATCCTTTGAATGTCTCCTCTTACAAACTGGACAGTCCTGACTTCCTCTCTCTGTCCACCAGCTCTGCAGACAGCCTTTACAGAAGCTGTGGCAACATGACAGGATGACAGGATCTTTAAAGATGTCCTGGCAGACAGGACAGCAGAGATCTTCCTCTAATCTGGAAGCCATTTAGTCTCTGAGTGAAGCTGAAGTCACAGCAGCAGACGCTCAGACAGGAAACAGTCAGCCACTCCCTCCTTCAGTAACGGCCCTGAAAGTTACCTTCACTTTGAGTCTTTGTTCTCGTCAAACTCTTGTTCAGTTTGTGGATTCAGCAGCAGGTTGAAGTGCTCGTATTCCCAGTATTCCCAGTATTCCCAGTATCCCTCCTGTAGCTGTCCTCTCTCAGTGGAAGTGCTGGTTCTGGTCTGAAGGGGAGTCTTACCGTCTGACCGTGTTTCCTGGTTTGTCTCAGGAAGTCATGTGAGGGGCGGAGTCTCTTCAGAGTATGAACACACAGGATTGGCTCTTATTTTTCCATCTGCAGTAACAATAAAATGTCCAGATAATCCCGTCTTGTTAGTAGATTGTGACGGAGCTCAGCTGACTGGAACACATGGGAACATTTTGAAATGAGAAAAGTTCAAATAGAGAGTTTAAAGAAATGAATGTGTAGTTGTGTGTTGTTCCTTTCTTAGTGTAACACTGTTCTGGCTGCATTTCCCCACAACAACAGAAGGCAGCGTTGAGTCACCAGGAACTCCGCTTAACGGTGGTTTGGACCATGTAAGCAACCCGTTCTCACTCTCAAGTCCTCACATATGGACACATGGTCGAGACCCACGGGCGTCAGTTTGAGACTCGCTGCTTATTCTGGGAATTCTGCTGTTAAAGGTCTTTAGAATGAAAACTGTTAAATAACATCCAGTTTAAAATCAGTTCACATAAAGACGTTTAGTGCTGATGAAGGGGTGCTGGAGCTCAGCACACAGACTGTGGGGGTTCGTCACATTAAAGTCTGGGAATCCATCAGAAGAACTGTGAAAGTGGACGAGTGAGTGTCATTCTGGCCGTGTTGAACAGACCTTTGAATCTGGTCCTGTTGGGTCTGGATCAGCTGTTCCGGCTCCATGGCCTAACGTAAACACAGATGAAATAATATTAATAACTTTTGAGTTCCTGTTGCTGGTTTTCACGCCATTAGGCAGAAATTCCTACACTAGATATTTATCTGATAAATTTAAGGATGTGACTCCATCAGCTTTAAATTCATTACCAAGTCCCAAAGTAGTAAAGTAAAAAGTAAACCCAGCGGGCAGGTCTGAACGCTCTGGTCCATGTCACAGCCGGATAATCTGACGGCAGCCGCTGTTTGCACTGTTTGCATTTAACTCTTTATTTCCTGCATTCTGGAGACATTTTCTGTTTTTTTATTTAGATTGGGGGAAACACAAAATCTAATCAGCCATGGGCTTTACAACATTTTTATTTATTACAACAACAAAATAACTAAATAAAATTAGTACGTTGGAAAAATAAACAGACATCAAGCCTTAATCTGACGTAAGCAGAACTTTGGACTCATTTCTGAGCACATTCCATGATGGGCTTTGTGTACAGAATGTTTAGTAATGATGATATTATTGATCAGAAACTGAATTTGTTTATACTTTAGGTCCAAACCTAAATGGAAAAAAATAAATCTGTCTTTATGAGTTTGGCCAGTCGTGTAAGGATTTCTATTCAATTCAATTCAATTCAATTCAATTTTATTTATATAGCGCCAAATCACAACAACAGTTATCTCACAGCGCTTTTCATAAAAGAGCAGGTCTAGACCGTACTCTGTGATGTTATTTAAGAAGCCCAACAGTTCCCACCAAGAGCAGCACTAGGAGACAGAGGCAAGGAAAAACTTCCTTTTAAGAGGCAGAAACCTCGAGCAGAACCATGGCTCAGGGTGGGCGACCATCTGCCTCGACCGGTTGGGGTGAGAGAGAGAGAGAGAGAGAGAGAGAGAGAGAGAGAGAGAGCGCAGGAGAGGAATAGAGAGAAAAAGAGGGATGTAAGGAAAGAGAGAGGGGAGGGAGGCAGCCTACACAATATACACACAGAGGTACAGACAGTGAAGGTGATGTTGCTATAGACTAAATGAAAAATGGTACAGATATTTATAGTAGTGTTAATGATAATAATAACAATAATAATAATAGGACTAGTAACAATAGTCGTTGCAGCAGAGGGTGTCGAGCAGGAACACGGAGGCAGCAGGTGACCCGCAACCACAGATCCAGACTCCACAGCTCCAGAGCCAGAAAACCTGCAGGAAGTGATGGAGGAGAGAGGAGAGAGACGAGAAAGCACAAGACTACCAGAAAGGGGAGAAGTTGAGTTAGTAACATGCAATAATGGGATGAGGTTGCATACAGAGGGAGAGAAAGTAGAGGAGAGAGGAGCTCAGTGCATCATGGGAAATCCCCCGGCAGTCTAGGCCTATAGCAGCATAACTAAGGGATGGTTCAGGACTCACCTGAGCCAGCCCTAACTATAAGCTTTATCAAAGAGGAAAGTCTTAAGCCTACTCTTAAATGTGGAGATGGTGTCTGCCTCCTGAACCCAAACTGGAACCTGGTTCCACAGGAGAGGAGCTTGATAGCTGAACGCTCTGGCTCCTAGTCTACTTTTGGAGACTCTAGGAACCACAAGTAACCCTGCATTCTGGGAGCGCAGTGCTCTGGTGGGGTAGTAAGGTACTATGAGCTCTTTAAGATAAGATGGTGCCTGACCATTAAGAGCTTTGTAGGTAAGAAGAATGATTTTAAATTCTATTCTGGATTTTACTGGAAGCCAATGCAAAGAAGCTAAAACAGGAGAAATGTGACCTCTTTTCCTGGTTCCTGTCAGAAAACGTGCTGCAGCATTCTGGATCAGCTGAAGAGTCTTAATGGACTTTTTCGAGCAGCCTGATAATAAGGAATTGCAGTAATCCAGCCTAGAAGTAACAAATGCATGGACTAGTTTTTCTGCATCATTTTTAGACAGGATGTTCCTGATTTTCGCAATATTACGTAGGTGAAAAAAGGCGGTCCTTGAAATTTGCTTAATGTTATAATAATTTCCTCCTCGTTAAGCCACAGGGTGCCTCAGGAATGTAATGTTACATTTTAGGTTTAATAAATCAACTTAACCAGTCTTCAGATTTTATAATTTAGGTGTTGGTGTGTTTTCTAGATTATCTTTAGATTAACTGAATAAGTGCCAGATTATATTTATTCTCATCCAGTTTAAATATTTGATCATTTTCATCCAACAGATGCACAAATGACCCTTTGTATTTGCTTTAGCTCAGATATTGTTCCGGGACATTATGGGAACTAAAGTTATCTTTAGAAATCATTTTCCAGAATAACAGAGAGGTTAACAGATAATTTAGATATTTCAAAGTCACATCTGAACAAAGACTGAAGCGAAGGGCTCGACCCAACGTATCACCAGCTCTGTGAGCTCACAGGAGCACAATTAATGAGTTAACTGGTAGAAATAGAAAATCCACTCCTGCTTTTATAGATAATGATGGTCATTTCTTAACAAAGTCTGTAGATATAGCTAATTATGTCAATAATTATTTTATAAATAAAGTGGACACATTAAAAAAGAAAATTATAGCAAATATTAACACATCTCATTTACAAATAAAAAATAATATAATGAGAGACAAAACCTGTATATTTAAATTTGAAAAAGTAACAGAGTGTGAGGTTGCAAAAATGATAAGTAATATTAAAAATAAACCACCAGGTGTTGATGACATGGATGGAAACCTCCTGAAGATGCCGGCAGACTTAGTAGCTCCAGCCATTTGTCACATAGTAAATCTGAGTCTTACCACAGGTGTATAAAAAAGATTATTCCACTATTGAAAGACAAAAAGCTTTTTTTCTGGTAAAAATAGCCGACTAATACACCTGTTAACAACTATAGGCAAGATCATGGAGAACATTGTATACAAACAAGTCAACAACTATTTCAAGAATTATTTACTCTTATCAGCATGCATACAGAAAGGGCCATTCAACAGCTACCGCTATGACATTCATCATTAATCGAGAAACTAGTGGCCTACGGATTTGATAAATCAGCTATAACGTGGTTTAACAGCTTCTTAACTGGTCGAACACAAACCGTTTTCTTTAATGGTTGTTATTCCAGCGTCAATACTGTGACATGCAGAGTTAGCCAAGGAAGCAGTCTTGGTCCTTTACTGGTTTTGACTAAGGCAAAAACAGTAACGTATGCTGATGACTCAACAATATATGCATCAGCACATCAGAGTTAAATGCTGTGGTGGATTGGATAAATGAAAACCATTTAATTTTAAATTTATCAAAAACCCGCTGTATTGTACTTGTTGTTCTGATCACGCCTTAAATCAAAATCCATTATTAAATGTTAAAATGCATGATACCCATATTAAACAAGTCCAAGAAATTAAGCTTTTAGGAATGATAGTAGATGAGAAGTTATCATGGTCAAACATATAGATTGCATGTGTGCCAAAATGGGTAAGGCTATCACTGTGATTAAAAGATATGTAAAGTTCTTAACATGTAAAACTACCACAATAGTTGCACAATCACTAATATTGTCGAATCTTGACTATTGTCCAACCGTATGGTCCAATGCCACGGCTGAAAAGATCAGAAAGTTATGAATTATACAGAATGGAGCAGCAAGGATGGTACTTCGTTGTGACTATTACACAAGCACAAAACTCATGCATGCAAAATTAAATTGGATGTCGGTTTATGACAGACTTTCATATTCCTTATTGACATTTGTCAGGAATATTTCTGTCACCAAAACTCCTCAGACTCTCTACCAAAATCTTTTGTTCAGTGTTGACATCCATAAGTCTGCTACCAGACATGCTTGTGCAAACAAATTTATTTCACCAATTACAGAAAGAGAACATTCAGTTTTAGAGCAATGCAGGAATGGAACCTACTCCCCAAACAAATAACTCTAATAGAAAACCATCCTAAATTTAAGATTCAATTAAAAAAGTTCATTTAAAAAAATTCTATTAAATCATTTGTGTAACAGCAACTTTTTGTGCTTTTTTATTGTAACATTCACTGTATGTTAAATTTATTGGAGATGGGGGTTTTAAGAATAATTTTTATCAACATTAACTGTCTTATAACTTTGTGAAAACTGTATTTAAAATTTCTGTATGGTATAAAAACTGAAAATTGTGGCTGGTTGATTTTGAAATGTTTTGTAATATTCATGCAAACCTCTTTCTGGACCCCAGGAAGAATAACACTAGCTTTTGCTGTGCTAATGGGGATCCAAATAAATAAATAAACAAATAAATAAACAGCTGGTTACGGCCACGCCTGAGCGCGAGCAGGTGACGTCCTGCTGTGACGTCATTATGTTTCTAAAAGAAACTGATTCAGGTGTAATTTTATTTGTTTGTTTTTCTAAATGATCTCTTGTCCAACACTGACTCCAGTCCAGCAGGTGATGCACCTCTAACCCAAAAAACACCAAAGAAGAAGAAGAAGCTGCAGTTCCTCTCCGGGCCTGCAGGGGGCGCCGGCGGCTCGTCAGCTAACTGTCATGGCGGCTCCCTGTCGCAGGTTTATTTCACGGTGAAACTGAACTCGCAGATATTAAGTCTTTATTTCAGGATGAGCTGAGAGAAGAAACTGAACTCTGTCAGGTGAGAAAAGAAACTTTACCTGAAACCACGTTAATGTTTCCGTTTCCGGTCAGTTTGACACGTTTTATAAACCTCTCTGTTTTCTAACGCTGATGCTGTCATGGGGCTCGAGCTGCGCGCCAAACTTCAGTCAAAAACGGTGTAATTTAGTCAGTTCAGGTAAAAACACCTGAACTGACTGAAGCTCGGCCTGTTTTTCTGAAACCTTTGCTTCTCTTAGTGAATTCGGCGCTAATATAACCCAGCAGACACCCCGTGTTTCAGCCAGATTATCACATTTCACTGAAACTTCTTAATGCAGGAAATGACCTGACTGTCCCAACAAGGAGGCTGAAGTTCAGGTCCAGATCTGAAACCACTGGAGCTGTCACATCCGGACTGGATTAATCCAGAGAAGCTAGTTTCAGTTTCAGATGTGTGATCTTGAATCTTCAGCCTCTCTGTTATAATCTGGTCCAGATCTGATGTGTTTCAGCTTCTGTGGCCACATTTCATTCATCAGAATCAGGATCAGGTCGTTGATCCACCAGGAGAAATTCTTGTGTCACAGGATTGTAGTAATAATAATACAAAGCTGGTGTGTAAATGTTCAGTATTCACCTCATTAACAGAACTGTGATGATGAACACTTTTGGTTTGGATGTCAGTATGTCATTAAAAATTATAATGTTATTTATAAAAACAGTTTCTGTTATAACTCTTCTGAATGAAATCGAGTCAGTTAGAAGCAGAAACCTTTCAGTCAATACGTAGAGGCTGAAATCCCTCTCCGGCACTATTTGGCTTGTATTGTCCATTTAAAGGTTTTTCAACAGGTAAAAAGGACGGGATCGGTTGGTGCACAGCAAGTTAAATAAGAGACATAAGGAGAATTGCTTTGCTGTGACCACGGACATAAAGTGATGTTTATTTGCACGTCCAGATAAAAGCAGCTGCAGCCGTAAAGAGACGTGCTGCACGCTCCCCACACGACACCTGCGTGCTCCGCTGTCCAGTCTGTCTGCTAAAAACGGGGACAGCTCCAGACGGGGGGGCAGGCCGACAAAACGGTCCCTGGAAAACGGGGACGTCTGGTCACCCTGTAATAATGAGTACTGGTAGAGTGGATGTGGACTACATGTCCTTAGAAACTGCAGTATTAGGACGGAGTATCAAGAGTACTAAAACATAATCGTGCGCAGTATTTGAAGTTTAATGACCAACGCGTCCCGGAGGTCAAACTCAGGAGCACAGTAACCATGTTAGTGCAGGAAAAGACTCCTGATTTCTTTTCCCACAAGTACAATAAAGGTTTCAGATCTGAAAGTGTGTTTTAAAGAAACTTTCGCCTCTCTGGAAGAATCCGGATCTGAGAGCTCCGGGTGTCGTGGACTCGTGAGTGTTTTCAGCAGCAGACCCTGTCCCTGAAGGCAACACCTCACTGCTCTCACCTGCACGGCCAGCCGACGGTGAATAATGAGAATAACTGCAGAGAAAAGTTATGGAGGGTTTGAGGTTCTGAGTGTAAACCTGGTGTCCCTGAACGTCCCGTCAGACTTCTAGAGCTCTTTGGATTCCGGTTGAACCGGCTGGACTGAAACGGTTCAGGTCATAACGGAGTTCATTTGTGGTTATGATGTCGTTTCCCCAAACAGGAAGCTCACCCGTCTCTCTCTGCAGGTATGAATGTGATGTCATCAGTGATGCGGGGCGCCCGCCGGCTCGCCCACGCCGACCCGAATCTGCTCAGCCACTTCCTGCCTCCGTCCCTCCGCTGTCCGTCTCGAAGCCCCGCCCCCCTGCTCACCTGTCGACAGAACAGGAAGTTCGCCTCCAAACAGGTGAGTCCGACAGCAGGATGTGGAATAAACAGCTCTGCAAAATGATCCGCTTCTCTAGTTGGACTTCTTATACGTATGTGTTGCATTAAAATAAACATTTCTTCCAAATTCAAATAAAAATGTAAGAAAACGAGTTCACAACACCAATATTTTAACTTCAAGAACCAATGTTTGGCGGGCTAACTCTGCGTCTTGGCGTGCTCTGCTCCGGTCCGTCACACGGCTGTCCTGGTGCAGAAACTCAAGCGGCTCAGCTTCGTTGGCTGACTTGTGACCCTCCATCTTCCTCTTGATCAAATTCCAGAGGTTTTCAGTGGGGTTCAGGTCTGGAGGTTGGGCTGACCGTGACCTGGTCTCGATCCGGGCGGCTGTGGCTCAGGAGGTAGAGCGGGTTGGCTGTTAATCGGAAGGTCGGCGGTTCAATCCCTGGCTCCCCCTGGTTGCGTGTCGAAGTGTCCTTGGGCAAGATACTGAACTGTTCTGGCTGTTCTGCCAGCGTATGAGTGAGTGTGAATGTTAGTTTCCGTTTGAGCTCAGTGTATGAATGTGTGTGACTGGTGAATGCAGATGTAGTGTAAAAGCGCTTTGAGACTAGGAGCATTTACATTTACATCCGGGCTGGCTGTGAGGCCGGAGCGTTGTAGAAGCAGAGGGAATGAGGCTTTCTTCCAGGATACAGATTCGTCCTTCACAAAGAGAAATCTGCCCGATTCCAGCCTTGCTGAAGCGCCCCCCATCATCGCTGATCCTGTGGGCCCCTCCGGGTCTCCGTCTAACCAGGCTTTGGCTGAAAACTGGACTCATCAGAGAAGAAGACCTCGCTCCAGTCCTCTACGGTCCAATCCTTACTATCTTTAGCAAACTGTGGCCTGGCTTGTCTTCGCTTCTCATTGATCAAGGGCCTTTTTCTAGCTTTGTCTGACTTCAGCTCGGCCCCTAGGAGCCTGTTTCAAACGGTCCTCGCTGTGCACTTCGCCCCAGCTGCTGCTGGCCATTCCTTTTGTAAATCACTTGATGTCATCCTACGGTTCCTGAGTGACAGTCGATGGCGCCCTCTGCCGGTCTGTAGCTTTGCTGTCTGTTGCTTCATCTTATGAACTTTTAGGGGTGAAGCGACCTGACGCTGTTCCCAGTGATGACCACAGCAGTGTTATTATGCGTTTCCTCGTTAAATGAGATTTGGCTCAGGTACCTCGTTAGGTAGGATGAGGTGTGCACTGGCATGAAATGGCTGCCGCACGTGTAGAGATACTGATTTTCGACAGTATGGACTGGTCTCTTATGAATAGTTCGACTTCATGGAGTCTAAAATGAGGCTCAGATAATATTTCACTATTGAACATACAGGATGTTCGTGCATCATGTTTTCACCATGATTTGCTTATTAAAATCATTTGTGCTGAGAACAATCAGTGAAATAGAAAACAAATATATACAGAAATATTTTATATGAAACAACTGTAACAAATCAGCTGAATGTGAAACGGCGAGGGAAAAGTGTGAGGTAGCGTTTAGATCAGTGCAGCCGCCTGCTGCTTCATGTAGTCAAACACTCAGACTCTGTGCTCTGGGTAACGATGTGCATTAACCAAATAAAGTTCAGTTCTAACACCGTGTATTTAATCTTTAAATGAACTCAGTTCTGACCCGGACGGCTCGCAGGGAATCTCAGCTGTCGAACAAATCAAACGTCACCACAGTTAAAAACACATTTAACCCCCAAAGTCCCAGCAGAGCAACGGTTCCTTCGGTTAACTTAAAGTCAAATAGATTTCAAAAGCTAGCAGGTGGAAGCGAGGCGAGACGCAGGTCCATAATATTCATATTCATGCCACAGTGTGAAGATGCCGTAATCCAGAGAGGATCCAACAGATAATCCAGCGCACAGTGCTGTAGTCCTTCATTCAGTATCGTCTGGCAATCCTGCGTTACAGCGACGCTCCCAAACATCACTCCCCTTTTAAAAACATGTCTGACACAAATAATCTAATATATAATGATGATAAATGACCGGAGAACTCCGGTAGAACATGTTGAGCTGCACGAGTGTGACGACGCTCAGGAACTAAATATCAGAGGGTTTCTTATTAATAGGAAAGAGTTTATTACTCAGACTCAAACCTGTGAGCCAATCACAGCCAGCTGTGTAACCTCCTGCAGCTCCTCCAGAGTCAGCTGACACACCTGTCGGTCATGATAAACTCAGACACGTCACAAATCCTGAGAGGATCTGTGTTACTAACGTGGTGTTCAGTGTCACATTTTACAGAAACACAGTAAATATTTACGTTCTCGCCTGTAAGAATCCTGTTTAGCTTCTTATGATAAGTAACCATGGAAACACATGACGTTGGTGAGCAGCAGCTCTTTGTAACTTTATCGCTCACTTTGAAAATGTGTTGATCTGTCTGCAGGTCAAAGGTCAGAAAAAAGACCAGAAGAACCCGAAGGTCAAAGCTAAAGTGGACAAACAGGAAGTGGAGATCAGACAGAGGATGACGGCGGCGGCTCTCGCCGAGGCCATGAACAAAGACTTTGGTAAGAAACAACAAAGATCCACTCGGAGCGGTTCTGATCTCAGGTCACGTGTTAAATAAAGTTTTCTGCCTTTCAGGTCACGTGTTAAAGAAAGTTTTCTGCCTTTCAGGTCACGTGTTAAATAAAGTTTTCTGCCTTTCAGGTCACGTGTTAAAGAAAGTTTTCTGCCTTTCAGGTCACGTGTTAAATAAAGTTTTCTGCCTTTCAGGTTAGGCGTCGGATAAAGTTTTCTGCCTTTCAGGTCAGGCGTCGGATAAAGTTTTCTGCCTTTCCAGGTCAGGCGTCGGATAAAGTTTTCTGCCTTTCAGGTCAGGCGTCGGATAAAGTTTTCTGCCTTTCAGGTCACGTGTTAAATAAAGTTTTCTGCCTTTCAGGTCAGGCGTCGGATAAAGTTTTCTGCCTTTCAGGTCACGTGTTAAATAAAGTTTTCTGCCTTTCAGGTCACGTGTTAAATAAAGTTTTCTGCCTTTCAGATCACGTGTTAAATAAAGTTTTCTGCCTTTCAGGTCACGTGTTAAATAAAGTTTTCTGCCTTTCAGGTCACGTGTTAAATAAAGTTTTCTGCCTTTCAGGTCACGTGTTAAAGAAAGTTTTCTGCCTTTCAGGTCACGTGTTAAAGAAAGTTTTCTGCCTTTCAGGTCACGTGTTAAATAAAGTTTTCTGCCTTTCAGGTTAGGCGTCGGATAAAGTTTTCTGCCTTTCAGGTCAGGCGTCGGATAAAGTTTTCTGCCTTTCCAGGTCAGGCGTCGGATAAAGTTTTCTGCCTTTCAGGTCAGGCGTCGGATAAAGTTTTCTGCCTTTCCAGGTCAGGCGTCGGATAAAGTTTTCTGCCTTTCAGGTCACGTGTTAAATAAAGTTTTCTGCCTTTCAGGTCACGTGTTAAATAAAGTTTTCTGCCTTTCAGATCACGTGTTAAATAAAGTTTTCTGCCTTTCAGGTCACGTGTTAAATAAAGTTTTCTGCCTTTCAGGTCACGTGTTAAATAAAGTTTTCTGCCTTTCAGATCACGTGCTGGAGGCCCTGCTGAACACCTCGGTGGATGTGGACTCCTTGGAGCCGGACTCGGTTCTGGAGGAGAGGTGGATTAAGGAGGTGGTGACTCGATCAGGGATGAAGTTCAGGTGGGCCAAACTGAGCGAGAGCAGAGAAAGACCCAACAGAGACGCCCACAGGAGGTACGAGACGTCGCCTCGTTGGTCAGAGCTTGTATTTCTGAATGCTGATTGGATGTCGAACATTATTAAAGCCTGATTTGAGAATGTGTCTCTCTCTGATCCGGTCAGACCTCCAGCGGACCCGTCCAGCTTGGTGCCCCGCCCCCCGGTGGTCACCATCATGGGTCATGTGGATCACGGTAAGACCAGCCTGCTGGACAGCCTGAGGAAGAGTCAGATCGTCTCCACGGAGGCCGGCGGGATCACGCAACACATCGGAGCTTTCCTAGGTAACCACTCCCACAGGAAGTGGGCTGCAGGCGCCGAGATGACGATTCTGATTGGTTTAAAGAAATAAAAAGCTGTTCTGAGTCGGTTCTTCATGTGAACTCCTGTAGGATCCACCTCAGGAACACTCGGCAGGACTGTAAACGCTGTGTTGGCGGTTACGTTTTTCTGAAGCGTCTAAACAGCCTATTGGCTTTTTTCTTCTAGTGCAGCTGCCTACAGGTGAGAAGATCACCTTCCTGGACACACCTGGCCACGCCGCCTTCTCCGCGATGAGAGCCCGCGGAGCCAATGCCACAGACATCGTCATCCTGGTGGTGGCGGCCGACGACGGCGTCATGAACCAGACGGTCGAGTCCATCCAACACGCCAGGAGAGCCAAAGGTATGAGCTCCACCTGGCAGTCACAGCTGAGGGTGTGTTCTGTGTTTTCACTCAGTGGTTCTGGTTCTGTTGCAGTCCCGATGATCGTGGCGGTGAACAAGTGTGACAAACCTCAGGCCGACCCTCAGAGGGTGAAACAGGAGCTGCTCGCCCACGATGTCGTCTGCGAGGAGTTCGGAGGAGACGTCCAGGCGATCCACATCTCAGCTCTCAAGGTGAACCGCCAGGTTTAAAGTCAGCTGACTGTCAACGGGAGGAGGAGTCGGTGTGATGGAAGGTCATGTTGTCATTGTCGTTGTTGTTGGCAGGGCGACAACCTGATGGCTCTGGCCGAGGCCACGGTGGCGTTGGCGGAGGTTTTAGAGCTGAAGGCAGAGCCCAGCGGCCTCGTAGAGGGACTCATCATCGAGAGCCGCACCGACAAAGGCAAAGGGTGAGCATCAGTGACCTCCGGGTCAGAACGTAGATCTGGTTCTAAGAGTTCTAGAGTACTTTAGAGACGGTACGCAGCTCCGGTTCTGAGAGATCTTGGTGACTTTAGAGACGGTACGTAGCTCCGGTTCTGTGAGATCTTGGTGATTTTAGAGACGGTACGTAGCTCCGGTTCTGAGAGATCTAGGTGACTTTAGAGACGGTACGTAGCTCCGGTTCTGAGAGATCTAGGTGACTTTAGAGACGGTACGTAGCTCCGGTTCTGAGAGATCTAGGTGACTTTAGAGACGGTACGTAGCTCCGGTTCTTAGAGATCTAGGTGACTTTAGAGACGGTATGAGGTTCTTGGAGATCTAGGTGACTTTAGAGATGGTATGAGGTTCTTGGAGATCTAGGTGACTTTAGAGACGGTATGAGGTTCTTGGAGATCTAGGTGACTTTAGAGACGGTATGAGGTTCTTGGAGATCTAGGTGACTTTAGAGACGGTACGTAGCTCCGGTTCTGTGAGCTCTAGGTGACTTTAGAAACGGTACGTAGCTCCGGTTCTTAGAGATCTAGGAGACTTTAGAGACGGTACGTAGCTCCGGTTCTGTGAGATCTTGGTGACTTTAGAGACGGTACGTAGCTCCGGTTCTGAGAGATCTAGGTGACTTTAGAGACGGTACGTAGCTCCGGTTCTTAGAGATCTAGGTGACTTTAGAGACGGTACGTAGCTCCGGTTCTGTGAGCTGTAAGAGACTTTAGAGACGGTACGTAGCTCCGGTTCTTAGAGATCTAGGTGACTTTAGAGACGGTACGTAGCTCCGGTTCTTAGAGATCTAGGTGGCTTTAGAGACGGTACGTACCTCCGGTTCTGTGAGCTGTAAGAGGCTTTAGAGACGGTACGTAGCTCTGGTTCTGTGAGATCTTGGTGACTTTAGAGACGGTACGTAGCTCCGGTTCTGAGAGATCTAGGTGACTTTAGAGACGGTACGTAGCTCCGGTTCTTAGAGATCTAGGTGGCTTTAGTGACTGTACGTAGCTCCGGTTCTGTGAGATCTTGGTGACTTTAGAGACGGTACGTAGCTCCGGTTCTGTGAGATCTTGGTGATTTTAGAGACGGTACGTAGCTCCGGTTCTGAGAGATCTAGGTGACTTTAGAGACGGTACGTAGCTCCGGTTCTGTGAAATCTTGGTGACTTTAGAGACGGTACGTAGCTCCGGTTCTGTGAGATCTAGGTGACTTTAGAGACGGTGAGTAGCTCCAGTTCTTAGAGATCTAGGTGACTTTAGAGACGGTGAGTAGCTCCGGTTCTTAGAGATCTAGGTGACTTTAGAGACGGTATGAGGTTCTTGGAGATCTAGGTGACTTTAGAGATGGTATGAGGTTCTTGGAGATCTAGGTGACTTTAGAGACGGTATGAGGTTCTTGGAGATCTAGGTGACTTTAGAGACGGTATGAGGTTCTTGGAGATCTAGGTGACTTTAGAGACGGTACGTAGCTCCGGTTCTGTGAGCTCTAGGTGACTTTAGAAACGGTACGTAGCTCCGGTTCTTAGAGATCTAGGTGGCTTTAGCGACTGTACGTAGCTCCGGTTCTGTGAGATCTTGGTGACTTTAGAGACGGTACGTAGCTCCGGTTCTGAGAGATCTAGGTGACTTTAGAGACGGTACGTAGCTCCGGTTCTTAGAGATCTAGGTGACTTTAGAGACGGTACGTAGCTCCGGTTCTGTGAGCTGTAAGAGACTTTAGAGATGGTATGTAGCTCCGGTTCTGTGAGATCTAGGTGACTTTAGAGACGGTACGTAGCTCCGGTTCTTAGAGATCTAGGTGGCTTTAGAGACGGTACGTAGCTCCGGTTCTGTGAGCTGTAAGAGACTTTAGAGACGGTACGTAGCTCTGGTTCTGTGAGATCTTGGTGACTTTAGAGACGGTACGTAGCTCCGGTTCTGAGAGATCTAGGTGACTTTAGAGACGGTACGTAGCTCCGGTTCTTAGAGATCTAGGTGGCTTTAGCGACTGTACGTAGCTCTGGTTCTTAGAGATCTAGGAGACTTTAGAGACGGTACGTAGCTCCGGTTCTGAGAGATCTAGGTGACTTTAGAGACGGTACGTAGCTCCGGTTCTTAGAGATCTAGGTGACTTTAGCGACTGTACGTAGCTCCGGTTCTTAGAGATCTAGGTGACTTTAGAGACGGTACGTAGCTCCGGTTCTGTGAGCTGTAAGAGACTTTAGAGACAGTATGTAGCTCCGGTTCTGTGAGATCTTGGTGACTTTAGAGACGGTACGTAGCTCCGGTTCTGTGAGCTGTAAGAGACTTTAGAGACGGTATGTAGCTCCGGTTCTGTGAGATCTTGGTGACTTTAGAGACGGTACGTAGCTCCGGTTCTGTGAGATCTTGGTGACTTTAGAGACGGTACGTAGCTCCGGTTCTGTGAGCTGTAAGAGACTTTAGAGATGGTATGTAGCTCCGGTTCTGTGAGATCTTGGTGACTTTAGAGACGGTACGTAGCTCCGGTTCTGTGAGATCTTGAGACGGTATGAGGTTCTGAGAGATCTGACCCGTCACATGTTTCCCAGTCCTGTGACGACAGCCATCGTCCAGAGGGGAACGTTGAAGCGAGGTTGTATCCTGGTGGCGGGGAAGAGTTGGGCTAAAGTCCGTTTCCTGTTTGACGAGAACGGGCGAGCGGTGCCGGAGGCCGGGCCGAGCGCTGCGGTGGAGGTGGTGGGCTGGAAGGAGCTGCCGTCTGCTGGAGAGGTTCTGCTGGAGGTGGAGTCGGAGGTGAGAACGCCACGCCGCTGTGATGTGTCAGATCTGTGAGTTTGCGTGTGTAACTTTGTTCTGTGGTCGAGCAGCAGCGAGCGAGGGAGGTGGTGGAGTGGAGGAGCTACGAGGAGGAGCAGCAGAAGCTGCAGGAGGAGCAGAGCGTCATCGAGCTCAAACAGAAAGTCCACCTGGAGGAGTACAGGAAGGAGAGGGCGGGGCTATCTCACCTGAGCTGGAGGCAGAGGAAGTCTGCTCTGTACCGTGCCAACAAGACCAAGTACGCCGTGAGGCCGAGCGAGAGGACTCAGAGGGACGAGCTGAGCCTGCCACTCATCATCAAAGGTACACAGCTGGGCTCTGATAGGCTGCTCTCACTGTGACATCACTCAGGCACAACTGAGAAGCAGGTGGAGCAGCACCTGAGGATCTACAGGTCGCAGCTCTCAGGACTAATTTACTGACGCCAAGACAGAAATGTAGTTAATTATCGATAAGGTGTTCATATCCAGTCAGAGGTCAGTTCCTGTTCCGTGGGTTCCAGCAAATGCTGCCCTCTGCTGGTTCATATCAGGCCTGTTGCAAAGAATCTGGTTCGACAGTAATTTAAGTTTTGAGCAGCACGCCACAAAGTTTGTGCGATCATGTTTTTACCAGCTTAGAAATATATCAAAAATACAACCTGTTAACTTTGAAGGACACTGAGACGCCTTCATCTCATCACGTACCGCTACAGACCCAAAAATCTACTGACCGACTCCAGACTGTCCAGAACTCAGCTGCCGGGCTTTTAACCAGAACTAAGAAACCGTTTCAGCTTCGTGACTCTGGCTCCCAGTATGTTTCAGAACAGACTGTAATATCTTATCGATTACTTTTAAAGCTCTTCACGGCGTCTCGCCCTGTTCTGACCTTTTATACGCAGCAGCACGAACCTTAAGATCCTGCGTCTGCCGTCCGTTTCAGAGTCTCGACTGAAAACTAAAGGGGACCGTTTGAGTCGGGGCCCTGAGGCTTTTCTTAAAACAGATTTTTATAGAAGTGCCTTTCCTGATTTTAATTATTTTTCTTTTAACTGTATTTTAGAGTTTTCTTGCTGATCGTTTGTCTTTATAAATATTAACTTTATTATAACGTGGCCCCCGACCTCGCCACCGACCGACCTTTGACCTGCAGGTGACGTGGACGGGTCGGTGGAAGCCATCCTGAACATCCTGGACAGCTACGACGCCCAGGAGCAGTGTCAGCTGGAGGTTCTTCACTTCGGCATCGGAGACGTTTCAGAGAACGACATCAACATGGCCGAAACATTCGGAGGTAACGACCAGCGGAGAGACGCCGCGGTCAGAGGTCACAGCAGCGCAGACTCAGAAGAGAATTCAATTCAATTCAATTCAATTCAATTCAATTTTATTTATATAGCGCCAAATCACAACAACAGTTATCTCACAGCGCTTTTCATAAAAGAGCAGGTCTAGACCGTACTCTGTGATGATATTTACAGAAGCCCAACAGTTCCCACCAAGAGCAGCACTAGGCGACAGAGGCAAGGAAAAACTTCCTTTTAAGAGGCAGAAACCTCGAGCAGAACCATGGCTCAGGGTGGGCGGCCATCTGCCTCGACCGGTTGGGGTGAGAGAGAGAGAGAGAGAAAGAGAGAGAGAAAGAGAGTGAAAGAGAGAGAGAGAAAGAGAGAGAGAGAGAGAGAGAGGGATGTAAGGAGAGAGAGAGGGGAGGGAGGCAGCCTACACAATATACACACAGAGGTACAGACAGCGAAGGTGATGTTGCTATAAACTAAATGAAAAATGGTACAGATATTTATAATAGTGTTAATGGTAACCATCGTAATGTTAATGATTATAATAACAATAAGACTAGCAACAATAGTCGTTGCAGTAGAGGGTGTCGAGCAGGAACACGGGGGCAGCAGGTGACCCGCAGCCACAGATCCAGACTCCACAGCTCCAGAGCCAGAAAACCTGCAGGAAGTGATAGGAGGAGAGAGGAGAGGGACGAGAAAGCACAAGACTACCAGAAAGGGGAGAAGTTGTGTTAGTAACATGCAATAATGGGATGAGGTTGCATACAGCGGGAGAGAAAGTAGAGGAGAGAGGAGCTCAGTGCATCATGGGAAATCCCCCGGCAGTCTAGGCCTATAGCAGCATAACTAAGGGATGGTTCAGGACTCACCTGAGCCAGCCCTAACTATAAGCTTTATCAAAGAGGAAAGTCTTAAGCCTACTCTTAAATGTGGAGATGGTGTCTGCCTCCTGAACCCAAACTGGAACCTGGTTCCACAGGAGAGGAGCTTGATAGCTGAACGCTCTGGCTCCTAGTCTACTTTTGGAGACTCTAGGAACCACAAGTAACCCTGCATTCTGGGAGCGCAGTGCTCTGGTGGGGTAGTAAGGTACTATGAGCTCTTTAAGATAAGATGGTGCCTGACCATTAAGAGCTTTGTAGGTAAGAAGAATGATTTTAAATTCTATTCTGGATTTTACTGGAAGCCAATGCAAAGAAGCTAAAACAGGAGAAATGTGATCTCTTTTCCTGGTTCCTGTCAGAACACGTGCTGCAGCATTCTGGATCAGCTGAAGAGTCTTAATGGACTTTTTCGAGCAGCCTGATAATAAGGAATTGCAGTAATCCAGCCTAGAAGTAACAAATGCATGGACTAGTTTTTCTGCATCATTTTTAGACAGGATGTTCCTGATTTTCGCAATATTACGTAGGTGAAAAAAGGCGGTCCTTGAAATTTTCTTAATGTGGGACTTAAACGACATGTCCTGATCAAAGATAACTCCAAGATTCCTCACAGTGGTGCTGGAGGCCAGGGCGATGCCATCCAGGGAAACTATATCTTTAGATAATGCGTCACGGAGGTGCTTAGGCCCCAGAATGTGTTCTTAATCACTAAAACAGACTCAGAGATGCTGCTCAGAGATCAACAGATATAACATCGAATGATTCAGCCTCAAAAATAACTTTTATTTATAACTGCAGCTAAAATAAAACCAAGATAAACTTTGTTTGTCCCCTGGAGAGTAAACAACAACAACAACGCTAATAAAGCCAGAGTCGGGGGGAAACGTCCCTGTAGAGACTCTCTGGTCTAGTTTTGTGGCAGAAAACTGAATAAACAGGTTATTAAAATAGTGATAACCGGACCTCTTCTTCTTCAGGTTCCATTTACGGCTTCAACGTGGCGGCCAGCAGGTCGATCCAGCAGCTGGCGGCGAAGCGCGGCGTCCCGCTGCGACTGCACAACGTCATCTACAAACTGATGGACGAGCTGAAGGACGAGCTGAGCAGCAAACTGCCGCCGCTGCTGTCGGAGAATGTGCTGGGTGAGGAGAACCCGCTAGAACCACTCAGACCTGTACCTGAGACTCTGTAGACCTGTGTCCGAGACTCTGTAGACCTGTGCCCGAGACTCTGTAGACCTGTGTCTGAGACTCTGTAGACCTGTACCTGACACTCTGTGGATCAGGGCCCGAGACTCTGTAGACCTGTGTCCGAGACTCTGTAGACCTGTGTCTGACACTCTGTAGACCTGTGTCTGAGACTCTGTAGACCAGGGCCCGAGACTCTGTAGACCTGTACCTGACACTCTGTGGATCAGGGCCCGAGACTCTGTAGACCTGTGTCTGACACTCTGTAGACCTGTGTCTGACACTCTGTAGACCAGGGCCCGAGACTCTGTAGACCTGTGTCTGACACTCTGTAGACCTGTGTCTGACACTCTGTAGACCAGGGCCCGAGACTCTGTAGACCTGTGTCTGACACTCTGTAGACCTGTGTCTGACACTCTGTAGACCAGGGCCCGAGACTCTGTAGACCTGTGTCTGACACTCTGTAGACCTGTGTCTGACACTCTGTAGACCTGTGTCTGACACTCTGTAGACCTGTGTCTGACACTCTGTGGATCAGGGCCCGAGACTCTGTAGACCTGTGTCTGACACTCTGTAGACCTGTGTCTGACACTCTGTAGACCTGTGTCTGACACTCTGTAGACCTGTGTCTGAGAGGAGCTCCTAGTGACAAAATTCTAAGAAATGTGGGCGTTTACTCTTAAAATTAAATAAAAAATCCTAGTACAGACAAAAGTAATTCAGAAAGCATCTTAACCCTTAAGAGTGTAAATAGTTGGGAGGACGAGGACTTTAAGTTTCTTTAGTAGAGGAGAAAATGGCAGAAAGACGAAGAGGGAGAAGAAACGTGTTGCAGACAGCGAGTTAATCAGACGCTGTAGATCAGATCGTGTTTGTGACGGATCTCGTTAGAGACGCGCCAACATCTCCGACAGCGCAGGAATGAGAGGAATCACTACGTTACTGGGAAAATGCCGCAGTAATGTCACAACCTTCTGTAAGCAGAGTGATCAAACAAACAATCACAGCACTTTCAGCCTCTCAATGTGTCGCAGTTCATTTCGTTTCCACTGGACACTCGCCGGAGTGGAACACTGTTTATCATGCTAAGCCAATCAAATACCTTGTAGGAAATGAACAGCATGGTAAATAAACGGTGTGTGTGCGTGTGAAATATTATAATATAAATATAGTGAAGGCTTAGAAAAGAACCTTTACTTAAAATCACTTTCTTTCCTTCTTGGACAACCAACCAATCACCGTCTTAAAGATTGTGTCATCCATAGCAACGGGGTCAGCCCGCCTCAGATCAGTCCCTGATCGCTCTTAAGACTCCTACGGAAGAGTTTTCTGAGAGAATCTTTATGAATACGGGCCCTGGTGTGCCGCAGCGCTCCACCTGACAGGAAGCTGTCCGTCTCTCTGCCCGTCCAGGTGAAGCCACCGTCCTCGCCATGTTTGACGTCTCCGTGGGGAAGAAGAAGGTTCCCGTCGCCGGCTGTCGGGTTCAGAAAGGTCAGCTGGACCGGCGGCTCAAGTTCAGGCTGATCCGAGGCCGAGACACCGTCTGGGAGGGTGAGTGAGACCAGGACCAGGACCGGTCTACCTTTGTGATGAAGCAGCTGACCCGTTTGTCTCCGCAGGTTCTCTAGTGGCGCTGAAGCATCACAAGGACGACGTGCAGACGGTGAAGACGGGGATGGAGTGCGGCCTGTCGGCTGACGGCGACGTGGACTTCAGACCCGGCGACACGGTCGTCTGCTTCGAGGAGCAGGACGCGCCGCAGGTCACTTCCTGGGACCCCGGCTTCTAATAAAGACTTCATTTCCCATCATCCTCTGCTGCTCAGAGGCTCGGTCTGATAAACAGGAAGCTCAGGAGCTGCTGACGCACTTCCTGTTCACCTGGAGACTGAAGCTGATAATTTAATGAACGTTGTCCCTGACCACCTGCCCTGCCCGTGACCACCTGTCCTGTCCTGCCCTGCCCGTGACCACCTGTCCTGTCCTGCCCTGCCCGTGACCACCTGACCTGCCCGTGACCTCCTGACCACCTGTCCTGCCCTGACCTGCCCGTGACCACCTGTCCTGACCTGCCCGTGACCTCCTGACCACCTGTCCTGCCCTGCCCTGCCCGTGACCTCCTGTCCTGCCCTGCCCGTGACCTCCTGACCACCTGTCCTGCCCTGCCCTGCCCGTGACCTCCTGACCTGACCTGACCTGACCTGCCCTGCCCATGACCTCCTGACCTGCCCGTGACCTCCTGACCTGACCTGACCTGACCACGTGGCTGCAGTTTTAGTGCAGCATGTGGTCGTTGTGAACTTAATTCTGGTTCTGGACTCTGTAACCTGCAACACGTGACAGAATTAAAATCACATGATCATGAAAAACAAACACGTGTTTTTATTTCACATATTTTAATAAAAGAAAAAATCATAACTTTTTACACGAGACTGAAACGCCGCTCTCTGATTGGATAAACCTGAAACACGTTGAACAACAAAATGTCTACAAATAAACTCAGTAAGTAAGAGTCAGAACCCTGAAGCCGGGTCTGATGCTGGTTTCTACCCGGTGACCTTCGACCTCTTCACTTCCTCTTAGCCTTTCCCGGTTTGGCGAGCAGCGCCGGGTCGATCTGATCCGGCGTTAGCCCTCTGACGGAGAAGAGCCGGGCGGCGCGCTCCGCGACCGTCCCCCCACACTTTAACCCCCGAGACGTCAGTTCCCGCTTCAGGACGTCCAGACCCAGATCCTCCAGCTGGGCGGGCGAGGACAGCGAGGACAGATCCAGCGCGGGGCCGCCCTGCGGGGACCGATCAGTCAGTCAGTCATCAAACTCTGTTCTATTGATACAGCAGCAGGAAGTCATTGCAGTACGCCGCTCTGACCTTAGTCTGACGAGCTCCACGCCTCCTTTCAGGGCGGAGAAATATTTATTTATTCTGGGTCACTTTAACTGAGTGATAAAATAATAATCAGGTTATTATGGGATGTTGGTCACAGAAGGTGACGGAGCTCTGTGGCCACTTTAAGAAGGGAAACTAAATCCTGATCCTGCTGCTGACAAACTATCTGAGACCAGATTCTAAATAAACTCTGGTCCAGCCTTCGAGGTCTCAGCTCAGAGCACCAGACAGGTTCTGCTCCAGGAGCCTTATTATGGGATGGACTACTGACCTGCTGCTGAGACGGACCGCTGGACCCCGATGGTTTAGAAGCTTCTACGAATTTCTCCTCTGGAGGACTCTGGTCCTCTGGGGGTGTGGTGGTCTGGTCCCTGGGGGTCTCTGGAGGACTCTGGTCCTCTGGGGGTGTGGTGGTCTGGTCCCTGGGGGTCTCTGGAGGACTCTGGTCCTCTGGGGGTGTGGTGGTCTGGTCCCTGGGGGTCTCTGGAGGACTCTGGTCAGCAGATGAGCTGAAAGGAGTTTAACAGAAAGATCAAACTGGTGTTTCTGGGACTGAAGCGGATCTGGACTCTTGTGGATCAGGTCTGTACCTGCTGCTCTGCCCAGGCTCCGCCTCCTCTGTCTGTGCCGTCATGGTAACGGCGGCAGCTCCACAGCTGGAGGCGGACGTGGACGGAGACTCGTCCTCGTCCTCTGAGCTCAGCAGCTCGTCCAGCTCACCCACGCCCGTCCTGTAACCATGAGCACAGATTAGAAACGCCGCAGTAAACCTCCGTGTTTCTGTTTCTACGGCGACGCCATCAGTTTCATGTCCTGAACACGATCGGACTCACCAGAAACACGCCACCGGTGCCGCCTTCTTCTTCTTGAGCGGCGGCTCGCTCTGATCGGGGTTTGGCCTCTTGGCCGCGGAGCCGTCGTCGGGCTTCACCTGCCCGCCGGAGGACGCCTGCAGACCTGCAACACAGAACGCGTTACAGCCCTGCCGCCGCTCGCCACACGACTGATCTTACTTCAGACCCTAAACACGTGCAACACCTTTCATCACCGAGTCCTCCAGCCGCTCCGACAGGTCGTGGCACTGCCGCTGGTACTCCGGGTCGGCGAACTGGTGTTTGGGCTCCGACAGCTTCCTCTGCAGCCGCTCCAGACGCCGCTGCTCCTTCTCCGCCTCGCGCTCCGCCTGCTTCTTCAGCCACTCCGCCATCCTGCTCACCACAGAAGAAGAGTTACACTGATATGAACACCAGGCTGAAAGCAGCTGCCTGTCGTTTCTGCACCGTACAGCACATGAACCGGAGTAAGTGACCAGAGTCCGCCTGAGTCGTAAACAGCAGCCTGTGTTTACAGCCAACAGCTGATGGAGTTTCTACTGGGTCCACAGTTGTTGTTTCATCAGTCAGGAGGTTTCTACAAGGAGCCCAAGTCGGTCTCCTCTTCTTCAAATCCAGCGGAGCAGCTGACTGCAGCAGGTAAAGCTCCTTAAACATCCTGTTCCTGCGACGCAGGCGGACACAGACGTGCAGCTCTTTTGTCGGCTGGAAATGTTGTAATAACCTTCCAAACTGTCGCGATTTTATTTTTCTTTCTTTCTGTGAGCTGGAGTTGTTTTCTATTAAACATGAAACGAACTCTAAACTGTCTCTTCATTACACAAAAAAGCTGCTTTAATGGTCAAACGCAGTCTGTAGTTTATTTTATTCCATCTAATCTGATTCGTTTATACATTTTGCTGATGGGCCGTGGTCACGAACAGCCTCGGCCCGATGATGCCTGCAGCCAACGTCAGCTGGTTAATCTGCCTGATCTTCACACCGCTGTGGAAACGCACACAACGGCGAACTGAAGGGACCTTTTAGTTCCTCAAAGAGATTCTATTGGTCGAAAAGCGCCTGTTTCTGCAGAACTATGAGTTCAAACTTTTTTTTTTTTTTAAATCCCGCTCCATCCAGGCTGCGATTGGTCTGCCGGCGGGGGGGGGGATCACGGCTGGTAGTTCGCAAACCATTTTCTGGTTCGCATGGACTATTTTTTGGGGCGTTACAGAGACAATTCACACAGTCGCTGCTCTCTGCCTGTCTGGTATTTTTGGCTACACGTTATTAATAAATACGTTGACTTACACTTTTAGCAAACAAACTTTTGGACAAACAGGATTTTCACACTGACTAAAATATCTTCAAAATGTAAAACCTTGTTAAATAGTGATTAAGACTTTAATGGCCTTAATTTTCACAAAATAGGTTTATTATCTTTTAAGACTTTAAGACTCCGCGGACGCCCTGGAACAGTGACACGGAGGTTCCGAGAGACCCCGGGCCCGTCAGCACTGGGACACGGAGGTTCCGAGAGGCCCCGGGCCCGTCAGCGCGGTGACACGGAGGTTCCGAGAGGCCCGTCAGCGCGGTGACACGGAGGTTCCGAGAGGCCCGTCAGCGCGGTGACACGGAGGTTCGGGTTCTGTGAGGAGCTCTTACTCTTTCTCGTGGTTGACGTCTCGGAGGCGGCGTCCGCTCAGGTCTCTACAGGCCTCGCGGTTCGTGGTCTTCTCGATCTGAGCGCCCAGCGCTCGCAGCATAGAGCCGAACCCTGAAACACCACAGAAGAAGACGTGTTGAGACAAAGTTCTGCTCAGCTCCTCGCAGACTTCAGTTCGGGTTTCTCTGGTCTCACCTCCTTTCCCTCCGCAGAGGCGGGGCTCCAGGCGATAGACGGCGCCATGCTGCAGAGCGTCCTCGGGGTCCGTCAGCCGGCCATTTCTGGTGACGTAGAAATCCTCGCAGGAAACTCCCTGAAGAGAGACAACAGAGACGTGTCCTGTGAGTAAACTCTGAACCATGCGGACATAAAGAGGAGAGAAACGCCGCCTCACACGGCAGCAGGATGGAACTGTTTGAAATAAATCCAGATTTCCCCTCTGAGTCTTCCGGGCTTTAAGCCTTTCTCTGCTAAACAAACACCGTTTGACTGATTTTCCCTGAAGTGCAACAAACCTCGATTCAGGATCAGAAACCCAAACAGAGATTCTGTTTCTGCAGACGAGCCTCAGATCTGTTTAATCAGGAATCAGATTCATTAAAACTCTGATGCAGCAGTTTATTCTCCTAAATGAGGTGAACAGGAGACGAATCCCATTTAAACTGATGCTGTTCTCAGCGAGAGCTTCATGTTGTTCTCGCATGTTCTTAGGACGTGATGCGCTGCTTGTAAAAACACGTTATGGAAAATAAAAACTATTTGTTAGTAAATCTTTCAGCTTCAAGTTCTATTTCTCTTCCTCGTTCACTGAGCCGACTGTCTGAGGAAGTCATTCGGTTTCCTCTCTGTTCAAACGGGGGAATCCAGATCAGTACCTGGGTCGTCCCGTCTGTCACTGCTCAGAGGGGGGCCCCTTCCTGCAGATCGGTTAGAAAGGGGCGGAGCTCAGGTGCACCACCATTTATGGCTTTTGGGACGTGAGGATTCAACCCAGTTTTAGAAATGAGAGCCCTGGAGTTTCATTTAAAAAAGATAATCTGAAACTTTCGCCTCTCTGTAAAAATCTAGTCCAGATCCGAGATCCGGCTGAAGTGGTTTTAGATCTGGACCCGAGTTTCTCTGAACTTTCCCTTCAGATCCGCCTAAAGTTAGCTGGGTCGTAGCAAACAGTGGAGCTAACACCACGGAGCTAACAACACAGAGCTAACAACACAGAGCTAACAACACAGAGCTAACACCACGGAGCTAACACCACGGAGCTAACACCACGGAGCTAACAACACAGAGCTAACAACACAGAGCTAACAACACAGAGCTAACAACACAGAGCTAACAACACAGAGCTAACAACACGGAGCTAACAACACAGAGCTAACAACACGGAGCTGACACCACGGAGCTGACAACACGGAGCTAACAACACAGAGCAGCTCACCTGTCGCGGGACAATAAAACCAGGTAACATCAGCACGCGGTAAAGCCACATATTCATTTGTCCGGAACAACTTTGACGAGTTCAACGTTTAGAAAACGTCAGTTTGTTTGTTAGCTTCTGTTAGCATAACAGCTAACAGCGCCTCTCAGACCCGAACTGCCTGAAACCATTTAGCCTCGGACTGAGTCCGTTTTCCCGCCTCTGCCGGGTGTGAACGCTCACCTGCAGCCGGGTGAACCTGTGCAGGACGTCTCGGACCGCAGAGCCTCCTGGAAACACCGAGTTAGCGAAGCTGCAGCTCGGAGCGCTCACGAACACCTCCATGTTGGCTTCTTCACCGACAAGTGCGCATGCGCGGATGTTCTTCTTCACTCCGGGAGGACACGTCACCACGTCACGTCACTGCGGCGCCGCCTGCCGGCTGCTGTTCAGAGTGCAGCAACACAAAGTCTTCAGGCTCAGAACTGAGCAGCTCATTCAATGTGACAAAGATCGAAACAAATAAAACATATTTAAATCATATTTCCTTCAGAAAGAGGTCAGTCCCACCAGCCTCGCCGCGTGGTGATAAAATCTACGTCAGAGTCCGAGGTGACGTCTTCAAATGTCTCGTTTTGTCCAAAACTTAATAATTAACAGTGGTTTATTAGACCAGTTAAAAGTTTGGACACACTCCTTGTTTTAGCACTTTTTTGTCCATTAATATAAAAGAAAGAAGAATTCTGTGTTTATTTTAACATCTCTAACGGGACCAACAGCTGCTGATGTTCAGATCCTCAGTTAGTCTGAAGAAGGCTGCTTTATATCTTCTTTAATCTGCACCACGGTTTACAGCTGAGCTGATCCATAAAGGCTTTTCTAATGATCGATCAGCGTGCTGCTGCAGTGTTTCTGATCAATCTGAGGGTATTTTAATGGACAAAAATGAGCTTTTCATTTTAAAGGACATTTGTCAGTTCGGCAGTGTATTTTCTTTGGAGAAGTTGACTTTTCTAAGAATAAAGACAGGACCTGAACAAAAGCTGAAACTTCTTCTGGGCTTCACTTTTTGAAGAAATTCATCCTCAGAAAATCTGGCTGATTGGAGAGAAAGTTTATCTTAACAATAATTAAAAAATTTAAGACTGACTCAGACTGACTCTGGCTGACTTAAACTGACTCAAACTGTCTCAAACTGGCTCAGACTGGCTCAGACTGACTCAAACTGGCTCAGACTGACTCAGACTGACTCAAACTGACTCAGACTGATTCAAACTGGCTCAAACTGGCTCAGACTGACTCAGACTGATTCAAACTGGCTCAGACTGACTCTGGCTGACTTAAACTGACTCAAACTGACTCTGGCTGACTTAGACTGACTCAAACTGTCTCAAACTGGCTCAGACTGACTCAAACTGGCTCAGACTGACTCAAACTGACTCAAACTGACTCAGACTGACTCAAACTGACTCAGACTGATTCAAACTGGCTCAAACTGGCTCAGACTGACTCAGACTGATTCAAACTGGCTCAGACTGACTCAAACTTGCTCAGACTGACTCAAACTGACTCAAACTGACTCAGACTGACTCAAACTGACTCAGACTGATTCAAACTGGCTCAAACTGGCTCAGACTGACTCAGACTGATTCAAACTGGCTCAGACTGACTCTGGCTGACTTAAACTGACTCAAACTGACTCAAACTGGCTCAGACTGGCTCAGACTGACTCAAACTGGCTCAGACTGACTGAGACTGACTCAGACTGACTCTGGCTGACTTAAACTGACTCAAACTGACTCAAACTGGCTCAGACTGGCTCAGACTGACTCAGACTGACTCTGGCTGACTTAAACTGACTCAAACTGACTCAAACTGGCTCAGACTGGCTCAGACTGAATCAAACTGGCTCAGACTGACTGAGACTGACTCAGACTGACTCTGGCTGACTTAAACTGACTCAAACTGACTCAAACTGGCTCAGACTGACTCAAACTGACTCAGACTGATTCAAACTGGCTCAAACTGACTCAGACTGACTCTGGCTGACTTAAACTGACTCAAACTGGCTTAGACTGATTCAGACTGACTCAAACTGGCTCAGACTGGCTCAGACTGACTCAGACTGACTCAAACTGGCTCAGACTGACTGAGACTGACTCAGACTGACTCTGGCTGACTTAAAATGACTCAAACTGGCTCAAACTGGCTCAGACTGATTCAGACTGACTCAGACTGACTCTGGCTGACTTAAACTGACTCAAACTGGCTCAAACTGGCTCAGACTGATTCAGACTGACTCAAACTGGCTCAGACTGACTCAGACTGACTCTGGCTGACTTAAACTGACTCAAACTGGCTCAAACTGGCTCAGACTGATTCAGACTGGCTCAGACTGACTCAGACAGACTCAAACTGGCTCAGACTGACTTTGACTCAAACTGACTCAAACTGGCTCAGACTGACTCAAACTGGCTCAGACTGACTCAGACAGACTCAAACTGGCTCAGACTGACTTAGACTGACTCAAACTGACTCAGACTGACTCAAACTGGCTCAAACTGGCTCGGACTGACTCAGACTGACACTGATTCAATTAAAAGTGTATATAAAATCCTTAAAAATCCCAAATAGAACTAAAGAACAAAAATGACATGATATCCTAAAACACTTTCCCAATGAAGTATATTAACATCTTAGCACTTATTGATTTTATTCTTGTTACTAAAAGACTATAAATCTTTTGTTAAAAGCGGCTCCTTCCAGCTATAATTTCTCTGTATCCTTATACTGAATAAATTGATTATATGCAGCCATGTTTATTTGTACATTTTGCAATTTTCAATAAGATATTCGAGGGAAAAGCGTGACCATAGTACTTTTTACTTTTGATACTGAAGTATTTTTAAAAGCAGTACATTTGTACTCCAGTAAAAATACAAGTTGAAGACTTCTACTTTTATAGAGTAACAGTGCAAATGTATCTGTACTTTTACTCGAGAGCAGGATTTGTGTACTTCTTCCACCGCTGCTGATAATAATGACTAAAACGTCGTCAGTTGAAAGCGGAACGAAAAGCTCCTGCACGTCCTCTGTCGGAACTTCAACAGTGTGACACCCGGCGGAAGTAAACAACACTGTTGAGTCGGCTGGAAGAAGCTGTTGCGGTCGCAGCTGATTCTTTAACGTGTAATGAAGCGAGAATGTGTTCAGCCGACAGCCTGAGAGAGTTTGTCAGCGGGCGGCTAAGTGCTGCCGCTGAAGAGATTCTCACAGTCTTTAAAAACACTGTCGCCGAGTACGAGGAAGAGATCGAGCGTCAGCGCAGGCTGCTGGAGCTGGTTTGGAAACCCGAAATCCAGTTACACCGGCTGGGTGAGAGGAGCTTCACTGTGTAACACGGAACAGAGCAGACAGATCTAGATATAACGTGCAAAGGGTTGAAATGGTTACCGGGACTCATTTCCTGTCTGCTTCTGTTCTTTCCCACCACAGCTGATGATCTGTTAACTGTTTATCACCTTAGTCGATTTTTCTGGTCTCCCTCTAAGCCTAATTAAATATCTTCAAGTGAATCACTGATGTCCAGCAACGTCCCCATTAAGTGCAGACCCGGGTCAGCGCAGGCTGCTCCTCTGACTGATTTATACAAACTTTTAACTGTTTAACAAAGATTACTGAACACTGTCGTGGAAATGATGTTCCTGGTGAGGGGTCCATTAAATAACTGAGTTACAGCCAACCGTTTATTTATTATGTATTTAACAAGAGAATAAACAGAAGTACTACAACACAAATCAGCTGGACCAGAGGTTCTGTCTCCTAAGACGGCCACTAACGTCCGGCCCCGAGCAAAGGGATGCTCGTCATTTACACAGTCCAGGTTTCTGTGTTTTGGGGAACAGAGATCCTCTCCAGGCCTTGAATGAACTTTCCAGGAGAGGAACAACAAGAGAGGAAACACCAAAACAATCTGACATTCTGACCTGAACCCTGGTGGACGGACTAACATGAGTACAGGAGAGGATATCTGTAAGACATAACAATGATAGTAAGAGTAATAATAGTAAAAGAACATAAATAAAAGATTAAATGTAAGAGGACACAATTTTCTGCCATGACAAACACTAACAATGTCTGTTTAGAACAATAAGCAACAGCCGCCTTTCATCACATTTATCCGTTCAGCCGACGCTTTGATCCAAAGCGACTTACAGCTGCTGTACATGTCAGAGGTCGCAGCCTCTGGAGCAACGAGGGGTTAAGGGTCTTCATCAGGGACACGGTGGGAATCGAACCCGGGTCTCTCGTATCCACTGCTCCATCGTCGCCCCCTTCTTAATAAGAAGATTGCTATCTTGAACTTGAGCTAATCGTTGCAGCCCTACATCACAGTAGTAACGTTCTCCTGTTCCTTCTGTTCTCTGCCCCTCCAGAGCTCCCGCAGCAACATGTCTGTAAGGAGGAGCAGGTTCTGGCTGACCAGCAGCTCTGGATTCAGGAGAGTCTGGACCAGGAGGACCCACAGCCTCCACAGGTTAAAGAGGAACAGGAGGAACTCTGGACCAGTCCGGAGGGAGAGCAGCTTGGACTGAAGCAGGAGACTGACGCCTTTATGTTGACTCCTGCTCATGAGGAAAGGGAGCACAGTGAAGCAGAACTGAACAGCGACCACCAGCTCCTCTCTCACGACTGTCATGTAGCTGAGAGCCAAGATCAGAGAGGAGGCGAGCGTGAAGACTCAGGATCAACTAGAGATGCAGAGCCAAAACAAAAGAAGCAAGATAACAACAGGAGAAGCCCCAGAAACAAGTCTGCCATGTCAAAGGTTCACCATGATCCTCACACAGGTAAAAACTCTTTCACATGTGACACATGTGGGAAAGAGTTTCAGTACAAGTTAGTATTTCAGAAACACCTGAGATACCACACGGGTGAGAAGCCGTATTCTTGCAAAACATGCGGGAAAGACTTCAGAACCAGAGTTAAATTGCAATACCACATGAAAACCCACACAGATGAGAAGCTGTATTCTTGCAAAACATGCGGGAAAGCCTTCAGAACCAGCACTGAATTGCGACTCCATATAAGAACCCACACAGGTGAGAAGCCGTATTCTTGCAAAACATGTGGAAAATCTTTTAGCCAGAGGAGTCACGTGATGGCCCATCTGAGAACCCACACAGGCGAGAAGCCGTATTCATGTGAAACATGTGGCAAAGACTTCAGAACCCGCCATACACTGCAACTCCATATAAGAACACACACAGGTGAGAAGCCGTTCCTTTGCAAAACCTGCGGTAAAAGATTCACTGACAATTCATCATGTAAAAAACATATGAGAATCCACACAGGCGAGAAGCCGTATTCTTGTGAAACATGTGGGAAAGCTTTCAGAGATCTTACTCAATTGAAAATTCACAAAATAGAACACACAGGTGAGAAGCCATATTCTTGCAAAGCATGTGGAAAATTCTTTAACCAAAGGTGTAACTTAAAAGCTCATCTGAGAACCCACACAGATGAGAAGCCGTATTCTTGTGAAACATGTGGCAAAGACTTCAGAACCCGCCATCAACTGCAACTCCATATAAGAACACACACAGGTGAGAGGCCGTTCCTTTGCAAAACCTGCGGTAGAAGATTCAGTGACAATTCATCATGTAAACAACACACGAGAATCCACACAGGCGAGAAGCCGTATTCTTGTGAAACATGTGGGAAAGACTTCAGAGTAAGTGGTCAATTGAAAATCCACATAAAAAGAGAACACACAGGTGAGAAGCTGTAGCTTTGCACGACAAAATATGTGCTGATGCGTCACAGAAGGCAGCATACTAGTAATCTTGTGGGAGACGATTCGGTTCTAGAGGTTTGTGGTCAAAACAAAAGAACTCCCAGAAGTGAAGAGCTGCATAAGTGCAGACCTTGTGGAAAAAGTTTTAATGAAATGATATGCTTGAAAACCCCTGAGGATCAATATACCTCTGTGGTAATGAAGTCTTTTGAGCGCCATGTGTTGAGCTACCTCAAGTCCACTACACTGAAAAAAAAAGTCGAATTTACATAAAATCGGTTGCACATATTTTCTTTCTGTTTAGTGAAAATGATTAATTTGTATTTAATATACTGAATTCTTATTTGTAAAACCAACATGATTTTTTTTACGTTAATTCAAAGTTTATCATTGATGTTAATTATATTCAATAATTCTTTAATGACCAAACATAATTCTTTTCGGTTAATTTAAACATTCCCTTTTATGTTTAATGTATTCAAATCTTACCTATTAAAGCAACATGAGATTTTTATGTAAAGTATATGCAGTGTTGTTCCATTAAATAAACTTTTCCTGCTCAAGTCTCAAAGATCCTGCATACTTTGTGTATAAATTCTACATGCTAAAATGATTTCTGTACACTGATTTCTACATTTTTAAAACAAATGAGGCAAAACAAAAACTGATTTAAAACTGTCATAGAACAGACTGTTAAGTGCAATGCATACACAAACACATGCATATATACACAAACACATATGCATACATACACAAACACATATGCATACATACACAAACACATATGCATACATACACAAACACATATGCATACATACACAAAAACATGCATAAATACACAAACACATATGCATACATACACAAACACATATGCATACATACACAAACACATACGCATACATACACAAACACATACGCATACATACAAAAACACATATGCATACATACACAAACACATATGCATGCATACACAAACACATGTATACATACACAAACACATATGCATACATACACAAACACATATGCATACATACACAAACACATATGCATACATACACAAAAACATGCATAAATACACAAACACATATGCATACATACACATACGCATACATACACAAACACATACGCATACATACACAAACACATATGCATACATACACAAACACATATGCATACATACACAAACACATGCATAAATACACAAACACATACGCATACATACACAAACACATACGCATACATACACAAACACATATGCATACATACACAAACACATGCATACATATACACATGCATAAATACACAAACACATATGCATACATACACAAACACATATGCATGCATACACAAACACATGTATACATACACAAACACATATGCATACATACACAAACACATATGCATACATACATAAACACATATGCATACATACACAAACACATATGCATACATACACAAACACATATGCATACATACATAAACACATATGCATACATACACAAACACATATGCATACATACATAAACACATATGCATACATACACAAACACATATGCATACATACATAAACACATATGCATACATACACAAACACATATGCATACATACATAAACACATATGCATACATACACAAACACATACGCATACATACATAAACACATATGCATACATACACAAACACATATGCATACATACACAAACACATATGCATACATACATAAACACATATGCATACATACACAAACACATGCATACATACACGAACACATGCATACATACACAAACACATATGCATACATACACAAAAACATGCATACATACACAAACACATATGCATACATACACAAACACATGTATACATACATAAACACATATGCATACATACACAAACACATGTATACATACACAAACACATACGCATACATACACAAACACATATGCATACATACACAAAAACATGCATAAATACACAAACACATATGCATACATACATAAACACATACGCATACATACACAAACACATATGCATACATACATAAACACATATGCATACATACACAAACACATACGCATACATACACAAACACATATGCATACATACACAAACACATATGCATACATACACAAACACATATGCATACATACATAAACACATATGCATACATACACAAACACATATGCATACATACATAAACACATATGCATACATACACAAACACATATGCATACATACATAAACACATATGCATACATACACAAACACATATGCATACATACATAAACACATATGCATACATACACAAACACATACGCATACATACATAAACACATATGCATACATACACAAACACATATGCATACATACACAAACACATATGCATACATACACAAACACATACGCATACATACACAAACACATACGCATACATACAAAAACACATATGCATACATACACAAACACATATGCATGCATACACAAACACATGTATACATACACAAACACATATGCATACATACACAAACACATATGCATACATACACAAACACATATGCATACATACACAAAAACATGCATAAATACACAAACACATATGCATACATACACAAACACATACGCATACATACACAAACACATACGCATACATACACAAACACATATGCATACATACACAAACACATATGCATACATACACAAACACATGCATAAATACACAAACACATACGCATACATACACAAACACATACGCATACATACACAAACACATATGCATACATACACAAACACATGCATACATATACACATGCATAAATACACAAACACATATGCATACATACACAAACACATATGCATGCATACACAAACACATGTATACATACACAAACACATATGCATACATACACAAACACATATGCATACATACATAAACACATATGCATACATACACAAACACATATGCATACATACACAAACACATATGCATACATACATAAACACATATGCATACATACACAAACACATATGCATACATACATAAACACATATGCATACATACACAAACACATATGCATACATACATAAACACATATGCATACATACACAAACACATATGCATACATACATAAACACATATGCATACATACACAAACACATACGCATACATACATAAACACATATGCATACATACACAAACACATATGCATACATACACAAACACATATGCATACATACATAAACACATATGCATACATACACAAACACATGCATACATACACGAACACATGCATACATACACAAACACATATGCATACATACACAAAAACATGCATACATACACAAACACATATGCATACATACACAAACACATGTATACATACATAAACACATATGCATACATACACAAACACATGTATACATACACAAACACATACGCATACATACACAAACACATATGCATACATACACAAAAACATGCATAAATACACAAACACATATGCATACATACATAAACACATACGCATACATACACAAACACATATGCATACATACATAAACACATATGCATACATACACAAACACATACGCATACATACACAAACACATATGCATACATACACAAACACATATGCATGCATACACAAACACATGTATACATACACAAACACATATGCATATATACACAAACACATATGCATACATACACAAACACATATGCATGCATACACAAACACATGTATACATACACAAACACATATGCATACATACACAAACACATATGCATACATACACAAACACATGCATACATACACAAACACATATGCATACATACACAAACACATATGCATACATACACAAACACATATGCATACATACATAAACACATATGTATACATACACAAACACATGCATATATACACGAACACATATGTATACATACACAAACACATGCATATATACACAAACACATATGCATACATACACAAACACATATGCATACATACACAAACACATACGCATACATACACAAACACATACGCATACATACACAAACACATACGCATACATACACAAACACATGCATACATACACAAACACATATGCATACATACACAAACACATGCATATATACACGAACACATATGCATACATACACAAACACATGCATACATACACAAACACATATGCATACATACACAAACACATGCATACATACACAAACACATATGCATACATAAACACATGCATATATACACGAACACATATGCATACATACACAAACACATATGCATACATACACAAACACATACGCATACATACACAAACACATATGCATACATACACAAACACATGCATACATACACAAACACATATGCATACATACACAAACACATGCATACATACACAAACACACATGCATACATACACAAACACATGCATACATACACAAACACATATGCATACATAAACACATGCATATATACACGAACACATATGCATACATACACAAACACATACGCATACATACACAAACACATATGCATACACAAACACATGCATATATACACGAACACATATGCATACATACACAAACACATGCATATATACACGAACACATATGCATACATACACAAACACATGCATACTTACACAAACACATATGCATGCATACACAAACACATGTATACATACACAAACACATATGCATACATACACAAACACATACGCATACATACACAAACACATATGCATACATACACAAACACTGTGAAATTGAGGAATCCTTAGAGTCCAACCAGTTCTGGGAGAAATGGAACAACCTAAACAAAACCCAGCAGGATGAATTGCCAATCCAAGATGGAAATACTTGTATTAATCACTTTAGTGAATTATACGGTAATATTACAAAAAATGATGATCAGTACAAGATATTCACGAAATGGAAAACTCTGGAGGCGGTGATAAAACAACCAAAACCCTCTAGATTACCCTGTAACAGAACAAGAATTAACAGAAGTCATCCAGTCCCTGAAAGGAAAAAAGGCTTGTGGTATTGATGGAATCCTCAACGAAATGATCAAATACTCCATAAAATCAGATTGGCTATACTGAAACTATTCAATGCTATTCTAGCAACTGGAACTTTTCCAGACATCTGGAATAAATATGACCCAAATAACTACAGAGGAATATGTGTATCCAGTAACCTGGGAAAAATATTCTGCAACATCATTAATAAACGACTTGTCAACTTTCTTAACGACCACAAGATTTTACATAAATGGCAAATTGTTTTTTTGCCAAATTGCCGCACAACGGACCATATATTTACCCTCCAGACTCTAATTGATCAAGAATTAAACATTAAGAAAAGAAAGGTATATGCCTGTTTTGTTGACTTCCATCTGGCACATGGGCCTCTTCTATGGGCTACTTGAAAGTGGCATTGGAGGGAAAACATACGATTAGATTAAGAACATGTATACAAAAAGTGAATGTGCCATAAAGATTGGAAACAAACAAACAGCGTTCTTCTCCCAGGGGAGGGATGCAATCTCAGTCCAATTCTCTTTAATTTATATTCAATGTATTAGCAAACCAATTAGAGAGTTCCACGGCACCTGGCCTCCTCCTGAGCGACACAGAGATCAGAGGTCTGCTGTATGCAGATGACTTAGTGTTGCTCTCTCCTACTAAAGAAGGTTTGCAGCAGCGCCTTAACCTCCTGCAGAGATTCTTTCAGACCTGGGCCCTGACAGTAAACACAGCAAAGACTAAGATAATGATCTTTCAGAAACAATACAGAAATCAGGTTACACACAATTTCTATTTAGACACCACTAAATTACAACACACAAAAAACTACACTTACCTCGGCCTCAACATTACATACACAGGGAACTTCAACATGGCCGTGAAAGATCTGAGGGACAAAGCAAAGAGAGCTTTCTAATAAAAAGAAACTTTTCCAGTTTGTACTAGAACCAATAATTCTTTATGGTAGCGAAATCTGGGGGCCAAAACTTAATAATGAATTTGACAAATGGGACAAAACAATCATAGAATCTTTCCATAGTGAAAGAGCATCCTGCAGGTGCAGAGAAAGACACCAAATAACCTGTACAGAGCAGAGCTCGGCCAAAACCCCCTTCTACTAAAAATACAGAAAAGATCACTTACATTTCACAGTCACTTCAAATCAGTTAACCCCCAGACATATCATCACAAAGCCCTAACATACCAGGAGCTGAAACCAGAGAAGAGTCCCCTCGGCCAGCTGGTCCTGAGGCTCTCTGCAGTAACAAGTCCCCAACAGCCTCAGGACAGCAACACCAACTCAAGCAGACCAAACCAAATTATCAGCAAGCAGAAAGAAAAATATATTGAATACTGGAAAGAAACGACCAAAACACAAAGTAAATTCCAATGTTATCTGACCCTAAAAAGTGAATTCACACTGGCAAATTACCTGAGCACAATAAAATGTCCCAAACTAAGAAAAATGTTGACAACATACAGACTGAGTGAACACAGCCTGGCCATAGAAAAGCCACAGACAGAGCTGGCTACCACAAGAGGAGAGACTCTGCTCCCAGTGTGACAGAGGACAGGTAGAGACTCGGGGGACAGGTAGAGACTCAGGGGACAGGTAGAGACGGAGGACAGGTAGAGACAGAGGACAGGTAGAGATGGAGGACGGGTAGAGACAGAGGACAGGTAGAGACACAAAGGACAGGTAGAGACTGGGAGGACACGGAGAGACAGAGGACAGGTAGAGACTCAGAGGACAGGTAGAGACAGAGGACAGGTAGAGACAGAGGACAGGTAGAGATGGAGGACGGGTAGAGACAGAGGACAGGTAGAGACACAAAGGACAGGTAGAGACTGGGAGGACAGGGAGAGACAGAGGACAGGTAGAGACAGAGGACAGGTAGAGATGGAGGACGGGTAGAGACAGAGGACAGGTAGAGACACAAAGGACAGGTAGAGACTGGGAGGACACGGAGAGACAGAGGACAGGTAGAGACTCAGAGGACAGGTAGAGACAGAGGACAGGTAGAGACTCAGAGGACAGGTAGAGGCGGAGGACAGGTAGAGACAGAGGACAGGTAGAGATGGAGGACGGGTAGAGACAGAGGACAGGTAGAGACACAAAGGACAGGTAGAGACTGGGAGGACAGGGAGAGACAGAGGACAGGTAGAGACAGAGGACAGGTAGAGACTCAGAGGACAGGTAGAGATGGAGGACAGGTAGAGACACAAAGGACAGGTAGAGACTGGGAGGACAGGTAGAGACAGAGGACAGGTAGAGATGGAGGACAGGTAGAGACAGAGGACAGGTAGAGACTGGGAGGACAGGGAGAGACAGAGGACAGGTAGAGATGGAGGACGGGTAGAGACAGAGGACAGGTAGAGACACAAAGGACAGGTAGAGACTGGGAGGACAGGGAGAGACAGAGGACAGGTAGAGACGGAGGACAGGTAGAGACAGAGGACATGTAGAGACACAAAGGACAGGTAGAGACTGGGAGGACAGGGAGAGACAGAGGACAGGTAGAGACTCAGAGGACAGGTAGAGACTCAGGACAGGTAGAGACAGAGGACAGTTGGCCTGCTGCAGTTAAATATCTAAGTAAGAGACGTCCTCTGTCCCAGAAGAAACTTCTATGTAGAGGACGCTGAATAGTGTGACTGTGACGGGAATTTCATGATTCCATCTTTAAGATACTGCCATGTAACTAATCTCACCAGCCTCTTGGGTATGGGGTCAATGGAAGGTAAATGTGAGTGATGCTTCCAGAGGGGTCAGGACTTTAAGTTGTTCACCACATGTGCTTTGGACAGGAGTGTCCTCCTATAGATCCAAATTGAGCGTCCCCTAGGGAACCCTGAGAGACACCATGTTCCTTTGATGAGATAGTACTCCGACCCTGAGACTACGATAAAAACTGAGACACGGCAGCTCTCTCGGATGATACTCTCCGATGTGTATGTGTCCCTGTGAGTCCCTTCTGCAGAAGACTTGAATAAAATTCACAGAAAGACAAGTGTCCCCCCCTCCGCCCCCATCTCTTGGATAAAATCTACGCCCATGGCTCTATTGTGAAAAATAATGGAGAAAGGGGCGTTTGTGCCTTTATTTCAGAAAATATGGATAAATGTTTAGTTTGACATCCCAGAAAATTTCTGATTAATCTTCATATCTGGCCACATTTCTAATCCATAAATGTATATTCACAGGTAAGAAACTTTGCCTTTTTGTAAGAATCATTTTATCAATTCAATGGCGTCAAAAGTAAAAAGCATTTAAAACAGTTTCAGCTTGTATTCAAAGTTTTTATTTAGTCCCTGATTCCCTGCAGCGCTCTTATTGTTTGACTTGGCTGTAAAAGCTGAGTCAGCTTGTTTTTTTATTTGTGTTTTATACTTTTGTAATTATTGCAAACGCAAATAAAGTTGTTGTTGTTGTTGTTGCAGCCTCCCGCCGCTGGTGGCGCTGTGGGCGCGTTCTTCACAGGAACTTCTCCGCTCGGCATTGTGGGACAACATGGCGGCCGTGTGTAAGGTTGTGTCCAGGCTCGGGTGTGGAGTCCGGTTCTCCTCCTGCAGGTCCACCAGGCTCTGGTTCAGCTCGGACTCCAGCGGCCCCCCCGCCGCGGACAGGCCCAGATCCGGCTTCGCTGCCGCCTTCGACCTGCAGTCGGAGCTCCGGCGGGAGGCGGAGAGCTCCGCGGCCGGCAGCAGAGGCTCCTCCTCCGGTCAGCGGGAGAGCTTCGCCTCGCTGCTGCGCCGGTCCCCGCTGATCCAGATGGGACCGGCCAAAGACAAGGTGGTGGTCGGGAGGATCTTCCACGTGGTCCAGGACGACCTGTACATCGACTTCGGCGGGAAGTTCCACTGCGTGTGTCGGCGCCCGGCGGACGGAGAGAAGCTGCAGCGGGGCAGCAGGGTCCGTCTGCGGCTGCAGGACCTGGAGCTCACCGCCCGGTTCCTGGGGGCCAACACCGACACCACGCTGCTGGAGGCCCAGGCCGTACTGCTGGGCCCGCTGGAGGGGAGGGAAGGACGGGAGCCCCAGAACCAGGACTGAGTGTCAGACTCTGCTGCAGTAAAATCAGAGGTTTTCTAAAGGGAGTCTGGCAGCTGCGGGACTCGGACTGAACGTTTCTGTTCTTAATGCAAAAGTGTGGAGGGGGACTCCTGGTGATTCCGGACTGATGTGTTTCTGTCTTTAAACTTCACAGAGAGTAAAAGTTTACCAGACTGCAGGTCTGATGTGTGGCGTTAATAAACAGCTCGCTCTCACAGTGTCCTTTATTATTATCATCACCTGACTGACTCTGTGTATTTATTACATGAATCTAGAGTCATGGAGAGCCTCGCTGACTTTATCTGGCTGATTCAGATGTTTTTTAAATGATACTAAAGTGAAAGAGATATTTTGAAACAGATTCAGATTTTAGAGCCTTTTCCTGTTTAAACTACAGGCAGAACAGACGGACAGTGAAAGCTGGTCTGTTTGTTCATGGCCTTAAAAGCTTTTGCTAAATGTTAATAAAATAATGAGTCTCAACAGTTTAACATGTAAACAGCACAAACAGGAAGATGCAACTTGTTCTGTATCCGGAGAATAAACGTGTGTGAGCGAATTCACATCTAGTTGATCACAGCGAGCTGCTGTTGAATTCTACATGATGAGATTTAATTTAACTATAAGGACAACATTTCACAGTAGAAATGGGAGCTGGAGAGTTTTGTCAGGGTTAGATTGTTGTTCAGCTCACGTTTCTTTACACGTGTGATCATTTCAGACACAACGACTGTAGCGGACTTTAGAACAGGATCCTTCAGAAACAGGCGAGACACAGTCAGCTGTTCAGTTCACTTTAATGAGAGAAAACACGAAGCTCATCTGCTGCATCAGTGTTGGTTTGACCGAGCCGAACCTGAACGCCTCCACCTGCTGAGGCCTTCACTGTCCTTCATCCTCCCGGTCATTAAACCCAGAGCTCTGACTCACAGGTGGAGGCAGCAGCTCAGAAATACACTAAGAAATAATGCAGAGGCCTAAATGTTAAAGCTGTAGCGCCCCCTATCTGCAGAGGGCAGGCAGCAGCAGAGTACTGCAGTAAATATCTAGTACTGTAGTACTGCTGTAAATATGTAGTACTGTAGTACTGCTGTAAATATCTAGTACTGTAGTACTGCTGTAAATATCTAGTACTGTAGTACTGCTGTAAATATGTAGTACTGATGTAGTGTAGTAAATATGTAGTACTGTAGTACTGCTGTAAATATGTAGTACTGCTGTAGTGTAGTACATATCTAGTACTGTAGTACTGCTGTAAATATCTAGTACTGTAGTACTGCAGTAAATATCTAGTACTGTAGTACTGCTGTAAATATGTAGTACTGTAGTACTGCTGTAAATATCTAGTACTGTAGTACTGCTGTAAATATGTAGTACTGTAGTACTGCTGTAAATATGTAGTACTGCTGTAGTGTAGTAAATATGTAGTACTGCTGTAGTGTAGTACATATCTAGTACTGTAGTACTGCTGTAAATATCTAGTACTGTAGTACTGCAGTAAATATCTAGTACTGTAGTACTGCTGTAAATATCTAGTACTGTAGTACTGCTGTAAATATGTAGTACTGATGTAGTGCAGTAAATATGTAGTAATGTAGTACTGCTGTAAATATGTAGTACTGTAGTACTGCTGTAAATATGTAGTACTGTAGTACTGCTGTAAATATGTAGTACTGTAGTACTGCTGTAGTGTAGTAAATATGTAGTACTGTAGTGTTTCCACTGCAGGTGTCACACTGTCTGTAGTATGAAGCTCACTGCTGCCAGAACCTGAATCAGAACCTGAACCAGTCTTAAAACGTCAGTCTTATATTATTTGAATTTAAACGTTATCTCCTGCTGTCCCACCGCTCACCAGCGGGGGGCAGTAATGTCTTCAAACAGGAAATAACCCGTTCTTTGTTTTGTGGCCTAAAAGTGTCTGAAAATATAAATTCTCATCGTGTGTCGACGTCAGCGTCTTCAGCGTCTACAGAAACACACCAAAAGACTACAACTCCCATGAGCCTCTCCTCGTAAACAATGACACAGCAGCTTAAAAATGATGATTCAGCATCTGATTCATTCTGACTCACTCAGGTCACCTCAGCAGGTATCAATAAATAATAATACATGTCAATAAATTTAAATATTAAATAAATATTCAGTTTCAGATTACAGCGCTGATTAAGTGAATGATTATTTCCTGGCAGCAGTGATTCTCCACGCTGATGTTGGAAGACTTTGATGATGTCAGCACAGTACTGCAGTAGTACTGAAGTAGTACTGCAGTACTGTGCAGCACCGTGTGGTTACAGCTGCAGTGGAGCAGTTTCCTGTTCTTCTTCCTGTTGGAGGCACTTTGACTGGAGCTCAGACTCTTCTTCTTCTTCTTCTTCTTCTTCTTCAGCCACACATGGTCACATACAGCCACTGAGGAAGAGGAGGAGGAGGAAGAGCAGAGATCACACAGCAGAACCTTAAAATAACCTCGTCTCATCTCGGCGCTGAAACCATTTTATTTTATTTCTTTAGATTCGATGAGAGGTCACGAGTCACCAAGTAAACGTCTTACATTTAAAAAAGTTACTTGTTTTATTTAAATTAGATGCTCTTTCTCTGGAAATCCAAAACTGCTCCTAAACTCAACAAACTAAAACCTATTTCACTCATTCTAATGACCAGATTCCATAGAAATGATTAAGAAATAACAATAATCTCTATTTAGAAGCAGGTTACAAAAGAAATAAAAGGTAAGATGAGAGAAGTCAATCCAGACGTAGAAAGACAGAGTTCAGATATAAAATCAGGACAAACTCTCTGATTTAAGAAGAGATTTAAAAGATATCCAGTAAAATAATTGCTGAATATCTTGATGTATTTATTCTCTCAGTAAAATCACAACAGTGAAACGTCCTGTCTGGTCTGTAAACTTAAAGCAAGCCTGCAGACACGACTCAGGGCTTAAATCATCCAGGTAAGGTCAGTCTCTGTCTTTATTTACGGCGAAACGCAGCTGCTGAGTGATTTTCTGTGTATCAGTAACATGATGTTCTAATAAATACAGGAAGAACGTTTCTGGTTCTCTTGTTACGGAACGTCTGAGCGTTTTAACGTTTGGTACCTCGATGATGTTCATCTCTACACTTCCTGTGGCGTCCCGGTCCAGCTCCTGGAAGGTCTCTGAGGACAAACAGGGAGGAGTTTCATTTACTGATCGCTGTCAGGTGGAAAGAAGAATTTCAACACACAGAACAAAATGTTTCACAAGCAACTTTAAGGGAAAGTATTATCAGTTAAATGTACTTAAAGTATTAAAGTAAAAGTACTGCAGTAAAAAAAGTACCGTACAAGCTGTTACTGCTCCTGAATGAATCTAAGTCGCTCTACATGGACAGCAAACTAACCGTTATGACCTAACACCTTATAAATGACTTGGGGCGGTGATGGAACAGTGGATAAGACACACGCCTTTGGTGTGGGAGACCCAGGTTCAATCCCCCGCTGTGTCCCTGAGCAGGACACTTAACCCCTCGTTGCTCCAGAGGCGTGCGACGTATAAAAGCGTCAGCTAAATGAGTAAATGTAAAAGACACGTTAGCGATACGCTAAAAGTGGCAGCTACAGTTACTCACACAATCACTTCCTCTAAAATAAAAGCGGGAGAACATTTTGCTTCATGTCGAGTTTATTAAGAGCTTCAGAAGAGACTCTACTTCCTACACTTCTGAAAAAGCCGTCAGTAAACGTGTGACTGACTGAATTTTCTCAATGAAAAGAAGTGTCCATTTAGGTTTACGAATGCGGATCAACGCGCCGGGATGCAAACACACTACAGCACATGCTTTATTGTCCTTTTATTCAGTTTGTCTATAAATATCCGCTGTCAGATCGAATCCTACAACGTACTTAACGGGAGCCCCGCACAGTACCGACTGCGCTAAACATACACATGATTTGAAATAATTTGACTTTGTTTAATGGCCCGCCATGTAACGGCTTGAAAAATCTTTGGCCCGATGCCAGGCTTACTTGCCGACCGCTGCCATACGTGATTTCCCACCATTAATCAAACGTTTCCAACCATCAACTCGTGGAGCAAACTTTTCTCAGACTTTCTGAGTTGTTCCGACCTCGGGGGCGTTCGTTTGTGCGATTGTTCCGACGCTACATGAACGCACAGTAAATCTGAATGTTTTGTTAGTGAAATCTGGTGAGCAATTAAAAGAAGAAAGGGAGGTCCCTGGCTTCACTTGGTAAAACATGTAACATTAGATATCTCAGTCCCCGGCCTCTCTGTACGTACTGAACATGGCCTCCAGTTTGACCAGGCAGCAGGTGAAGTTGTCGAAGTCGATCATCTCGTTGTCGGCGTATCGAGCGACCAGCGTCTGGTACAGCTTGTTGTTCAGTTTGAACCCTGAGGGCAGCAGACGTCACAGCTCAGATCAACGCAGCGACGGTCAAGAACACGGCGACGTCAGGATCTACGGGACTTACCGCCGTTTTCCAACGCCAGACGCATCTCGTAGGAGCTCATAGATCCTGATTTATCCAGATCGAACTCTCTGAAGATTCCCTGCAGAGGAGAAACAAGCGGTTCAGCCCGGGTTCATCTCATTTTAAATGTTTCTGTAATTATCTGAGCATGTCTCCTGGATGAAGAAACATCACACGTTCATGTTCACCAGTTTGTTTCTAAATACTACAATACCCATGAGCCTCAGCTGCTGTTGCTGTTTAAGCTGCTGAATGTTTGATCAAGTGTAAAGCTCTGCGATTGGCTGTGTGTCAGTGAAATGCACCCTGGGAGTCGTAGCTGACTTCAGGTTTTATGTCTTCAGACTTCTTCTAGCTTCGACTTTGTTTCTGATTCACCTCCGTCACAAAAGCTGCGTATCAGCATCCAGGTTTCCTGAAACTAGCCAAGCTAAGCTAACAGAGCTTTATTCCCTCTCTTCAGTAACTTTATACTGGATGATGTGGGGAACGAACTGTCAGGAGGGAAAAAACAGTAGAGAGAAAGTGCAATTGACTAGAATGTTCCTGGTAAGATAGCGTGTTAGCCGTTAGCTCTAACTTGCTCTGTGAGTAGTCTCTACGTCACCGACACCAGAAACATCCAGACCTGAACAGAATCTGACCACAGCTGCTTCTCTGTGAAGCATCAGACTAAATGTGTTTCCAGCCCAGAACACAATGAAGCTGATGCAGAACTTACCAGCCACTTCTTGATCTTGTTCCAGAGAATCTGAAACTCCAGCAGGCCGAGCCGAGCGCTGCCGTCTTTCTGAGCTCAAGTCAAGGTCCACACGTTTTCATTTCAACAAGTGAAAAAGACTGAACAGCACAACAAATACTTTTACTGCAAATAGAAAAGTAGTTTGTTCTAGCAGCAGTTATCTCTTAGTTTTCACTTTGTTCAACTAAACTATGAGTCACTTCAAATGAAACCAGAGCTGCTGGATCAATTAGCACCCAGGATTCCTTCAAGGACTCATTAGTGTTTTCATGTCAGCCCGTTAACCATTCATCCTGAATACGGACTTTTACTGCTGACAAATAAAACCCATCAGTTTTCACATTTCCTACATTTCCTGCTGCCTTTGGTTTCAGTTTGGTCCTTAAGAGAGACTTTCTGCTGGAGTCTGATAAAAACCACAGCAGAACCAGCGGAACAAACCAGCAGACAGCAGCAGAACCAGCGGAACAAACCAGCAGACAGCAGCAGAGAGAGGATACGTCCATGAGGCTGACCATGGCTCTGCAGGACTCCATGCTGAAACCATCAGTCTGCAGGTCTCGGTCTGTAAACAACCACAGAGGAAGAAGTCAGCCAACCAGAAGTTAACCAACCATGATGGTCTGCTTATGTCTTGAGTGATGAGGTTCTTTGTGTTTCCTTTTGGTTAAAAGACAAAATATTTATTCTTATTGCTAATAATCCTGATGTTGAATATACGTACAGATGTGGTTGGTTTACAGACTGGGAGGCTGCTGGCATTGCAAACATTAGAAACCTCTAGACGAAGCTCTAAAATCTTTTCAGCCATTACAGGAAGAGTTTCAAATATAAAATAAGTATCTTATATACCAATATATAGTGTATGTATAGATACAATCTGAAAATATGTTGCAGTGTGCCACAAACAACGCTGAGTCAATGTGGTCACGTCCATTCATCAGACATCTATTCCATATTTATGTATTTCTACATTTATTTATGTTGACTGTATGTTTGTCTGCATGTAGCAGCTTATCACCAAAGCAAATCCCTGGTATGTGTAAAACACTACTTGGCAATAAAGCTTCTGATTCTGATTCTTCTGATTGTGACACTCCTCTGTCCAACGACACATCGTTGGCTCTGTGTTCTCGGTCCGCTCAGAGTAGCTTATTTCAGGTCTTTCAGTCCTGCACGTCATCATGATGCGATCAATAACTATCAATGTTTCCTTATGAAAGATTATCCAGTGGTTTCCCTTCAGGATGTTTGGCTCACTAAGAGCTCTTTGGCTCTTTGCCCTGTTAAGATTCATGTTTACTTACGTTTGGACACGACTCGGTTGAGGACGGTCCGGAGCTCTCGCACTGAGATCTCCATGTCCTGATGAGAGGAAACAAAATATTATGTAAACTTTTTTTCATCAGAAACGTCTCACAGCTCTCCAAACTCAGAAACAGAGGGTCGCTGTGAGTGTTGGAGTTAGCCTGGATGCTAACATGCTGCTTCAAACACAAATGGGTTTTTTACAGCTTCAGTCTGAATCATTTCAACATCATTAAAGCTCAAACCGAAGAGTTTTAACTATAAAAGTTGAATAAATCTCAGCTGCTCAGAGGACAACACGCTGAGAAGGTTTTCTGAACTGTACATGAAGCATTCGAGACTGAAACACTCACGTCTCCAGACAGCTGAGCGAACATGGACCTGAAGGAGTCATCCACGTCGCTCTCTGTGACTTCCTCCTGCAGAGAGTTTAAGTGATGAGTGACGGACAACGTGTCTGTGTCTCTTTCTGTTGGATTATTAATGGCTGGATAAAAGAGTCGTCAGAACTGAGAGCTGAAATAAGTCAGGGAGGAGCTGGCGATCGTGACAAGAGGAAGTTCTTACCTCTTCATCAAAGGTGGCCTCCACGTCGTCGCCCATCTCCCTGCAGATTCACACAGAAACATTTACGGATTCTTCCTGTCCGAATAAAAACTAGAATAAAAACCCGTCCGGTTCTGGATCTGACAGACTCACTTGGTCTCGGACTGTTTCTCGGTGAACACCCTCAGGACGAAGTCGGCCTCCTTGGAGGGTTCGAAGGTCGACGGGACGATCAGGTACTCACCCGGCGGGAGGCGGAGCCTGGCGCTCACCTCTCGCAGGTTGATGAAGGTCTCAGAGCGAGCGCAGGAGGAGTGGCGCAGGAAGAAGTCCTTCTTCATGTGGACGCTCGGACAGCCTCGGTACTGCCGGGCAGATGGACGCCGGTGTTAATTCAGACGAGTTAAACGTTAGAAAACGGTTTGATCTGACAGTTTGACCGCAGGCCGACTCACCTCCTCAGGAATCTGTGAAGCAGAAAACACAGAGAAGAAGTCATGAAACACAAGATTAACAATCAGTGCTGCTACGAGCTTATTATGGAATTAGCAGCTGGGTGCTGAGATGGTTGAGATCATTAGCATGCAGAAGTTCAGGGAGTTCCAGGACGTTCTTAGCTGTTTGCTGGTTGTTAGAGTGTTTACATGAATAATAATAATGGTTTGTTACGAGGGGGTAATACCGGGGGGTACAGCGGATCACAAGGTTAGTGGTTGGATCCCCCCGGTCTGCATGTCGAGGTCTCCGTGGGAAAGATACTGAACCCCAAACTGTGTGAATGTGCTCATTTCTGTTTCCGACGGGCAGCTGGCTCACCGGTGTGTGAACGGGTGAACGGGGAGGGGTGTTAAAGCACTTCGAGCGGTCGGACTGGAAAGGCTCTTTACAGGTACAGACCTTTTACCATAAAGCACTTTCCAGGCAGAGGCACAGAGTGGCCTTGGTGCTGCAGAGTTAGCTAAAAGGCTAAAAGGTTATGGCAGCTGAACAAGACAGGAAACAAATAAAAAGCACTTAGGTGAAAGCCAAAAGGTAAAAATAGGTTTTAATTCTTAATGCTGAGCAGAAGGCTAAGCTAGCAGCTAACTGGCAGACCTGAGGGGCCTTTGGGGGGTTGAAGGTTCAGCGATGGAGCGGCTGACCGTGCAGAGCTTTGTGTGGATTAACAGATCTGCAGCCTGGCTTTTGTGTGTTTACATCGTAACATTACAGCTGCTTGGCCTCTGACCTCGTAGATGGCGAAGCCGATGGTGTGCACGTCCTGGCCTTGGCGGCGGTAGCGGCGGCGGTCTTTCTGCATCAGAGCCACCAGGAAGCTGCAGGCGGCCTCGTCGTCCTCGGGGTCGTCGTCCTCCTCCAGCAGGGAGATCTTATACTGAGGGTTGATCCAGAACGTGTCTGCAGGGAGGCAGCCACAGCCAAAGCATCATGGGATATGTAGTTTTTATAGCATTGATTTCATTATCAGTGTTGTGCTTTTAGATGTTTATGTGGAGCCCTCTGATTGGCCCCTGTGTGCAGGGCAGGCTCCCGTCTGCAGCTGAATTAAAAGCTGCCACTGTTCACTTTTTAATCCAACAATGGATCCAACATTACCCATAGTGCACCTGGTAGTGTCTTTCATTAGAGCCCAGTTTGGATCACAGCCTGCACGTTAGACAGCTGTAGTCTGATGACTTCACTACATGTGCTGGACCTGTGTCCACACAGACGTTATTATCAGCCTCACTTGGATTGTTCCTGCAGCCCCCGGCGGTGCTTCCTCTCCGCCAGCCGCCCTCAAACATCACAGTGCTCCAGAACCTGGTGGAGTCCTCGCTGAGAGCGTCCGGCGTCAGATTACAGATCTCCAGCCGGGAGAACTGACGCAGGAACTCCTGGAAAGACATCCTGACAGACAGACAGACAGACAGACAGACAGACAGACAGATGGTTACTCTCCTCGTCCTTTACATGAACTCTCCTGTGTGGGTTCTACTCTCAGGTGGGACGTCCTGCTCCGGCCACCTGCAGGCTCACTGGTACCCTTTATAGATAAGGCAGTTTCTGGTCTGCTGCCTTTCTGACCTTATCACGCAGAAAAGTGTGAAATTCTTTATGAGTCTGTACCCCAAGTGGGGGAGTTCAAGTACCACGGGGTCTTGTTCGTGAGTGAGGGGACAATGGAGCGGGAGATTGGCGGCTCTACCGCACCGTTGTGACCAAAAGAGAGCTGAGCGGGAAGGCAAAGCTCGTTCCTTCCCTCACCTGCGGTCATGACCCAAAGAACTAGATTGCGGGTACAAGCGAAACCGAAATGGGTTTCCTCAGGAGGGGGGCTCCCTTAGAGATATGCTGAGAAACCAAGTCATCCGTGAGTCGAGCCGCTGCTCCTTTGTGTTGAGAGGAGCCAGTTGAGGTGGTTTGGGCATCTGGTAAGGATGCCGCCTGGACGCCTCCCTAGGGAGGAGTTCCAGGATGTCCAGCTGGGAGGAGGCCTCGGGGAAGACCCAGGACTAGGTGGAGAGATTATATCTCCACACTGGCCTCGGGATCCCCCAGTTAGATCTGGTTAATGTGGCTCGGGAAAGAGAAGTCTGGCGTCCCCTGCTGGAGCCGCTGCCCCTGGGAACTGACCCGGGTTAAGAGGGTGAAGATGGATGGATTTCTTTCTGCTTTCTGCCCCGTTTGTTTATTCTGCACACTCAACATGGAATACATTGCAAAAGGACTTGAAAGGAGACTTTTGAATCCAAAATGAAAGAATCGCAGTCAGATTCCTTACTATGTTTGTGAAGCGGACTCAGACTTTCTCTCTTACTACGCTCGTCTCCTTCAGCGTCTGTCTGAGCCTCTGTGTCTTCCTCCCTGGTTAAGTAAAGCTTATAATAACGTTAACCTACCAGAACTCTCCGTCCTCCATCTTGCAGAGCAGCTCGTCTTTCTCTGCAGAGTCGACGGCGCTCCACTCTGAGGAGCTGACACACCAACACGTGAAGTTAATCACTTTGTTCTGTGCTGACACACGGCCTGTTTTAAAGCGTAAAGATGAAGCACTGACTTGTCGCTCCAGGCTCCGGTCCACTCCACCTGACCCCAGGGGTTTCTGATCCGGATCAGACGCTCCTGCCGGCCGCGGTACTCCACCTGCAGAGAGGACGACAAACATGACTGGGCGCTGATGCAGAGCGTCTTCTCCGCTCGGTGTCTGATGGCAGAAGCTCACCTGAGTGAGTCCGGTTACAGAGTAGGCGTGGCCTTTAACCAGCTTCTTGAAGGTCACCGCCTCCATGTCGAAGGCGCTGGTGATCTGAGGACGAAGCAGAACGTTAACGCGTGCTGAGCAGCTCCTGCTCACCTGGTGTTAAAACCCGCACCCCAAACCCCGAACCCTAACCCCACCAACTACATCTAAAGTGAACCCGTCTGACAGATTCTGTCTGGTTTTAACCACGAATGGCTCGAGCGTGTGCGTGACTGACGTCTATGGAGCAGCCCAGCAGGGATTCTCTCTCCAGAGCTTTGCTGATGATACGATGAAGATCTTTGGGAGCTTTCTTCAGCTCGTACATCTCCGACACACCGCCCGTAAAGTCCTCGAAACCTTCAGTGGTGCTGCCGCCGGACAACGCCTCGTACGAGCCGTTCAACCTGGGAACACACAGGAAACTGTGAACGTTCTGACTGTAACTGAGGAAAAGCCTCAGAAACATCGAGTGCTTTTAGCTTCCTAAACTCTTTTGATCTGTTCCTAACGAAGAGTTCAGACAGCGTTTCCTCAGCAGGGCGGCGGGCGGGTGGTCTTACTTGGCGTAGGCCTTCTCCAGCAGGGCGCTCCAGAACTCGCTGCCTTCAGCCGAATGGACGAACAGCAGCTCTCCGTCTTTAACCGGCAGACGGTCGTCGATCACCACGTCCACCCACTCGCCGAACTGCCAGAACTGCACACAGACAGACAGAAGCGTCTTATCTTTATATAAATGCAAACGTTGATCTCAAAATACTCACAAGAACAAAAGAGCACCAATGTTTCAGAAAATCTGGAAGTAGACATGAGCTGATCAGAGATTTATAATCAATACAAATGAGAAAACAACCAGTAAAACAGTGGCCTTCTGGGTAGTTATCAACCTCACGTAACACCAAGGGCGTCACTTTGTGTTGAGAAGTGGTGGGGGGGCTCACAGGGGCTCGGATTAGGGCTGTGAAGAGACACTTAGCTCGTGAGACATCACGTTATCAGGTTCACGGGAACGAGATGAAAAGATATTCTCAATGCCGGGATATATGAGCAGGGGGTCAGGGGGCCTCCCCCAGGAAATTTAGATCTTTAAACACTTCAATTCCTGCTTCCTGTGAAGGTTTCTGCACCAATTTATGGTGGAAATGTTTTTATTTATGTAAAAGGAAACACAGAATTCAGGTTTTAATATAAATAACTCTCAGATCTGTTTCTCCTGCAGATCAACCTTTCTCCTGTAACATCGTCCCTGCTGAGGCCTCGTTTAGTCTTCACCTCCTCTGTCAGGCTCACAGGGAGAGAATGGAAAACAAGTTGTTAAAGACCTTTTGGGGCATTTTAGAATCAGCATGTTTTCTTAAAAATAAACCTTTCTAAAAGAATTTCCATTAGTTATTTACCTGTGAGTTGTATTTGTTTTTTTTTTTAGGAAATTATGCTTTAAAAAAGTGGTGTGGACATGTCCCCAGCGTCCCCGGCGTCCCCGGCGTCCCCGGCGTAAATGACACCTATGTAACAAACCCAAAATGAATCAGGTGTAACTCCTCAACCAAAAGGCCCACATGCATAATGGGATGCAATTTGATAGGTCGGAAGCTAAGGATCAAGAATCCATTATAAGGTATAAATATTTCCATTCTAGAGTAGGTTGAGATGAAATACTGCATAAATGAAAGATAAAATTCTCACCTAACAAAGCTATACAGTTAGGGGGGATATCCCTGTTGCATGATGCTGTTTGCAGCCCGACACCTGTAGAAAACTATGAAAAACCAACTCAACATTACCTGTCAGAGCAAACTTGTTTAATTTCACTTACGTGTTACCAAAAGCATTCAGTCCATCTGAATACAGTTGCTGCTGTACATTTCCCCATCAAAGAAAACCTTACAAAGGGAATGAAGTTTGACTCCAAATGGAGCAGATTTATTTTCAAAAACACACCAAAACAGGAAATTTAAAAAAGCCCAACTGAGAAACACAGGTATGAACAACAGGGGGGGGAGGTGCTGGTGCTGGTGCTGGTGCTGGTGCTGCTGAGCCTGCAGCAAACTGCAGCATCTCTGCAGCCAGCTGTTCCCTAAACGTGTGCAGCTGGGTGTGCAGCTTTGACATGTTGGGATCCTTATGAAGAATGAAACTATTCACCACCGCGATGTCCATGTAGAAAAACGTCTTGTACCACTTCATCTTTTGATGGTGGACCCTGTAGTAGCCCTGCTTTTGTTGTAGGCCTCTGCAGCATCAGGAACAGGGATGTCTCGTGTCTGCCGCACATCAGCCTCTTCGGTGTTTCTCCTCACGGTCGTTCCACTGTACGCTTCGTGCACCGCGGAGCACATGTTCACCTCGCGTGTGTCCTTCCACTTCAATACAGCAGCTCGTCTCGTCTAACCCCCTCTGAACCCTCTGGGTAGGTCGTTCTGCGTGGTCTGTGGAAAACCTGCACGGTTTCTGCCAATGGTCTGCGAATAGCTGGTGTGGCTGTTCTGAACCTGCAGACCTACTTGGAGCACGTTTAGGTGCCAACTTCTGCAGCGCCTTTTCTCTCAAGCCCCGCCCACACTACTGCGTACGGAGACCTTTTGCTACGTTTGCACCTCCCGTCCAGACTACAACGATGAAAACAAAGACCTAAAACGGAGAAGTTTAGAAACGCTGCCGACCCCGTTTTGTGTTTCAAAACTCCGGAGGACGTTTTAGTGAAGACGGGCCAAAACGGAGGACTTTAGAAACGATGACGCAGCCGCTCACGCTCGGCTCTCTGATTGGTTCTTGCAAAGCAGAAACACGATGCTGCTGACCCGGTTTTTGACATCATATTTTTAGTAAAATATTCTGTACCGTGCAAATAACATTTATCTGCCTAAACTCGTACTGTGCATGTCGCCGTTTACTCTGCAACGACTCCCAGTCTGTTTTCTGCCGCCATCCCCCCGTGTTACATTCATTAACAGTTCCAGCTCGTTATTGATCCATGCAACAACAAAAAAACTGTTCTGATGCTTAGTCTGTATTTATTTATTCTTTCACCAAATCATCGGTAACTACGGAACAGACCATCTGCTTCCTGTTTACACCAGTGCACCTGAACGGGTCCTAGCTGTGCGTCATTTTAATGTAGACGGAGATCAGCGGAAACGCTGCTGTGGACGGAGATCGTATTCGTTTTAATTCTCTGTTTGTAAACGGAGTAGTGTGGGCGGGGCCTCAGGCAGCGTCTCTGCAGAGGAGTCAGAGTCAGAGCAGGGGGGCCACGAGGACCGGGTTTCTGAGAAGTGGGGGGTCATCCTGATGTCCCTGACTCACCGTCATCATCATCACCATCACTGCTGTGGGAACAAATGTGGAGGAAAAACAAACAGATTTATTTACTGGCGCTAGTTTGGAAAACGTAACACAAGTAGGTTTTATATATTTTTATATATTTCTTTATCTGCCAGCTTTCTGTTATTATTTCTGTTCTTGATGAATGTGCATCTGTAACAAAACAATTTCCCCTCAGGGATCAATAAATATGTCTGATTCTGATTCTGTTTTGGTGAACAGCTTTATTAAAGCTTTAAGAAATTAAATTTGTCCATTATGAGCCTAAAACACAACAAACCTTTTGAGGTCAACATGCTTCAATCAACCAAAAATCTATTTTTTTGTAAGTTATAGCACTTTTCATGCAAAGACCATGTAACACGGGGGCTTCAAGCTATAAAACAAAGACCCCCCCGAACCAGTTATTGTTTATATACAGTCTGTGGTAATAAGCTCCAAACAGTGGGAAAGATAAACAGTTTCCATACCTTTCCGACAAAGAAGGCTCATCTTCGGAGTGACTGTCTGCAGAACATCTTCATCGTCGGACGAAGAGTCAGTCGGTTCACCGGGGGCCCCTTCCTGCGCTTCTTCAGCATCACACTGCGGGTCATTGGAACTCCACCAAGTTCCCGCTAACCAACCACCCCCCTTCACTCTCTCTGCACCACACGGAGGCCCCGCGGGGTCCGAAGATGCTGCACGGTGACCGAACGGCGTGATGCTTTACGGCACCAACACGACTCTTCAGCGAGCTGTAAGATGTGAGCTCTTTAGAAGAAGCTAGCTTCAGTGTGGATATTATGGCAGAAGAGACTGAAGAAGATGAGGAGGAAGAGTGACCGAGCAAGAATAAACATCAGACTGGCTTTTACTGGTTGAGCTAACAGAGCTGAAAGGCTGCGGGACAGACGGCGAGCTGGCCTTCTTCCTGTCGGACTCGTCAGTAATAACTTGTTAGCTGCTCGCTGTGGCAAAGCTAGAGGTTTAGCTGCTAGCTATAGATCTGGAGTTGATGTTAGCGAACACACTCGGACGTCGGCAACGTTACTGTCGGTGCCTGCGTCGGATGCTGGCGAGAGCTTCGTGAAACGGCGTGCATGACACCGGCTCGTACAGCTGAAGTACACTCTGAAACAGTAGGGGCACCACAAAACACATTAACATCTCTTACATAATGTTGCTATTTGAACGCATCGTGAATATGTTAAGTGGGCGTGACCTCTGGATAGGCGGAGTCTCACCTGGAAGTGGAAGATGCCGGCGTATTCGCGGTCGAAGCTCTGGCCGTGAGGAACCACACGATGCAGCAGCCGTTCGTTCAGAGTCAGAGAGCCGATGGCGGCCAGCAGCCAGCAGTCTCCTGCAACGCAGAGTCCACCTTCAGACATTCAGCTGACTCCTCACCTGCTGTCAGCTGACTCCTCTGCTGCTGTCAGCTGACTCCTCACCTGCTGCTGTCAGCTGACTCCTCACCTGCTGCTGTCAGCTGACTCTTCACCTGCTTCAGTTATTACTCTCAAACTCTTTGATCTCAACATGATGCAGATTACTGTGATCTGAACTGTTCTTTCTACATTTATCATCTGCTTCTTGTTTCTCGTCTGTTTTTGTGTGAAACGCTGTAGATGTAAAGCACAAAGGGCTCCACAAATAAACTATTATCATTATTATTATTATTTCATCAGCTGTGTCATCCTGACTGATGGAGGATCAGACTTTATGTTTCCAGGAAGTGTTTGTGCTGCAGCAGCTGGTTAATGTGCAGACTGAACATCAGCTGACTCCATTATCCTGAACAGACACTCTGACGGTCTCCGGGGACGAGCTAATGCTAAGCTAAACGCTAACATCAACGACAACATTAGCCCCTTTCAAATTAAGTTGCTAATGTTTCCTGCTAATGGAGTTTCCACCCACTCACTGATCAATAAACAATCTATAAAGGTCAGGAGCGATGGGCTGAGTGCTGCCTTCAGGTGCTCCTCGCTCAGTAAGTTCTTCCTTCACCGTGTCGTGACGGGCAGGAGATGTTTACATCTGCACTATGTGGCCAAAGGTCTGTGGACAGCCCCCCTGTGTTTCCTGGTGCGTTAGACGCCTCTCTAAGGGAAACGCTAAAACCAAGTCCTCAAACAGCGTCTGTACCTGTGGGGACCTCAATGTTGGCCCCCACATTCATGTGCATTCAGGTTAGTCCCCACTGGGATATAAAAACATGAAACACACACACACACACACACACACATAGCCTTGTAGCACTATCGTCATGGGGACATCTCATTAACATAATCCCTTTACATTAACTCAACCTTTGACTTACACTAAAGCCCAGGAGACTCACCCTGACCATAAACCTTCAGCTGCATGTTGATTTGTGTTTCCCAACAGGCTGAATGCTGGGAGGTCACTTCCTGTCCTGCAGCTCTGAGGCTGATCCTAAGTCAGCACGACGCTCTAATCAAGCAGCAGGACTTCATTCAGAAACATCAACACAAACAGTGGAAACGTTTCCTGCAGGAAGTCTCTGATGAGGCTGCTCTGTTGGAGAACATCTGAGTGCTCGTATCACCTGCTGCCGGCGTCACGGGAAACTAAATGTTTGAGCGCAGCACAGTTACACAAGTTACATGTCATGTATCTAAATAAAAGTATGTTCTGTATATCAGCAGTCTTTGTGTCCTTTAAGTCGTGCGTTTGCTCTGTGACTCAGTCTGCCTCTCAGTAACAGCCTGATAATAACAGACTGTGTTTGGGTCACATGACCGACTCACCCAGCGCCCCCTGACAGATGTCGGTCCTGGTGGCTCCGCCCACGATGAACTGAGGCCTCTCTGTCAGCTCCTGAAACAGCCAATCAGAAACAGCCGTCTGATTTACATCCCAGCCGAGGTCAAAGTGTGACAGATGAAGTTCTAAAGGGTTCTACTGTTCTAACATCTGAAACAGAGAACCTGCTGCTCTCTGGGTTTCTAGACGGACACCTTCAGAGGATCTGGGGTTCTGCTAACAGCTGATAAATACAGGTTAAAAACAGCTGGTGCTGCGTTCAGAGCGTCCCAGACTCCTCAGAACTCTGGAAATCTCCCAGCTTCCTGATAGTTTGTACCATTTTAATTTAACACAGGCAAATATACTTCACGCTGCCTTTTAGCTGACGGTTTCACATGTACAACGTGGGCTGGGAGCTGCTGTTTGACGTCACCCAGCTTCCCGTGAGGTCGGGACAGATTTGAGTTCACAGGCAGGAACTTTAAGAGGTACTTCAAGGTACTTTTTCTAGTTGGAGTTCTGAGTTACCTGAACGCAGCATAACCTACAGACCCCATGGCTCATACATACTTCCTGTTTACATCCCCCAAAGTATTCTGGGAGTTGTAGGCCCAGGTACGATCCTCCCCGAGTTCTGGTTCTTACCGTGGGTCTCTTCCACTCCACCCCTCTGGTTTTGGCGGTGAACGGTCCGAGTTCCTTGAAACCCAGTGAGGCCGGTTCAGCGGGGAACAATGGGTCCTGGAACAGGGATCTATTCTGCAGACAGTCCTCCTTCAGGGCTTGGTAGTCCTGGTTCTGGTAGAGTACGGCCTGCTGGACTGAGCCCAGACCTCCAGCTCTCTGCCGTTCCTTCTGGATCCGGCCCGACACGCCTCCGAACATCCTGATCCACAACAGAAGAACTCATCAGAAACCTGTCAGGGTGTTAATGTCAGCCTCCTCTCAGGCCCAGACCGGGATGAAACGTGGTCAGAACTTCACATCCTGCGCCACCAGCAGGTCTTTGCTTCATGACTCCTGCAGAACTGATGACTTCCCATCAGCCTCAGCTGTTTACTGCTAATCAGCTAATGTTAGCATGCTAACAGGCAGCGTAATAAACATGCAGACATTCGTACCTGATCTCTGTCCAATGGGCTCGTCAGAAGCTGACAGGAAACAGAATCTGGTTAGTTCATCGACCAATCAGAACAAGCCGTCACTACAGGTGCTGGTCAAATAATTAGAATATCATCAAAAAGTTGATTTATTTCAGTAATTCCATTCAAAAAGTGAAACTTGGATATTATATTCATTCATTACACACAGACTGATATATTTCAAATGTTTATTTCATTGAATTGTGATGATTAAAACTGACAACTAATGAAAATCCCAAATTCAGTATCTCCGAGAATTAGAATAATACTTAAGTCCAATACAAAAAAAGGATTTTTAGAAATGTTGGCCAACTGAAAAGTATGAACATGAAAAGTATGAGCATGTACAGTACTCACTACTAAGTTGGGGCTCCTTTTGCCTGAATTACTGCAGCAATGCGGCGTGGCATGGAGTCCATCAGTCTGTGGCACTGCTCAGGTGTTATGAGAGCCCAGGTTGCTCTGATAGTGGCCTTCAGCTCTTCTGCATTGTTGGGTCTGGCGTATCGCATCTTCCTCTTCACAATACCCCATAGATTTTCTATAGGGTTAAGGTCAGGCCAGTTTGCTGGCCAATTAAGAACAGGGATACCATGGTCCTTAAACCAGGTCCTGGTAGCTTTGGCACTGTGTGCAGGTGCCAAGTCCTGTTGGAAAATGAAATCTGCATCTCCATAAAGTTGGTCAGCAGCAGGAAGCATGAAGGGCTCTAAAACTTCCTGGTAGACGGCTGCGTTTACCTTGGACCTCAGAAAACACAGTGGACCAACACCAGCAGATGACATGGCACCCCAAACCATCACTGACTGTGGAAACTTTACACTGGACTTCAAGCAACGTGGATTCTGTGCCTCTCCTCTCTTCCTCCAGACTCTGGGACCTTGATTTCCAAAGGAAATGCAAAATTTACTTTCATCAGAGAACATAACTTTGGACCGCTCAGCAACAGTCCAGTCCTTTTTGTCTTTAGCCCAGGCGAGACGCTTCTGACGCTGTGTCTTGTTCAGGAGTGGCTTGACAGAAGGAAAGCGACAGCTGAAACCCATGTCTTGCATACGTCTGTGCGTGGTGGTTCTTGAAGCACTGACTCCAGCTGCAGTCCACTCTTTGTGAATCTCCCCCACATTTTTGAATGGGTTTTGTTTCACAATCCTCTCCAGGGTGCGGTTATCCCTATTGCTTGTAAACTTTTTTCTCCCACATCTTTTCCTTCCCTTCGCCTCTCTATTAATGTGCTTGGACAAAGAGCTCTGTGAACAGCCAGCCTCTTTAGCAATGACCTTTTGTGTCTTGCCCTCCTTGTGCAAGGTGTCAATGGTCGTCTTTTGGACAGCTGTCAAGTCAGCGGTCTTCCCCATGATTATGTAGCCTACAGAACTAGACTGAGAGACCATTTAAAGGCCTTTGCAGGTGTTTTGAGTTAATTAGCTGATTAGAGTGTGGCACCAGGTGTCTTCAATATAGAACCTTTTCACAATATTCTAATTTTCTGAGATACTGATTTTGGGGTTTTCATTAGTTGTCAGTTATAATCATCAAAATTAAAAGGAATGAACACTTAAAATATATCAGTCTGTGTGGAATGAATGTATACATTATACAAGTTTCACTTTTTGAATGGAATTACTGAAATAAATCAAATTTTTGATGATATTCTAATTATATGACCAGCACCTGTAAACAACAACAAGATAATTTTCACCAAACTTCTCATCGGCGGAGGGATTTACCTTCAGCGCTGCAGCGGCGAAACAGCTGATCAATACTCAGCGACTGTTTAGACTCATTCATGACTCAACATCTTTGCTATGAAACTGGTATCTTAGATTCTGCACTGTGCTGAGACCTGAAGTTTAAGCGCCTGAGGTTGCTGTGGGTGGGATGCCGGGTCTGCAGGTCCCGGGGGGTCCCCCTTTCCCTCTGTGTGAGGTGAGGAGGGCAGAGAGACAGCGTGATGCCTCGGGACATTTCAGCTGCTCTGAGGGAGGATTAGAGGAAGAAGGTACCGACGGCTCGACAGAAACCTGTACGCGTGGCAGCTACTTCTTTATAAAGCAAAGTCCCCGACAAATAAACTCTAAATGTTCCTGCATTTAAGAAGAATTGAAGTGTTGAAGAAGAAGAGATCTGAAGCTTTAGGACGTTTTGTGAGAGAAGAACCTGCAGATCAGTGAACGCTGACGGTCTGCGTTTCAACACCCACAGCAGATTCAGCTGACTCATCACTCTGAAAGCTCTCTCTGTTCTCTGGAGCGCCACCAAAATACCAGACCTGGTTCCAGCTGCACCTTGCTGCTGTGAAAAGAACCAGAACGACCCAGATCCCTGATACGAGTTATCAGCTAGACCTTTAAAACTAGTTCAGATCAATAAAACCATGTGGCCCCGGTCTTAAAGAGGGCCCCTGGTCCTGCAGAGGGCCCCTGTGTGAACATCTACCTGTTCTGTTCCAGGTTCTGTTTGTTGCTCAGGTGGTTTTATGTCCCTGCATGGAGTCCTAAAGTTGGCAGGCAGCTCGGGGAGGTCGGCTCTTTAATAACGCTGAGGTTGACGGTCCGTAGATCAGCTGTGGGAAACGGCCGGTTTCCTCACTGACCACTTTGAAGACTTCATCAAACCTACAGTGTGAAATCACTTTAATAGGTGCTAAAAGCAGGAGCATTATAGACCTGTGCTGTAGAAATAAACCTGCCTGACGTTATTATCTTTCCTATCATGAAGCTGCTGGAAACTTCCCGGCTCGCTGACGTCGCGTTTTACCCTGAACATACTAACATTTTACTGCTTTAACCGAAAACTATCAGAATCTGCGTAACTTATCTGGTCTCACCCCAGGATCCCCTGCTCTGCCAGAGAATTATATTAAATTATTATTCATATATTTTTAATTTAATTGAAATCTACTTTATTCCCTGTTAAAGATCAGCTGGTGACGCTGCAGAAGGACTTCTCTGATTGGTTAATAAACAGGATGGCGTAAACACTTCAGTTTCTGTGAAATCAGCTGTAAACACGGTGAAAACAGCTGATCAGACTCACGTGTTCCTGCTGAGTCACGGTTCGGTTGTAGTCCTCCAGCAGTCCCGCAGAGACCCGGACCAGCTCAGCCCAGTTCGGACAGCAGCTCCCAGTGAAACCAGTACAGGCGGCTCGGTCCGTTGTGTGTCTGGACTTCCTGTCGGGGTTGCGGTCCTGTGCGCTGTGCTGGATGCTGCTGTGGATGCTGTGCTGCAGTCCCGGGCCCCGCCCGGCGGGAGGGGCGGGGTTACATCTCCATCAATAACAGTGAGGGCCCCTTAAAGAGACAGACGGCTGCTGCCTCCTGAGGATCAGTCTGAGGCGGGACAATCCTTCCGTTCAGCTTCTCTTTGACCTCGATAGGGTGAAGGTGGACTCATGAGGACTCAGGAGGAGACCAGGGACCGATCCGACTGCAGGCTTTAAGCTGACTTTATTACACATGAGACCGGAAGTCTCCTGTCCAGCAGACTCTCAGCAGGTTTTCACTGAACACGTTTCTCAGGAAGAGACGACAAAACAGCTCAATAAACAGGATGAAATAAATAAATAATAAATCCGAGTAGAGAAAGTTAAAACAATAAATAAATAAAAATATGGGGGTTATTATGTCCAGATATAAATAGCTTCCTACTTTGACCTTTTTATTAGTTAAATAGAAAAAATTATTTTTTTATTGCGTGTCACAATGAGGTTATTCAGCGAAACAACATTTATGTGTATTTTATTTTGTCATGATGACATCGTTAACTAGACTCTTTCCTGTAGTTGTAAATAATTATTGATTGATTGTATATAGTGTCTGTATTTTTTACATTCCTCTGTCAACCTGAACTTAGTAAAGAAAAATCTAATTTTATCTTCAAGACTCCTCCTGGATGATGTGACGGAGCAGAAAAATGTATTTATGGTTTCAGAGCTGAACATTCGAGGATTTCCAGACTTCAGGATCTGTTCATAAAATAAAGTGCTCTGTTGTTTCTGCAGCTAGCTGAGGTGAAACTACGACGCTGTCGCTTTAAGACCAGACTCCAACTTTCCTCACATCACAGATGAAAGGAAACATAAAAAGAAGCTTTTATGAATATGCAAATGAGGCATTTCCTCACTAAATTTGTGCTGATTTGCATATGAGAAGAGTCAGATGGATTTTTTTTGTTTCATTGTGATAAAAAAACCAAACAGACATTTACTGAATGGTTTATCAAAATAATTTTTCATGGATTTATTCAGAATTTACCTTTATTTTCCACATGTTTACAGATAAACACATAAAAGGAGAATGATAAGAGATATTTAAAAAGAAACTAATCAGTTTGTTCTATGATCTGATCTGAAGGAAACAGGACATTTTGAGAAAACGGCTGTTAAAGATTAGTAACACATCAGAAACACACTCAGCACTGATCTCTTACAGATATATCTGATATATGAATGAGCCAACATTGTGCTCTGAGAAAAGATCAGTCAAACTTTTACTAACAAAGATGAAATTGACTCAATCTACGGACTTGTTGTAAAATAAAATAAAATAATAATAATGTTTACCGGTCTATTTATTTATATAGTATTGTGTACATTTTATAAAAGTCTGGTAATAAAAGCTGCAAAATAACTACTGAACTCCTCAAAATTGACAGATTGAAGGATGTTGCTGCTGGGGAGGTGATGGTGCAGTGGATAAGACACCTGTCTCCGGGTTCAATCCCCCACTGTGACACATCCACCAATGTGTCCCTGAGCAAGACTCTTAACCCCTCGTTGCTCCAGAGGAGTGCGACCTCTGACATGTAGAGCAGCTGTAAGTCGCTTTGGATAGAAGCGCCAGCTAAATGGATGTAATGTGATGCTGCTGCAAGGAATTGTGGGACGGCGTTACCTCCTTTCCTTTAGGATGGTCCAGTGTACTCTACACTGAAGGAGGTAAGAAAGGAAGCACATCCACAATTTCTCATTTTAATTCAAAGATTACCTCGTTTTCTTTGGTTTTACTGCACGTACTCACAGTAACGAGCGTAGCTGTCGTCAGCTCCAGTAACCCGGTGTTAGCTTCACTGTCTCCACCGCGGCGTGTTTTTGACAGAGCAGGCTGGTTTCTCTGCTTCCAGTCTTTGTGCTAAGCTAGGCTAATCATGGATGTATCAGTATACTGAACACAGATGAAGCTGATATCTGAAACATCTGACTCTGGAAAAGATTCACTTTATGTTGGACAGTTCCTGTAATATTCCTCTAGTTGCTTACTAGCTAGCAAGCTAACATGACAGCTTTGTAATGTTAGTTCTCTAGCTACGAAACGTTAGCTAGTTAGCATCCAGCCTCTTTGGATTGGGGGTTCAGGGAATTAATTAAAACAGCCTAGTTTGAACAGTCAGGATGTTCATGGTTACTCTAAAATTAACATCAGCTTGTTAGCTAATGTTAGCATAACTTGCCACCATTGTTTACTAAGATCTGACCGTGTTGTTACCGATGCTGGAAAAGTACTAAAATACCACATTTTCTTTTAGTAATTTTTTTTATTTTAATAGCGCTAGCAGTTTCCCTCTGCTTCCAGTCTTTGTGCTAAGCTAGGCTAACCGTGTCCTGGACCGCTCACTGTCTCCACAGAGTTGAAACCACCCTTTAAATATGAGTTATGACAGAATGACAGAACACATCGGGACGTTAAAGGATTTGTGGATATATTTATTGACTTTACATCGAGTCTTTCAGTTAGTAGTGTAGAAAGTAAAACTCATATAAAACATTAAGATCGACAGGAAGATGTCAACAGGAAAATGGCGTCCGTCAGTAACACTGAAGCTCTGGGCGGACACGGAGCGGCGGCTCAGATCATGGAGAAGTTTAACCACTGCAGGAAGGAGAGAGAAACTCACTGTATGGACCGGTTCTGGTCCTGCAGACTCTGAATGTGTTAAACGTGTGTTTTGTTCTCACCTGGTTGAAGTTGAGCTCGACGGAACCGTTGTTGTCAACGTCGAGCTTCTTGAACATCCCTGAGGAGGAAGACGAATCACACGTCAGCACATTTAGCAGCTACGTTAGCTCACTTTCTAGATGCTGGTGTGACCAGCATCTAGAAAGTCCTCCAGTCCTAAAGGGTTAGATTTTTATCTACCACAGAGACCCAGCTGCATGAAGCCCAGCTGGAGTTTCTGTCCAGTGTTTCTTACTGAGAGTGAATATTTAACACCACACCATATTTCTTTCCTCATAAAACATTTGCAAACCACATTTTCTTTAGATCATATACTAAATTCTGTAAAGTTTACACACAGACGTTTCCTTGCTAGCCTAGTTCTTCTTCACTTACTGCCATCATACAGGTTTTATGTTCTGACCTCCAGTTCGAGCGTTCAGACTGCAGCCACAGGGACCCAAATCAGATTTTTCTGCTCACATGTGATCCAGGTCTGGATCCAGGTCTCTAACAGTGTGAACAGGTCACATGGACTCGGATCTTTTCCAGTTTGGACATGAGGCCCTTTCATTTGTGGTCCAGATCAGATCCAGGTCTGATTGTTTGAAATGCGACCGCAGTCTGCACGTCAGATCTGAGTGCATGTGACTCTGACGTCACTACAGAGCGCCGTCGTCACAATTCAACGCTAAATGGTGAAACAATGAGCTGTTGTACAGAACCAGAAACTGTAATGAATGTGATGAAAAGGACGGAAAGTTGTGACCATTTGTCATAAACCAGGAGAGGGAGATGAGATACGGGAGCGTTAGCAGTCTGAGCGAACAGGAGCAAACCTCTGTGGCTCCGTGTTTCCTGACACATGACAGCGTGCTGTGTGCGTTATTCTTTCAGGCCGTGGACAGTCTGATGTCACACTATAATGTGAACTGTGAGGTAATAAATCAGACCAATCAGATTTTGTCATTTTAGCGGACCGGTCCAAATATTACAATAACCATGAGCCTCAGCCGCTGTTGCTATGGAGAAGAAGGGTGTGAATCATAGCGGCATAGAATTAAAAACTCTTTGTCGTTACAATCGAGAGCAAAACCGACTTCATCCACCGCTCAGAACTCTTTTAGGCTGCAAATTATAATCAGTTTCCTCAACACGTGTAGCTACGGCAGAGGATTCGGATTTGAGTTGTGACTTTAAACTCAGAACTCAAACCCATTTTGGCCCTAATCCTGCTCCGTAGTTAGCCATCGGTGTGCGCAGGACTCACTGAACATCATCTCCAGCCTCATCAGGCAGCCCACGAAGTTGTCGAAGTCGATGGTCATGTCTGGGTCGGAGTATCGAGCCACCAGCAGCTGGTAGATGGTGTTGTTGAGAGTGAAGCCTGGAGGAGGACGAGAGGAGGAGTCAGAACACAGCATCACCACGCTAACATCAACACCAGCACCTCACCGGCGCTCTGAGCTGGATTAGATCAAAACAGACATGTAGTATGAAAAGCGTTAAGAAGCAAATGTTCTGTCTTTCCTGAGCGTCTTATTCTGTTATTTTGGAGCGGTTATGATACGATGACTGACAGGAGCTGCCTGCTCTCTCTCTCTCGTTAGCGCTGCCTGCTCTCTCTCGTTAGCGCTGCCTGCTCTCTCTCGTTAGCGCTGCCTGCTCTCTCTCTCTCGTTAGCGCTGCCTGCTCTCTCTCTCTCGTCAGCGCTGCCTGCTCTCTCTCTCTCGTCAGCGCTGCCTGCTCTCTCTCTCTCGTTAGCGCTGCCTGCTCTCTCTCTCTCTCGTCAGCGCTGCCTGCTCTCTCTCTCTCGTCAGCGCTGCCTGCTCTCTCATTAGCGCTGCCTGCTCTCTCTCTCATTAGCGCTGCCTGCTCTCTCTCTCATTAGCGCTGCCTGCTCTCTCTCTCTCGTCAGCGCTGCCTGCTCTCTCATTAGCGCTGCCTGCTCTCTCTCTCTCATTAGCGCTGCCTGCTCTCTCTCATTAGCGCTGCCTGCTCTCTCTCTCTCGTCAGCGCTGCCTGCTCTCTCTCGTCAGCGCTGCCTGCTCTCTCTCTCTCATTAGCGCTGCCTGCTCTCTCTCTCTCATTAGCGCTGCCTGCTCTCTCTCTCTCGTCAGCGCTGCCTGCTCTCTCATTAGCGCTGCCTGCTCTCTCTCTCTCGTCAGCGCTGCCTGCTTTCTCTCTCTCGTCAGCGCTGCCTGCTCTCTCTCTCTCATTAGCGCTGCCTGCTCTCTCTCTCTCATTAGCGCTGCCTGCTCTCTCTCTCGTCAGCGCTGCCTGCTCTCTCATTAGCGCTGCCTGCTCTCTCTCTCTCGTCAGCGCTGCCTGCTCTCTCATTAGCGCTGCCTGCTCTCTCTCTCTCATTAGCGCTGCCTGCTCTCTCTCTCGTCAGCGCTGCCTGCTCTCTCTCTCGTCAGCGCTGCCTGCTCTCTCATTAGCGCTGCCTGCTCTCTCTCTCTCATTAGCGCTGCCTGCTCTCTCTCTCTCATTAGCGCTGCCTGCTCTCTCTCTCTCATTAGCGCTGCCTGCTCTCTCGTTAGCGCTGCTTGCTCTCTCTCTCTCGTTAGCGCTGCTTGCTCTCTCTCTCTCGTCAGCGCTGCCTGCTCTCTCTCGTCAGCGCTGCCTGCTCTCGCTCTCTCGTCAGCGCTGCCTGCTCTCTCTCTCTCGTCAGCGCTGCCTGCTCTCTCTCTCTCGTCAGCGCTGCCTGCTCTCTCGTTAGCGCTGCTTGCTCTCTCTCTCTCGTTAGCGCTGCTTGCTCTCTCTCTCTCGTTAGCGCTGCCTGCTCTCTCTCATTAGCGCTGCCTGCTCTCTCTCGTCAGCGCTGCCTGCTCTCTCTCGTCAGCGCTGCCTGCTCTCTCTCTCTCGTCAGCGCTGCCTGCTCTCTTGTTAGCGCTGCCTGCTCTCTTGTTAGCGCTGCCTGCTCTCTCGTTAGCGCTGCCTGCTCTCTCGTTAGCGCTGCCTGCTCTCTCTCTCGTCAGCGCTGCCTGCTCTCTCTCTCGTCAGCGCTGCCTGCTCTCTCGTCAGCGCTGCCTGCTCTCTCGTCAGCGCTGCCTGCTCTCTCTCTCTCATTAGCGCTGCCTGCTCTCTCTCTCATTAGCGCTGCCTGCTCTCTCTCTCGTCAGCGCTGCCTGCTCTCTCTCTCGTCAGCGCTGCCTGCTCTCTCTCTCGTCAGCGCTGCCTGCTCTCTCTCTCGTCAGCGCTGCCTGCTCTCTGTCTCTCATTAGCGCTGCCTGCTCTCTGTCTCTCATTAGCGCTGCCTGCTCTCTGTCTCTCATTAGCGCTGCCTGCTCTCTCTCTCGTCAGCGCTGCCTGCTCTCTCTCTCTCGTCAGCGCTGCCTGCTCTCTCTCTCGTCAGCGCTGCCTGCTCTCTCTCTCGTCAGCGCTGCCTGCTCTCTCTCTCTCGTCAGCGCTGCCTGCTCTCTCTCTCTCGTCAGCGCTGCCTGCTCTCTCTCTCTCGTCAGCGCTGCCTGCTCTCTCTCTCTCGTCAGCGCTGCCTGCTCTCTCTCTCATTAGCGCTGCCTGCTCTCTCTCTCGTCAGCGCTGCCTGCTCTCTCTCGTCAGCGCTGCCTGCTCTCTCTCTCGTCAGCGCTGCCTGCTCTCTCTCTCGTCAGCGCTGCCTGCTCTCTGTCTCTCGTCAGCGCTGCCTGCTCTCTGTCTCTCATTAGCGCTGCCTGCTCTCTCTCTCTCGTCAGCGCTGCCTGCTCTCTCTCTCTCGTCAGCGCTGCCTGCTCTCTCTCTCTCGTCAGCGCTGCCTGCTCTCTCTCTCTCGTCAGCGCTGCCTGCTCTCTCTCTCTCGTCAGCGCTGCCTGCTCTCTCTCTCTCGTCAGCGCTGCCTGCTCTCTCTCGTCAGCGCTGCCTGCTCTCTCTCGTCAGCGCTGCCTGCTCGCTCTCTCTCGTTAGCGCTGCCTGCTCTCTCTCGTTAGCGCTGCCTGCACTCTCGTTAGCGCTGCCTGCGCTCTCTCGTTAGCGCTGCCTGCGCTCTCTCGTTAGCGCTGCCTGCTCTCTCTCTCTCATTAGCGCTGCCTGCTCTCTCTCATTAGCGCTGCCTGCTCTCTCTCATTAGCGCTGCCTGCGCTCTCTCGTTAGCGCTGCCTGCGCTCTCTCGTTAGCGCTGCCTGCTCTCTCTCTCTCATTAGCGCTGCCTGCTCTCTCTCATTAGCGCTGCCTGCTCTCTCTCATTAGCGCTGCCTGACTTTTTGTTTGCTGTTCTGACACAAACGTCTCTTTTAGGCGGGTTTTTCAGGGGTGCATCCCCATTGGCTAGCCAGTGTTTGAGTGACAGCTCAGTGCCCCAGATGTTGTTCAGTGCAGTAAGCCGACACTGGAAACTGAACTGCTACAAGATTAATAAAGTGTAAGTATTGATCATATGTTGTCACAGCTGTAACCTGCTAGCTGTGTTGTTGTCTTAAGTTAGAAGCTAGCTAAGCCTTGCAGACTGCATCGTAGGTCTGTTCGGGTCTGCAGGTCACATGGTTCTACAAAGAGAAGGCTGATTAGCAGGTTTTTAACAAAAGCTATCGTGTAACGTACCATCACCATCAGCCTAGTGGCAGTAAAGTGTGAAGAGTCCAGACAGCAGCAGAGAAACAGAAAACAGCAGAGGAAGAAGAAGAAGAAGAAGTAAAGACATGTTAGTGAAGAGCCTAAACAGGAATTACATCTTATTCTGAAAGTTCCAAGTGTGATGACCCTGTCAGCTTTAAAAAACAAACCAGTTCTCTGGAATATAATCTAATATGATTAGATAAAGAAAATGTGTTCCTGAGAAAAACGTGGACGTTCAGAGAGATCTGATCAAAGAGCAAATAAACAAGATGGAACCTCAGACATCTGCTGATTACAGGAAAAAACGTCTTCACAGTCTCTTCAGGGACCTGAACTCACCGACATCAACCACAAACCGAATCATTCAGATGCTCGCTAACTGCAGAACCTGCCCCAGAATCTTCATGTTTTAACTTCAGTATCACAGTAATGTGGACAGCCATGCTAACTGCTAACAGGAGCCGCTAACAGCTGATCCAGCTACTCTGTAAGGGACAGTTTGACTGAATATAAATACAAATAGTCATTGACATTTAACTTGAATCAAAAACATGCCACCATTCTGAAAGTCGAAAAGTAAAGTCTCTAAACAACACGATGAACGTCTTCAAGTCTTAAAGAGTCGTACTGAACGTCTGATGCAGTGTTTGTCTGATCAACCGACTTTGTTCATGTCAACGTCCAAGCTGTAGTTATGAGACACCAGAGCAGCTCTTTGTTGCAGTGAGCAAAAGTGTGAACTGTGAAAAATCTGTTCTTTGAATGTTCAACATCGTCCAGAAATAAAACCACGTGCTGTGATGCTGCTGCAGCTCCGTCAGCCCGAGGCCTCTGAACCAAACCACATTAAAGAAAGAGATGATTTTAGTGAGAGCAAAACAACTTCTGTCTTCAATGTTTCTGTGTGAAAGTGAATTTTGGACACAAGAAAAGGAAAAAGGGCTGAATACCAGGAAATGACTTCTGCTCCAGTTTCCTGAACAGGGATCTGTGTTTGTGTTCACACTCTGTCGTCTGCAGAAACATCTAAATATTAAATAACATGTATTTCCTTCCTGCCGCTGCAGCAGTGATGCGTCAGCGTGTTCGCTGCTGCTGCAGTAGAAGAAGAAGAAATAAAAACTGACCTGCGTCTTTCAAGGCGATTCTCATCTCTGGCGTGCTCATCGTCCCCGAGTTATCGCAGTCATTGTTCTTATAGATGGACTGCATGAAAAGACAGACGGCTGCTGGTGACCTCTGACGGGTAAATTCACACGTTTGGATTTTAAAAAGGTCAAAGGTCACGAAGGTCTTACCAGATATCTTTGCACCTTCTTCCACAGCGTGGCGAACTCTCCGAGGCCGAGCTTCCCGTTCCCGCTGTCCTGATGGAGGGTTAAGGATCACGGAGGGTTTTTAGTCTGCTGTAGGAGCTCTGAGAGGAAACGTCGCGCTGCAGGTAAGATATTTATTTTATGACCACGACAGAATCGACATGAACTCAGTCAAAGCTAACGAGCTAACAATGCTAACGAGCTAACAATGCTAACGAGCTAACAATGCTAACGAGCTAATGAAGCTAACACAGCTAACGAGCTAACAAAGCTAATGAAGCTAACACAGCTAACAAGCTAACACAGCTAACTGCTGTACTGAAAACTCCTCTTCTTCTTAATCAGGTCAGCGACGAGTCAACAAATATTTTTAAACTGATGACCAATTTCACGTGTCTTAGCTCACAAGCTAACGTTAGCATGAACTGCCTGGTGTCTAATCACAGAGCGGGTTAAAGGATGCGTCCATCAGGTTGACCATGACCCTGCAGGTTTCCATGCTGAAGCCGTCAGTTTTGATGTCAGTTCCTGTGAAGAAGAGACAGGAAGTTGAAACTGAAGCTGAACAGGTGAAGCTGAACAGGTGAAGTGTTGTAGCTGCGACTCAACTTACGCTTGGAGACGATCTTGTTCATGATGGACCTGAGCTCCGTGGCGGAGATCTCCCCGTCCTGAAACACAAGAGGAAACACGTCACGCCTGGCTGCTGCGTAGTGAGATGTTCTCAGGTTTAATGAAGCTTTAGAGCTGCATTTCAGTTTCAGAGAGATGAACAGAGAAGATTACCTCTCCTGCGAGTTTAGTGAAGAGGCCTCTGAATCCTGAGTCCACCTCCGCATCAGACACCAGCTCCTGAACACACGTTAAACTTTATTCACCAACACTGACTGAAACGAGTCAGCTGCTCCCCCACAAATTAAAGATACTTCACTTGAGTGTTTTGTTTGCACCACATCTCAGAGGCAGATATTTTCACTTCACTCCGTTTATCTGACAGCTTCAGTTACCAAGTCAGATTTTTACACATGAAGAGTTCATAAAATACGTTTGGTTAAAATGAAACTTTTCATGTTTCAGCCTCTCTCATGAAGACCTGCTGTAATAACCATGACGAGCTCTGGACTGCTGCTTCTGAAGGTGTCTCTTTGGGCTCTGGGAAACTGTGACAGCAGAATCTTTACAAACCGAACGACCAGCGGACCGAGGAAATAATCAGCAGCCATGCTGCGCAGTAATGAGGAGGAAGAAGAATCTAAAATAATACTTTTACTTTTCCTATACTCAGACTTTTACTTCAGTAACATTTTAAATGCAGGACTTTTACTTTTAACAGAGTATTTTGCAGCGTGGTATCAGTACTTTTACTGAAGTAAAGGATCTGAATACTTCGTACCCGGCTGGCGGTTACAGATAATAGCGTCCTGAGCCTTTATTGGCTGAATACTGTAGTAATAATACGCTAAAGTCTCAAATACAAGGACGGGAGGAGGAGCCTCAGAGACCAGATCAGGTAATGCTTCCCCCCCCCGAGCCGTAGCCCCGAACTGTACAAACCTACATGAAGGTGTACTTACATCCTGCAGGTCTGCGTTGACCGGGTCGTCACAGGGTCTGACAGGACAGAGAGCTGTTAGAAACGTCTGGAAGCTTCGTCACATCATCATCATCAGTCTAACACTCGCTCACTGTGAGCGCTCTGCCCCCCCCACAGTAAACACTAACAGAAAAACCAGACTCAGACTCTCAAAACCTCCATTCAGACACACCACAGAGAGGCTTTTGTACAGGCTGTGGACCTGAACAGGGACCAAGACTGAACCCTGGACAGGGTCAGCCCTCCCTGCCCAGAGACCTGCAGCGTGGCTACAGCAGAGCCTGAATAACAGAGCAGCAGTATGCGGATCTTACTGGGTCTCCGTCTGCTTCTCGGAGAACACCCGGATGCAGAAGTCTCCGTTGAGGTGCGGTTCGAAGGTGGAGGGGACGATCAGGTACTCTCCGGGCGGCAGCTTGAAGCGGGAGCAGACCTCGCGCAGGTTGATGAAGGTTTCTGACCTTGCCGTCTGAGCGTGGGTCAGGAAGAAGTTCTTATCCAGGTGCACCTCCCTCTGGCCCTGGAACTGAGGGGGGAAACTCACATTGTGACACCTGGGCAGGTGGTGCAGCGGGTACCTTTACAGCTCCACCTGAAGCGCCGGGTTACAGGACTAGAAAAGGGACCCGGTCTATCAAAGACCTGGACCCTGCTGATCAGTTCCAAATCATCCAGCAGTCCTCACTTACAGGTATAGCAAACATTTGGTCCACGTTACATTCAGGAGCAGCAGTGAATCTCTCTCTGATGGTGCTTTCAAGGACCCTCTGACATCTGAGCGCTGAGAGTTTAATCTGAACCCAAACTGACAAAGCTGATGTAACGAGTTGATCAGGGAGCTTCAGAGGAGCTGGACTGGGTCACCTAGGGTTGGGTATCGTTTACCAGTATCAGCACCAAAACCAGTACCCTTAAAGTGACACCGGCAGAAAACGCCACCTGTTGAAGCCGCAGTAGCTGATTGGCTGCTGATCTGTTTTATTCTTGTTTTAAATATTAAAAGTTTTGGAAACTGTCAGGCAGTGTTTTACGGGCAGAGACTGCAGCTGGGAGCTTATATATCTGAACGAGAGGAGGAGTGAAACAGTTTAGTGACCAGATAAGTTCATTTTTGATCCGTGTGTTGAAAGTAAACAACGATCAAGAAACTGAAGCGAGAGATTAACCGAGTCAAACCTCCAAAAACACTAAACTACACTAAACCCTCACAGAGGAGAGAGAATCTGCAGCTCCAGCTGATCAAAGCAGCGGCGTCAGGAAAATCAGCTGATCGCTTTAGCTGATGTGACGGAACGCAGCGATCGACCAGAGACACGCGAAGAGAAGAGCAAATAAAACTGCCAGCTGAAGGAGATAAACGCCTGAGACGCAGCCGGCATGTCAGCATGGACTGAGCGCTGCAGCCTCTTCTACGGTTTATGGTGCAGGAACATCCGGAGGAGGAGCTGCTCGTTCTTTCTCTCTGATGTTTGAGTGTTTGGCTGCAAGCAAAAACATACAAACCCGATCTGGTGACAGAAAGTATCGAGTGAAGTACTGGCCTTTCCATCCTACTCCGTCCCGGGCTGCTCCTGTCGATCCTATGAAGGTATCGAGTAGCGATACCTGTCCCTAGTGTTGCCTTTTAACACGCTAGCTGTTTCCAGTCTTTATGCTAAGCTAAGCTAAGCTAAGCAGCTGCTGGCCTCAGTCTGAACCTGTCTGAGATTTACCTCCACGTCCCTGTTCACATTTTGTCTGTATCTGATCTTTCTCCAGACAGCGAAGAGTATCCACAGCTGAAGCGTTCTGCATGGCTGCTCCGCAGAAGATCTCCAACATGAACCCTGAAATCAAAGAGTGTGACCTGTGACCTGAAGGTCAGGGTCCAGAGCTCACCTGTTTCGGGACCTGCAGCGAACAGAAGAGGAGAAACGGGTTAGGTTGGACTGAATCTGTGTGCGCGTCCTTACTTCTTGAACTGATCTCAGAGCGGACCCCCCCGTCCTCACCTCGTAGATGGCGAACCCGACGGTGTGCATGTCCTCTCCTTGTTTGCGGAGCTTCCTGCGGTTCTTCTGGATCAGCCCGACGACAAAGCTGCAGCCCACCTCTCCGTCCTCGGGGTCGTCGTCCTCCTCCTCCAGTCTGATCACAAACTGAGGGTTCATCCAGAAGGTGTCTGCGGAGGAAACAACAGCTGAAAGACCTGCAGCTGCGTCACACACCGCTTCACCCCGACGCTCTAACTGGCTTTGACCCTGAACATGCCTCGGGGCCTCGGGGGCCTCGGGGCCCGGATCAGCAGCAGCTCCGGTACTCACAGGGGTGGTTCCTGCAGCCTCCGGCCGTGGACCCTCTCCTCCAGGTTCCGTCGAACTTGCTGACGCTCCAGTGTTTGACCGAGTCGTCCTCGATGGTGTCGGGGGTCAGAGTGCACAGCTCGATACGAGAGTAGTGACGCAGGAAGTCGTTGTAGGACATCCTGCAGAGAGGGACAGGAGGAGGAGCTCTCACTCTGCAGCTGCAAACACCACCACTGTTCACCTCCGCTCACCACCGCTCACCTCACCAACCCTCACCACCGTTCACCACCGCTCACCTCCCCTCACCTCCCCTCACCACACCTCACCACCGCTCACCTTCCCTCACCACCGCTCACCTCCCCTCACCACACCTCACCACCGTTCACCACCGCTCACCTCCCCTCACCACCGTTCACCACCGTTCACCACCGCTCACCTCCCCTCACCACCGCTCACCTCCCCTCACCACACCTCACCACCCCTCACCACCGCTCACCTTCCCTCACCACCGCTCACCTTCCCTCACCACCGCTCACCTTCCCTCACCTCCCCTCACCATCGTTCACCTCCCCTCACCATCGTTCACCTCCCCTCAGCACCGATCACCACCGCTCACCTCCCCTCACCTCACCTCCCCTCACCATCGTTCACCTCCCCTCAGCACCGCTCACCACCGCTCACCTCCCCTCACCATCGTTCACCTCCCCTCAGCACCGCTCACCATCGTTCACCTCCCCTCAGCACTGCTCACCACCGCTCACCTCCCCTCACCACCGCTCACCTCCCCTCACCTCCCCTCACCTCCCCTCAGCACCGCTCAGCACCGCTCACCACCGCTCACCACCGCTCACCATCGTTCACCTCCCCTCACCACCGCTCACCGCTCACCTCACCATCGTTCACCTCCCCTCACCATCGTTCACCTCCCCTCACCATCGTTCACCTCCCCTCACCATCGTTCACCTCCCCTCAGCACCGCTCAGCACCGCTCACCTCCCCTCACCATCGTTCACCTCCCCTCACCTCCCCTCACCATCGTTCACCTCCCCTCAGCACCGCTCACCACCGCTCACCTCCCCTCACCATCGTTCACCTCCCCTCACCACCGCTCACCTCCCCTCACCTCCCCTCACCTCCCCTCAGCACCGCTCAGCACCGCTCAGCACCGCTCACCACCGCTCACCTCCCCTCACCATCGTTCACCTCCCCTCACCACCGCTCACCGCTCACCTCACCATCGTTCACCTCCCCTCACCATCGTTCACCTCCCCTCACCACCGCTCACCTCCCCTCACCATCGTTCACCTCCCCTCAGCACCGCTCAGCACCGCTCACCTCCCCTCACCATCGTTCACCTCCCCTCACCTCCCCTCACCATCGTTCACCTCCCCTCACCATCGTTCACCTCCCCTCAGCACCGCTCACCACCGCTCACCTCCCCTCACCATCGTTCACCTCCCCTCACCACCGCTCACCTCCCCTCACCATCGTTCACCTCCCCTCAGCACCGCTCAGCACCGCTCAGCACCGCTCACCTCCCCTCACCATCGTTCACCTCCCCTCACCTCCCCTCACCATCGTTCACCTCCCCTCACCATCGTTCACCTCCCCTCAGCACCGCTCACCACCGCTCACCTCCCCTCACCATCGTTCACCTCCCCTCACCATCGTTCACCTCCCCTCACCACCGCTCACCTCCCCTCACCATCGTTCACCTCCCCTCACCACCGCTCACCTCCCCTCAGCACCCCTCACCACCGTTCACCACCGCTCACCTCCCCTCACCTCACCACCGTTCACCACTGTTCACCACCCCTCACCTCACCACCGTTCACCACTGTTCACCACCCCTCACCTCCCCTCAGCACCGCTCACCTCCCCTCACCACCCCTCACCACCACTCACCTCCCCTCACCTCACCACCGTTCACCACCCCTCACCTCCCCTCACCACCGCTCACCTCCCCTCACCTCCCCTCACCTCCCCTCACCACCGCTCACCTCCCCTCACCTCACCACCGCTCACCACCGTTCACCAGCGCGACCTACCAGAACTCTCCGTCCTCTGCGTTGGCATGTGGACAGTCTCCCTGCACCTGGCTCCACTCAGACGACCTGCAGGACCAGAATGAGAATGAGAACAGACTTTAGGCCGCATCAGAACAGGCTCAGGAACCGGACCAGAGAAGGGGGCCCGGTTTGGCTCTGAATACTTGTACATGTATAAATAAGTGTGCTGTTGTATTTGATTCTCTATGTTACTGTACTTTAACGCAGGCCTACAGTTAGTCCACACGGCGTTTCGACACTAATAAACAAGCTTGGAATTGTCTCCCTGAGCGTGTTTATGTCGTCTGAGCGCTGCGGCTGGTTGGCTGGTTACCCACCCGTCGCTCCAGGCTCCGGTCCACTCCACCTGACCCCAGGGGTTCCTCATCCTCACCAGCTTCTCCTGCCGGCCCCGGTAGTTCACCTGGAAACCACAACAACATTTCAGTCCGGTTCGTATCGTCTCCTCTCGCTCCGTCTGAAGGACGTGACGTTACCTCCACGGCGCCGGTCAGAGAGTAGGCGTGGCCTTTCACCAGCTTCTGACGGGTGATGGCCTCCGAGTCTGCGGCACTAGTGATCTGCACCAAAACAACAACAGGGATCATCAGAAACCTGTTTCTATCCAGCCGGTGTTGCTGTGATGAACTCTGTTCACGGGTCAGGAGCGTTCACTCCTCCACCACAGCGTCCACGTCAGCTTCCCGTGTTTACCTTTATTTACCCAGAAATCTCTGTTCCAAAGCAGACGGCTCAGCAGATACAACTCAGATAAAACTCAGTGAAAACAAACAAACACCACGACTCCAGGTCTCACGAGGCCTCACTCTCTAACAGAGGTCAGTAAAAATCTTTGAGCTGTCGGCCTCTGGCAGGAAGTGATCTGTGATCGGAGCAGGAAACTGGACTTTTAGCTGGTCTGTGTTCCAACATCAGGTTTAAAACATCTCAGATCAACAAACAAACGTCTCTCCACGACTCCACAATTAGAGTTTGAGGTCTCAGACTCACGTCGATGGAGCAGCCCATCAGGGCGCCGGCCTCCAGGGCCTTCTTGATGATCTGGAACAGGTTGGCGGGGGGGCGCTGGAGGTCGTAGTTCTCAGCGATGCCTCCGGTGAAATCCTCAAAGCCCTCTGTGGTGGAGCCGCCAGACAGAGCTTCATAGCAGCCGTTCACTCTGGAGAAAAGGCAGTTTTTTAACCAACAAAGAGACGGAGTACCACCTGCAGAAGCTGAAGGAGGTCAGCTACACTTTCTGTGTACTATGTGTTATAATACGTTCAGAGTACTATGTGTTACGTTCAGAGTATTATGCGTTACGTTCAGAGTACTATGCGTTATGTTCAGAGTACTATGCGTTATGTTCAGAGTACTATGCGTTACGTTCAGAGTACTATGCGTTACGTTCAGAGTACTATGCGTTACGTTCAGAGTACTATGTGTTATAATACGTTCAGAGTACTATGTGTTATAATACGTTCAGAGTACTATGTGTTATAATACGTTCAGAGTACTATGTGTTACGTTCAGAGTATTATGCGTTACGTTCAGAGTACTATGTGTTACATTCAGAGTATTATGCGTTACGTTCAGAGTTCAGAGTACTATGTGTTACGTTCAGAGTTCAGAGTATTATGCGTTACGTTCAGAGTACTATGTGTTACGTTCAGAGTACTATGCGTTACGTTCAGAGTATTATGCGTTACGTTCAGAGTACTATGTGTTACGTTCAGAGTTCAGAGTACTATGTGTTACGTTCAGAGTTCAGAGTACTATGTGTTACGTTCAGAGTATTATGTGTTATAATACGTTCAGAGTACTATGCGTTACGTTCAGAGTATTATGCATTACGTTCAGAGTACTATGCGTTACGTTCAGAGTACTATGCGTTACGTTCAGAGTACTATGCGTTACGTTCAGAGTACTATGCGTTACGTTCAGAGTACTATGTGTTATAATACGTTCAGAGTACTATGTGTTATAATACGTTCAGAGTACTATGTGTTATAATACGTTCAGAGTACTATGTGTTACGTTCAGAGTATTATGCGTTACGTTCAGAGTACTATGTGTTACATTCAGAGTATTATGCGTTACGTTCAGAGTTCAGAGTACTATGTGTTACGTTCAGAGTTCAGAGTATTATGCGTTACGTTCAGAGTACTATGTGTTACGTTCAGAGTACTATGCGTTACGTTCAGAGTATTATGCGTTACGTTCAGAGTACTATGTGTTACGTTCAGAGTACTATGTGTTACGTTCAGAGTTCAGAGTACTATGTGTTACGTTCAGAGTTCAGAGTACTATGTGTTACGTTCAGAGTATTATGTGTTATAATACGTTCAGAGTACTATGCGTTACGTTCAGAGTATTATGCATTACGTTCAGAGTACTATGCGTTACGTTCAGAGTACTATGCGTTACGTTCAGAGTACTATGCGTTACGTTCAGAGTACTATGCGTTACGTTCAGAGTACTAGGAGTTATATTCTCGCAGTATCTGCGCGTTAAAACAAAAAGCTGTGTGAGATTTACAACATATTCATTTCTTTCTTTCTTTTGTCTTCGTTCAGATTCTCTTTGATTGACCTCGCTGGTGATTTATCTGTAGAATCAGCTGCTGGACAGAAGTTGTTTCCCTGCTGAATATCCTGATTTTGAATAAAGATTTGAAAAATTGATGATTGAGATGTCAGAGATTATAATGAGACGAGATCTCATTTCTGCTCTGCTGAAACACAGGAGCTGTTAAAGTCCAGGAGTTCATCGCTGAACTAAAGTCAATTCATTTGTCGTGGAGGTGAAGAAAAGGAGCCACAGTCACAGTAAAGAGGTCACAGAGACACAGAGAGGAGGGGAGGCTGGACCAGGACTCAGGAGAAACTGATCTGAGAGCAGCTCTTTCCACAAATAAAAACACTTCCACCAGATTACTGATGCAGAAGAGGACTCCGCTCTGAAGGTCTCAGGACATTAAAGTCCTCCTTCCTTTTGTCTCGGCTCTGCTGAGATTAGCTAAATGCTAATGTGCTAACTGAGTTCTGGCCTGCGGCTGCAAACTGCTCCAGTTTCAAAGCCGAATCAACCTTTAGCTCATCACTCTGTGCTGCCGAGCGACGATTAAAGGCTGACTGAAGGAGCAGTCGGCTGATCCGACAGGTTTGGGGAGGCCGACAGGTTCAGGAAACGGATTTGAAGAGCAAACAAAGGAGAGTCAAATTAGAACCTAACTGCAGAGAGAGTCAGTGCCGCCGCCGTGTCTCAGATAGCAACTCTGTGCTGTTATTACTGTTGGACGCCCTGCAGCCCTGCAGACTGTCCCCGCCCCTCCAGCTGTCTTTGTGAACCAAAGGCCGCCAGGCTGGATTCTTACTTGGCGTAGGCCTTCTCCAGCAGGGCGCTCCAGAACTCCCGGCCCTCCGCCGAGTGCACGAACATCAGCTTCCCATCGCTCACCGGCAGACGGTCGTCGATCACCACGTCCACCCACTCGCCGAACTGCCAGAACTGCACACAGACAGTAAGTACTCAGGTACACAGGCAGGAAGTACTCAGGTACACAGGCAGGAAGTACTCAGGTACACAGGCAGGAAGTACTCAGGTACTCTGGAGGCTCCAGCAGCAGGTTTCAGGTCCCCCAACATGTTAAGTACTGCAGTTTTTCAGACCCTTCAGTAAAAGTACTGATACCACACTGTAAAACTACAAGTAAACGTTCTGCATGAATATGTTACATAACTTATATTTTATTTACGCTCATGTCTCTCAGATGCTGTTCAAAGTTAATAATATTCGATCTCTAGTTCCTATTTCAGATCCTCCATGAAGCATTTCAAAAACATGAAGCAGAGTTCAGGAAACGCACAATGTTTCCTAAATCAACCAGTAATGTGTAAATAATCATGCCCTGTTGTACTACCACATATTACTGTGTAGCATGAGTGTATCAGTACTCACGCTTTAATGATATTAAAAATATATTGAACTTATGATGAGAGAATCTTTCCATCTGTGAAGCTGAAGCCACTTTCCATCATTTACTTCTCTAACTTCGACTGGATGAAAGCGTGAAGCTAAATGAGAACGCTTGTTTTTTAGCTTTTTTCTGAGCTCTTTCAGAGCGCGGCGTGGACGCCTCCAGCCCGCTCCTCCGTACGTTCACTACTTGTTTGTTGTGTGTGTGGTATTTCTTAATAATGGTTTATGTACTTTGTGTTTGTGGAGTTTTGCGGTCAGCACGTGCGTGCCGCTGCCTTCTGAAGCTCGTGGCTGGCTGCTTTTCACCTTTAAGACCTTTAAGACGTTCTTACAGACTGGCGGCACTTTGACCCGCTCGTGTTACCTGGAAGTGAAAGATGCCGGCGTAGTCGTCACCGAAGCCCTGGTCGCTGGGAACGACTCGGGCCATAACATACTCATTCAGGGTCAGCGAGGCGATGGCGGCCAACAGCCAGCAGTCACCTGCACAGACAGGAAGACACTCAGCAACACGGACTCAGGACCGCCCCCTACAGGACGTGTTCTTACAGAGTGACCGGGGGAAAACACTAAACCCTCAGAATCCTGGGACCAACAGCGCCATCTAGTGAATTGCTGATGGTCACGCAGAGCAACACGTGGGAGCCGGTCTGCCAGCACGTCGGCCAGTCAATAACTTAGGTTTAGGCACACCCCCTGTGATGGTTACAGGTCGGGTCGTGGTTGTGATACTGCCAGCTAGCTGGCTGACAGCCACCCGAAGCCAATGACCCACATGCGTGTGCCTAAACCGAAGTTATAGATTATATGCGTGTCGACCGCTTAACCCTACAGCTGCTAGCACACAGGGTTAACCTGGTCCTAGGACTTCTGTCCCAGGATCGCATGGGTCCTGAAACTGCAGCTATGAAATATTGTTTGGGGAGGTTCAGGAAACACCTTTAGGAGGAACAAAGTTAGCTTGCGAGCTAGCTTGCAGTGTCATGGACAACTAGGACCCTACAAATGAAGTTCCGGTCCCAGGAGTGCCGTCCTGAAACTGCAGCCTCCGGTACCGCAGATACATGCTGCTACCACGGGGTCACGTACAGAGTCTGTCCTCTTAGGGTTGGGTACTGAAACCCGGAGCCAGTATGGAACCGGTTCCTATATGACCACTATCTACTAGACCGAATTAGAACGCACTTGGATCCCTAACTCATGTTTGCCGCATGTGGTCGCTAGTTACCGTATTCGCCTCGCTGTGATGAGGTCACCAGCTAGCTTACCGTCAGCGAGCTGAAACGCCTGAAGCTAAACGTTCGAAAAGTGACGCTGTATTTTACAAGAAAGGATTTTGACACCGGAACGTGCAACTAATTGTAAAACAACATTCTGTCGAACCTGATGGACCTTGTGAACCACGCGGCGACACACGGACTAAAAGTAAAAGCACCGAGTCCGAGCGCTCGCTGGAGACCGACCCCAGCCCGACCGCGACTCCTAGAGAGGCGGAGAACATTGATTTTCAGGACGGAGAGCGCAGCCTTTCTGCAGGTGAGGGGTTAACCCAACGGTCATTGCAAATGTTGCAGCGGGGGTACCTCGCCGTGTTGTCTGCACTTTCCAACATGTACCCGTGTGCGCCGCCCTCATCGACCCCATCCGAGCCGGGATCTCCTGCGCAGGAGTTCAGACTTCTTGTGGCGTTCACACCTCGAGCTGACGACGACGCGGTCTGGTCTGAAACCAGGTTTTGTCATGAAACACACGAGAGAAGTGACGCAGTTGTTAAGAATCTGGGTGGTTCAGCACAGGCGGGCTCAGGGAGAAAAAGTAGCGGCCTGCTCTGATTGGCTGGACGCGGAGTCGGCCGGCGGCTCCAGATATTTAGCACGCTAGATATCCGTCTAACGTCAGCGATGTGTCGTTGAGTAGTTCAGGAAGCGTATAATCCCAAACGGCAGCAGATATTAATCAGAGAATGAATATTTGTCATGTTCAGGAGGTGGAGCCTGTGGGCTGGAAGGTCAGGGGTCAACGACATCACGGGTTTCATCATGAATCTGCACACACAAACCCAAACATCCAGCTGCAGACAGGTGAGTCAGAACGTGTCCTGAGGTCAGAGGTCAGCAGTTAAACCACTTCTACCAAACATGATGGCGAGGAAACAGCGGCCCTGCTCGCCATGTCTTTAGGACTCTTTAAAACAGAGTATTCCTTCCCTTTGCTGCGCTCCTCACCTGAAAACTTTAATCTAACATTATTACAGACAGGCTCAGCGTTTCTTCTTCACAACAACTCAACACGTTTGAGATTGAACATCGTCGGGTTTCACGTTCAGACGCTCGGTGCTCAGAGAGACGGCCGACGGGAGGAAACCTCTTTTCTCTCTCTGGTAATAAAACGAAGCAAACACCACGCCCTGCTGAGTGGTTCGAACATTTCAGTTTCTAATGTGGTTTCTGTTTTTGATGAAGAGGCAGCAGCCTGGAGACTCATCACGCAGCAGCAGAGGAAACCTCTTCAGTTTCACAACAGACTGATCTGAGGTCTGCGGTTTGATGTAGGCACGACATGCTGATGACTCACAGCCTGTGTGAGAGGCAGGGTGTGTCCTCATTGGTCGACAGCTCATCTCTCTCTCTCTCTCTCTCTCTCTCTCTCTCTCTGTGGTTTTCGAGTCTCTCGCCCTCTAACAATAGCTGGCAGGCCGCTTCCTGCCCTGCTGCTTCCTGCTCAGCCAATCAGATCTCAGCATGGCAGCGCCTTCTAATTACAGCTGATCCAGGTTCTCAGCTGGTTCACATTAAGCTCTCTGCCTTCTTGTGTCTGACACGATTTTTACATTAATATGGAGATATGGTTTATTTAAACGGCGTCTCCTCTTCTCCCTCAGGAAAACTCTCTGAGTCTGTAAATAAAGGTTTAAGTGTTTGTCAGGAGCCCCGGGGCCCACGGCGCTGTACCAGCTGTCTGCGGTTTACAGGTTGAACAACGTGTTTCCTTTAAACCCTGTCCAACCAGCTTTGAGGTACGTTTTCTCCGGTTTGTCGGGGTGAACTCGCCTTAAAACACCAGCTGCAGGTGTTTCTGGCTCCGGAGCGGTGGAGTCTGGATCTGTGGTTGTTGGCTTCCTGCTGCCCCCGTGTTCCTGCTCAACACCTGCTGCTATTATTATCAATATGATCAGTAGTATTATTCATTTTCATTGATATCTGTATTATTGCCACCATCATTACTCTAACTTTCCCCCCGTGTGTCCTTCTGCTCCAGGTTTCCACCCGTCAAAGGCCGTTTGTGGCCCCGTGCTGCTGCTGGTGGATGAAGATCAGAGCTGCTCTACACAAGAAGAGCAGCCAGTTTCTTCTGTTATGAACTGGAGCTCAGTCGCTAGTTTCAAGTCTTCTTCAACACAGCATGATGTTCATTTAGTAAATTATGGTCCCATTTAGAGGAACAGAGACCAGGAAGCATTGACAAGTCGCTACCATGGCGACCTGTCAATCATTTAACCAGCGCCGCTGAAAAAGCTCATTAGGAGTCGGCTGCTCATTTTTTAGGAAGTAGGTTTTGTGTGTTTGTTTGTCACTAGCCAGCATTAGCATCCCAGCTAATATCACAGCTAACGTGAAATACAGATGCACCTTGCTAACCAAGCTAGCTAGCTCCGCCCTCTTTCCAAATATGTTTGGTTCCAAAAAAAACAAGATGGCGACGGCCAAAATGCCCAGCTGGAGGCTTCAGCGGGGGACGTCACGGCAGCTGCAGTCTGTGTGTTGGGCTTTGGCTAAGTTGTGTTTTATTTTGAAATGATCCTTCCTGGTGAGTCTGAACTTGTACTTCTTGTCTTTGTGTTGTCCTTGGTTGTCCTGTTTGCACCTGTCCTGTCTCACCTGTGTTCACCTATCCTCTCCTGTATTTAAGTTAACATGTCCGCCCTCGTCTTCTGGTCGATTGTCTTTCGTCTTAGCGTGCGCTGCCCCCGTTTCAGCTCTCACGCTGCCTTTTGTTCTTCTTTGTGGATTATAGGAGTTTCATTTCACAGCCGTCAGTTTGGATTCTTGTCTTTTGTTTGTCGCTGGGACATTAGATTTATTTTGTTTGTTGGACAACTGTGTTTGTACTGAACTCTCCGTTGAATAATGTCCTTCTCGAGGACTTCAGAGAAGATTTACACTACGCCTGGAGTCACCTGACAGAGTGAGGCCACCGACCCGTTAGCTGGCATTCCAGCTGCTAACCATCAGGCTGCAGCTCACTCGGGCTTCACCAGTGTTATTATATTTACACTTCACTGTGCGCACAAGTCACATTTCCAGCTGCTTCCTCTGCATCATGTCTGAACTGAGCTGGTTTAACTCGTCTCGCAGTAACGGCCCTGACCTCTGACCTCTGACACGTTCAGACACACCTCTCACCTGACGGCCTGCCTCACCTGTCTACCTGTCTGAACACGCGCTGAATGTTAACGTGCGCGGACTGTGGTGCGTTCAGGGACAGTCAGGAAAACTCACCCAGAGCTCCCTGGCAGATGTCGGTCCTGGTGGCTCCGCCCATGATGAACTCGGGGTTAGAGACCAGTTCCTGATGGACGAGAGATCAGATTTAAACAGGAGACTCTCAGACATTTGTTCGGTTTCTAACCAGGAAAGAGAGAAACTGGACTGTTGTGGTGTCTTCTGTCTCTTTGTGTCTCTCTCTCAGAACTTTAAATCCTCAAGTCGACCAAACTGCCAGATAATCTCTGAAACTTCCTGCAGGTTTCAGTGTTTCTGAACATCTCTGAAGTTCAGTTGTTCAGAAGATACCTGTTTCTGACGGTCTCCACTCCTAAACTACTTAGTTACATACCCAGATATTAGTTTCAACACTTATCAATCAGAGACATCATACAGTTTCTACATCTCGCCCCTCCCCTCCCCATGTACAGAGGCACTGGACATATTTACAGTTTATAGTTCATAGGTGTCATTTACGCTGGGGACGCTGGGGACAATGGGGATGCTAGGGACGCTGGGGACGCTGGGGACAATGGGGACGCTAAGGACGCTGGGGACAATGGGGACGCTAGGGACGCTGGGGACAATGGGGAAAATGGGGAAGCTAGGGACGCTGGGGACAATGGGGACGCTAAGGACGCTGGGGACAATGGGGACGCTGGGGACAATGGGGACGCTGGGGACACAGGGGATGCTGGGGACAATGGGGACGCTAAGGACGCTGGGGACAATGGGGACGCTAGGGACAATGGGGACAATGGGGAAGCTAGGGACGCTGGGGACAATGGGGACGCTAAGGACGCTGGGGACAATGGGGACGCTGGGGACAATGGGGACGCTGGGGACACAGGGGATGCTGGGGACAATGGGGACGCTAAGGACGCTGGGGACAATGGGGACGCTAGGGACGCTGGGGACAATGGGGACGCTAGGGACGCTGGGGACAATGGGGACACAGGGGATGCTGGGGACAATGGGGACGCTGGGGACAATGGGGACGCTAGGGACGCTGGGGACAATGGGGACGCTAGGGACGCTGGGAACAATGGGGACAATGGGGACACAGGGGATGCTGGGGACAATGGGGACGCTGGGGACACTGGGGATGCTAGGGACACAGGGGATGCTGGGGACAATGGGGACGCTGGGGACACTGGGGATGCTAGGAACACAGGGGATGCTGGGGACACTGGGGACATGTCCTCAATACTTTTTAAAGCATCATTTGTTTAAAAAACGTTCTGAAATGCAGCTTGCAGTTAAATACCAAATGAAAATAGAAAGGTTTCTTTGCACATTAAGAAAACATGTAATGCAATTAAAATATAAAAGAAATAAATGTGCATCATCCAAAAAAAAAGGAACTTAAGCTAAAAAAAAACAAGCTGCTGATTCTAAAATGCAACAGCAGTCAGTAACTTTAACAACAGTTTCTTTTGGCCAAGTTTTCCGTTCTCTCCCTGTGAACCTGACAGAAGAGGAGGTGAAGACGGAACGAGGCCTCAGCAGGGACGCTGTTAGAAACAGATCTGGGAGCTGCTCTCACTTACATTCTGTTAGATTTATAGATGTTGAAATATCACCCGCCTCCTGAATTCTGCTTCCTTTTACATAAATAAAAACATTTCCACAATAAATTGGTGCAGAAACTTTCAGCAGGATGCAGGGAATGTGTTTAATGATCTACATTTCCTGGGGAGGCCCTCAGACCCCCCACTCATACATATATATCTTCAAAACACAACCTAATGTCGCCTATGGTGATGTCTGGCGAGCTAAGTGTCTCTTCACAGCCCTGATCTGAGCCCCTGCGTGTCCCCACCCCTTCAACACGCCCTTGTTCTAGTTGTATTAATTTATTGATTCCATCTGACCCAGAATCTGCTGCCTTACAGTCGGCTCTCCCTCCTCTTCCTCTGCTCTCTGCTTCCTGCTTCAGAAAAGCTCAGAGTGACGCATCTGCATGAGGACGGCCAGCTCAGGACTGTGTACGGTGTAGTAACCAAGTACTTCATACTGCAGTGATAAACAGTCCGGTAACCACGCAGGCAGCAGGAAGCCAGAGGCTGTCAGTCGTTGAGATATGACTCAGTTCATATCTACTTATATTAATGTTCCCCTTCTCCTCCCGTCACTTCAGCAGGATTCACCATGTTTATGAGTGTGGTGACTCAGCTCACTGCTATGTGACAGGCTGACTCACTGCAGACACACATTCTGCTAGTATTCATAAAATACTGTAGTACTATAGCACATAATTACTAAAGTCAGCAGCACGGATCCTAAAGATAGATAATATATGATTTAACTAAAGAGGCCTGTGAGCTCCTGTACGTAACATCTCTATAAACACATAGTATCTGTGTCTAGTATATATATAACACAGTGTGTACTACATACAGATAGTATCTGTGTTTATATAATACAGTATAGATGCAGATAGTATCTGTGTATAGTATATATAAGACAGTGTGTACTACATACAGATAGTATATCAGTACATGCGTGCAGTACAGTAAACCTGCACGCTGTGTATCTGAGCGATAAGGAGACTCTGTGTTTTTCCGTCAGGGCGGATCAGCTCAGTTTGAGTCGCTTCAGGTATTTTGCCAACAAACCCCCACCACCTCCCCGCCCCCCCAACCACACCCACTCGTCCAAACTAACCCACCCATCCTGAACCAGATCCAGAGCCAGGCCCGGGTTCTTACCGTGGGCCTCTTCCAGGTGACTCCCCGGACCTTGGAGGAGTTCGGGCCCAGCTCTTTGAAGCCCAGAGCTTCGGGCGCGGCGGGGAAGGTCGGGTCGCAGAAGAGTTTCCCGGAGGAGCGGCACTGCGCCCGCAGAGCCGCGAAGTTCTGGTTCAGGTACGGAACCGCGTTGGCGTTGGTGCCGAATCCCGCGGCCAGGGCCCGCTTCTTGGCCAGAGTGGACGCCACGCCGGACATGATGGAGGCGAAGAAGAAGAGCAGAGAGAGAAAAGTTACCAGCTGATCCGGAGCTTCTTCCTCTGAACAAACTTTTCCTCAGCGCAGATTTTCAGACTCAGACCTCCGCCCAGAAACCAGACCGGGAGGAGGAGCCAGGCCCGGATCTCCCTCCCACCTCTCCTTCTCCCCACCTCTCCTTCTCCCCACCGTCTTTTAATTTCAGTTCAAGAGGCTTTATTAGCGTTTCAGTTCTAACATGTTGCCAAAGCACAAAGTCACATATAAATAATAAAATATAAACAATAAAATATAAAATTAAATTTAAGAAAATCCCACAGTACCCCCAGGTAGCCACAGTACCCTCAGGTAGCCCACAGTACACTCAGGTAGCCACAGGTAGCCTCAGGTAGCCACAGTACCCTCAGGTAGCCTCAGGTAGCCTCAGTACACTCAGGTAGCCACAGTATATTCAGGTAGCCACAGTACACTCAGGTAGCCACAGTATATTCAGGTAGCCACAGTACACTCAGGTAGCCTCAGGTACCCCCAGGTAGCCACAGTACCCTCAGGTAGCCTCAGGTAGCCTCAGGTAGCCTCAGGTAGCCTCAGGTAGCCCACAGTACACTCAGGTAGCCACAGTACACTCAGGTAGCCCACAGTACACTCAGGTAGCCCACATGACCCTCAGGTAGCCACAGTATATTCAGGTAGCCCACAGTACACTCAGGTAGCCTCAGGTAGCCACAGTACCCTCAGGTAGCCCACAGTAGCCTCAGGTAGCCACAGTACCCTCAGGTAGCCCACAGTACACTCAGGTAGCCACAGTACACTCAGGTAGCCCACAGTACACTCAGGTAGCCCACATGACCCTCAGGTAGCCACAGTATATTCAGGTAGCCCACAGTACACTCAGGTAGCCCACAGTACACTCAGGTAGCCCACAGTACACTCAGGTAGCCACAGTACACTCAGGTAGCCTCAGGTAGCCCACAGTACACTCAGGTAGTCCACAGTACACTCAGGTAGCCTCAGGTAGCCACAGTACCCTCAGGTAGCCCACAGTAGCCTCAGGTAGCCACAGTACCCTCAGGTAGCCCACAGTACACTCAGGTAGCCACAGTACATTCAGGTAGCCTCAGGTAGCCCACAGTACACTCAGGTAGTCCACATGACCCTCAGGTAGCCACAGTACCCTCAGGTAGCCCACAGTACACTCAGGTAGCCCACAGTACACTCAGGTAGCCCACAGTACACTCAGGTAGTCCACATGACCCTCAGGTAGCCACAGTACCCTCAGGTAGCCCACAGTACACTCAGGTAGCCCACAGTACACTCAGGTAGCCCACAGTACACTCAGGTAGTCCACATGACCCTCAGGTAGCCACAGTACCCTCAGGTAGTCCACATGACCCTCAGGTAGCCACAGTACCCTCAGGTAGTCCACATGACCCTCAGGTAGCCTCAGGTAGCCACAGTACCCTCAGGTAGCCCACAGTACACTCAGGTAGTCCACATGACCCTCAGGTAGCCCACAGTACACTCAGGTAGCCCACAGTACACTCAGGTAGCCACAGTACACTCAGGTAGCCCACAGTACACTCAGGTAGCCCACAGTACACTCAGGTAGCCTCAGGTAGCCACAGTACCCTCAGGTAGCCCACAGTACCCTCAGGTAGCCCACAGTACACTCAGGTAGCCACAGTACCCTCAGGTAGCCCACAGTACACTCAGGTAGCCCACAGTACACTCAGGTAGCCACAGTACACTCAGGTAGCCTCAGGTAGCCACAGTACCCTCAGGTAGCCCACATGACACTCAGGTAGCCCACATGACCCTCAGGTAGCCCACAGTACACTCAGGTAGCCACAGTCCCCTCAGGTAGCCCACAGTCCCCTCAGGTAGCCACAGTACCCTCAGGTAGCCCACAGTCCCCTCAGGTAGCCCACAGTCCCCTCAGGTAGCCACAGTACCCTCAGGTAGCCACAGTACCCTCAGGTAGCCCACAGTACCCTCAGGTAGCCCACAGTACCCTCAGGTAGCCACAGTACCCTCAGGTAGCCCACAGTACACTCAGGTAGCCACAGTACCCTCAGGTAGCCCACAGTACCCTCAGGTAGCCACAGTATATTCAGGTAGCCCACAGTACACTCAGGAAGCCACAGTACACTCAGGTAGCCCACAGTACCCTCAGGTAGCCACAGTATATTCAGGTAGCCCACAGTACACTCAGGTAGCCCACAGTACACTCAGGTAGCCCACAGTACACTCAGGTAGCCTCAGGTAGCCACAGTACCCTCAGGTAGCCCACAGTACACTCAGGTAGCCACAGTACACTCAGGTAGCCTCAGGTAGCCACAGTACCCTCAGGTAGCCCACAATACACTCAGGTAGCCCACATGACCCTCAGGTAGCCACAGTGTCTTCAGGTAGCCCACAGTACACTCAGGTAGCCCACAGTACACTCAGGTAGCCACAGTACACTCAAGTAGCCCACAGTACACTCAGGTAGCCCACATGACCCTCAGGTAGCCCACAGTACACTCAGGTAGCCTCAGGTAGCCTCAGGTAGCCACAATACACTCAGGTAGCCACAGTACACTCAGGTAGCCACAGTACCTTCAGGTAGCCCACAGTACACTCAGGTAGCCACAGTACACTCAGGTAGCCTCAGGTAGCCACAGTACCTTCAGGTAGCCACAATACACTCAGGTAGCCACAGTACCTTCAGGTAGCCCACAGTACACTCAGGTAGCCACAGTACACTCAGGTAGCCACAGTACCCTCAGGTAGCCCACAGTACCCTCAGGTAGCCCACAGTACACTCAGGTAGCCTCAGGTAGCCACAGTACCCTCAGGTAGCCCACAGTACACTCAGGTAGCCTCAGGTAGCCACAGTACCCTCAGGTAGCCCACAGTACACTCAGGTAGCCTCAGGTAGCCACAGTACCCTCAGGTAGCCCACAGTACACTCAGGTAGCCTCAGGTAGCCACAGTACCCTCAGGTAGCCCACAGTACACTCAGGTAGTCCACATGACCCTCAGGTAGTCCACATGACCCTCAGGTAGCCCACAGTACACTCAGGTAGTCCACATGACCCTCAGGTAGCCACAGTACCCTCAGGTAGTCCACATGACCCTCAGGTAGCCACAGTACCCTCAGGTAGTCCACATGACCCTCAGGTAGCCACAGTACCCTCAGGTAGTCCACATGACCCTCAGGTAGCCACAGTACCCTCAGTCAGGTGGAATAAGAAGAGTTTCAGCAGCACTGTGTGAGGGCTCTGTACCCTGAGCAGCGTCTGAAGGCTGAGACAGTCTCATAGGGACAGCAGGGGGGGACAGAGGGCTGTGGTGAACAGCGTGTTCAACAAGTCAGTGTTCCATCTAAACGGTTCTGAAGCTGTGATTTTAAGATGAAATGATGTATAATGTTGCTTTAATATTATTTGAACAGGTGAGTTATATGAATCTTCAGTTTGCTGCAGAGACCAAACCGTTTCTGTTCCAGGCTGTCAACATGTTTATTTCTGCTGTAAGTCAGTTTTTTAACATTTAAGACTGACTCCCTTTCACCTCAAGGTCAGGTGGAAGGAAAGGTTTGATGCAGGTCCTTCTCGGACGCTGGTGGTCCCGGGTACGGAGCGTGGAGCTCACTGTGTTTATCACTGTTTGCTCTCTGAATAATTCAGAATCAACTGATATCACACTGCTCCGTCACCTGGACCGAAGCCCCGCCCCCTTACACCTGCCCTCATTTATAGCTGAGACGCACACACACCTGCAGCACACACAGTTCACTTACAGATCACACTTCACACCTCAGCCAGACTCTCGGCAGACTCTCAGGCTCTCAGACCTTCTGTAGACCTTCTGTAGACTCTCAGACCTTCAGTAGACCTTCAGTAGACCTTCAATAGACTCCCGGACTCTCAGTAGACTCTCTGCAGACTAAGGATGACCAGCACGGCAGCAGAGCTGGCCCGGATGAACGCCCGGCAGGAGGACGGCGCCGGCAGCCAGGCCAACGCCGTCCCCTTCAACAAGCAGGACTTTGAGCAGCTGCGGAGGGAGTGTCTGCAGACCGGCTCGCTGTTCTGTGACCCGGCCTTCCCCGCAGGCTGGGACTCTCTGGGGTACAACCAGCTGGGACGCTACTCCTCCAAAACCACCGGAGTGGTGTGGAAACGACCCACGGTGAGTGATTCTTTTCATGAGACTCGTTTAGTCATTTAGGAAGTCCAAAATCCGGGGGGGGGGGGGGGGGGGGGGGGTCAACTTTATTTACAGTCCAGGATCTCAGTCTGCCTCAGGGGCTTCACAGTCTCACAGCCTCGATCCAGATCAGACAAACTCCCCAGAAAACCCTTTACGGGTGTTAGAAAGCTCAGAGGGGGGAACGTCTCTCCAGGACGGACAGGAAGTTCAACAGACCAACATTATAACACAACTCAGTGGTAATAAAGAAAATGTTGATCAGTGGATCTTTAAAGGTTTTATGAGGCTTCCTGACATGATGATGACGATGATGATGATGATGATGATGATGATGAAGGTTGAAACAGCAGCCTGTTTCTCCACATTAAAAATAAACCAGAGGTAACATGTTTTAACACTGAGACACAATGGAGACATGACAGCAGCTGTTTGTTTGACCAGCTGTCGGTCTCCATGGTTACCTCCTGCTTCAGGTTGCTGGTTTGTGAGGTTTCCAACCCCCGGGCCGTGGACCAGCACAGGCCTCTGAACGTTTGCTACCAGGAACAGGAACAGTACGATTCAGAAAGACATGAATAGTATTTATAAAACCCTGCAGACGCAAAGTTTGCGTTTGATTACGTGCACTTTAGTTTTCATGCTCTCGTTTCTAAAGTTCAAAAAGAAGAAAGTTTGCCCTGAAGCTCGGTGCTAAAGCTCGGTGCTAAAGCTCGGGGTTAAAGCTCGAGGCTAAAGCTCCGGGCTAAAGCTCGGTGCTAAAGCTCGGTGCTAAAGCTCGGGGTTAAAGCTCGAGGCTAAAGCTCGGTGCTAAAGCTCGAGGCTAAAGCTCCGGGCTAAAGCTCGGTGCTAAAGCTCGGGGTTAAAGCTCGGTGCTAAAGCTCGGTGCTAAAGCTCGGTGCTAAAGCTCGAGGCTAAAGCTCGGTGCTAAAGCTCGAGGCTAAAGCTCCGGGTTAAAGCTCAGGGCTAAAGCTCGGGGCTAAAGCTCGGTGCTAAAGCTCGAGGCTAAAGCTCCGGGCTAAAGCTCGGTGCTAAAGCTCGGGGTTAAAGCTCGGTGCTAAAGCTCGGTGCTAAAGCTCGGTGCTAAAGCTCGGGGTTAAAGCTCGAGGCTAAAGCTCGGGGCTAAAGCTCGGTGCTAAAGCTCGGGGCTAAAGCTCAGTGCTAAAGCTCGGGGTTAAAGCTCGAGGCTAAAGCTCGGGGCTAAAGCTTTCCTTCAGTTTGTATTTAAAATACCTCTAAGTTCCCTTTTCCTTCCGTCTGAATGCTCCTTTTGATCTAAAACATTATTAACTAACGTTGAGTTAATAATTAACTGAACTCTGGTTAATATAAATCTGTCCTCAAACTGAAATACATGTTCTCATAAAGTTTAATAAGGAAGGAGAGAACATTGGTTAAACACATGAAACTGTTTACTTTGGGAACATTTGTACAGTGTTTCAGTCTCCTGTGTGTGTGTTCATACAGAGCAGGGTAAAGACTTGGCTAGCTTAGCTTAGCATAAGGCTGGAAATAGGCTCTGTCCAAAGATAACAAACCGCACCTGGACCGCTCACTGATCAACATATCTGCTGTGTTTAATCTGAACAGAGGTGGTGGTTTTGGTGTTTTAGGAGGAGTTAACGTGTGGACAAACAGCAGCGTATCCACCCGGTACGCCTGAGCAGCGTCGGTGCAGGCTGCCAGATTCAACAGAAGATTTTACCAGTTTAAAGATATTAAAGATAAAATCAAACCACCTCCTGTTGATAAAACAAGAGTGTGACTCAGCCTGTTAATCATTAATCAGCTGTCACACCTGGACAGGTGCTATCAGGTGTGACTTTCTCTGCACGTTTCATTGTTTTAGTAAATATGAAGACTTTAATATTAACATAAATAATCAGTTCTGTCCCCACAGATTCATCTAAGATTCAGTTAAAAGCCATTTAAAAACAGATGGTGTAAATAATAAAATATGTACTGTTGAGAGTCAGGGGCTGATAATACATCTGCTAGAATCACTCAAATATTACATGAAACAATTATTTATCAGTTGTACTCGTGTTTGTGTTTTTAAATCTAATCGTAGCGTTTTAAATCAAAAAGTTCCACAAAGTTATTCTACATTTTTGTGACCAATTATAATTTAATTTTAATTCTAGTGACACTAATTATTCCTGAGGGGTCGAGTCTTCATCCGAGACGACCATAATTAATCACCTGCTGTCTTGTCCAATCAGGAGCTGTGTTCTGATCCTCAGTTCATCTTTGATGGAGCTAACAGGACGGACATCTGTCAGGGGGAGCTGGGTGAGAACACACACACACACACACACCTGTGTGACCTGGGACAGGTGTGATCATGTGACCTGTCTCTGCCAGGTGACTGCTGGCTGCTCGCTGCCATCGCCTCTCTGACCCTGGACCCTGAGATCCTGAACAGAGTGGTTCCTCCTGGGCAGAGCTTCAGCTCAGAGTACGCCGGCATCTTCCACTTCCAGGTCTCTGACACACAGACTGCTGGGCTTATTATTATTATTACTATTAATTATTATTATCATATTATTATTATTATTCCTTATCTACTGTAAAGAAAGTACATTTACTTTTTAGTATGTGCTGTACTCAAGTACACTTTCAAGGTAGAAAGTATCTATAAAATACAAAACAAAACCTCTTAAACTACATGAAGCTGAGAACTTGTGTACTTGTACTGCTGATACTTTGAGTCAGTCAAAATATTTTATTAAAGATTCTTTATAATAACACTTTTCCTCCTGTGAGCTGATCTCTGAGCAGGAAACATCAGCAGCTCTCTGAGGACTCTATTGTTCTCAACAACCACACATGATGGAAACTATTTTCCCGCCCCCAAAGGAAGTGATTTCATAAGCTTCAGCTGTGGTTGTATTCATGATCCTGATCCTCTGGACCAGGTCTGATCCATCCTGATCAGGTCAATCCGTTTATCACTTAACAAGGTGACAAAGATCTAAAGCTGTGGCGGTACGGGCAGTGGGCGGAGCCTGCAGAGGAAGTGACATCATGTGTTTGTGTACCTGTGGCAGTACGGGCAGTGGGCGGGGCCTGCAGAGGAAGTGACATCATGTGTTTGTGTACCTGTAGCTGTGGCGGTACGGGCAGTGGGCGGGGCCTGCAGAGGAAGTGACCTCGTGTGTTTGTGTACCTGTAGCTGTGGCGGTACGGGCAGTGGGCGGGGCCTGCAGAGGAAGTGACCTCGTGTGTTTGTGTACCTGTAGCTGTGGCGGTACGGGCAGTGGGCGGGGCCTGCAGAGGAAGTGACCTCGTGTGTTTGTGTACCTGTAGCTGTGGCGGTACGGGCAGTGGGCGGGGCCTGCAGAGGAAGTGACCTCGTGTGTTTGTGTACCTGTAGCTGTGGCGGTACGGGCAGTGGGCGGGGCCTGCAGAGGAAGTGACCTCGTGTGTTTGTGTACCTGTAGCTGTGGCGGTACGGGCAGTGGGCGGGGCCTGCAGAGGAAGTGACCTCGTGTGTTTGTGTACCTGTAGCTGTGGCAGTACGGGCAGTGGGTGGACGTGGTGGTGGACGACCGGCTGCCGACCAGAGATGGGAAGCTGCTGTTCGTCCACTCAGCTGAGGGAGCAGAGTTCTGGAGCGCCCTGCTGGAAAAAGCTTACGCCAAGTAAGAAACACATCCATGTACCAGAGGAGGAACCCTCATGACCTCATGACCCCTTAAACTTTTCTTCTAGCGTCACCATTTTATCTTTTTAGTGAAAGCAGCCACTTCATGTTTCCTCAGGATGAAATTGAAACTTTTCCAGCACCATCATCAGGTCAACATGTTCACGTGTTCAGCCAACACCTTCTCACTCCAGTCGTCACATATGGACGAATGGTCCAGACCTGTTGGCGTCAGTCTGTAACGCACTGGGGGAAACCCTGTAGCGTCACTTTTGAACACTAAAAGTAGGTGTAGGATATTTAACAGAGAAGTCTAACCAGATGTTGCATATTTATTGCTGCTAACTTGACCATGGAGCCCTAAAGGCTGAAAAGGGCTTTAAACAGCGACGCCCAGGGTCTGACCAAGCGCCCATACATGAAGAGTTTGGAGTAAAATGTGTTGTTCCAACACTTTATGACTAAATACCTGCAGACCTGATGATTTCCCATCAGGCCCAGCTGCACGCTGAACACTTTCTATACTTCCATCTAACACTTCACTTCCTTTCAGAGGTTACACTTCTTATTTACGCCTCAGCAGGTTCCTGCAACCTCTCACTGCAGCTGTTTTAAGAGACTAAAGTTGATGTTTTCTGATTGGAGTTTGGTTCACAGGATGTAATCACAATCTTTCAAAATACATCAGACATTTCAAATGAAAGCTGCATGTTTCAGGACAGAGCTGTTGCTGTTGTGACTGAAGCTTATTGACCTCAGCTGACCCCAGATCAGCCTCCAAACCCCAGCAGCAGGAAGCTCTCTCTGTGTGTGTGTAGTGGAGGTGGGTAGCAGCTGGGTGGAGGAGCTTTGCTCAGTAAACACTGGGCGTGGACCATCCTGGAAAACAAACAGAGCTGCTGACTCAGCTCTTTACTCTGCACAGGTGAAACACACCTGCTGCTCTGATTTATTCTGCCTCACCTCAAACATCACTTTCACTTCCTGTTCGCTCCTTTCACATCCCGCAGTCTGCAGGATGTGAAAGGATTTTATTAAAGTGTCTCTTCTGTACTGAGCTTTTATTTTGAAGGAATCTCAAGTTGTTGAAATCTCAGTTTGTCAGGTGACTTTGGGATTTGAGTTTTCAACTAACACGTTGACCCCATGAATGTGTGAACCCAAAATAAACATTTTGCTGTGATTTATCTGCAATAAACGGATCAAACTGATGCTAAAATAACAACAACATGATGCTGATTTATTTAACATATGAACTGATGCTTTGTCAGGTCTGTCAGCAGGATGACAAGACAACAACTTTTAAAATGTTTGTTTTCTGAATGGAGTTTGGTTTGATCAGGGCTATGCTACGCTAACTTGTTCACAGTAAATTTCAACGACAGCTGGAATCAAGTAACAGACATATATTTTCACTCTTCTGACACACTTCCTGTCTAAACTAACAGTAACTTATTTTAGTACTTATTACTGACACTGAATACTTTCAGCGCTTCATTTTTCAGTTTACACTCCTCAGCAGCTCCACTTCACGCCCTGCTTCAGCTGTTTCCCTTTCAGTACTTCACTGACATTTTAACCGTTTTAAAAGCTTAAACTTCAGCTGAAACAGCTAAATATAATCTGGATACAGCTCAAGATCCTAAGATCATTTGTTAAGAATCTGTTAGTTCGTTTAACAGAAAAGTGTAAAAACAAACGTCAAACACAAGGAAAACGTTTTGTGTTGTTCAGATGACCGTTTGAACATGTCCTCCTGCAGGGTGAACAGCTCGTACGAGGCCCTGACCGGAGGATCCAGTATCGAGGGTTTTGAGGATTTCACCGGAGGGATCGCAGAGAGCTACGACCTGAAGGAGGCTCCGCCCTTCCTGTTCAACATCATGAGGAAGGCTCTGAAGCTCGGCTCGCTGCTCGGCTGCTCCATCGACGTAAAGATTCAAAAACTGCAGCACAGGCGCATTTTCAACTCATTTAATGTGATATGTGTTTACGGCTGTTAGTGTTGGCCAGCCATCAGCTGACTGACGGCGGTAACCCTGCTGCACTATTCATGTGATATGTTTCCATGTTTGTCAGATTTCCAGCGCGTATGAGACGGAGGCCATCACCAGTCAGAAGCTGGTTAAAGGTCACGCCTACTCCATCACTGCAGCTCAGCAGGTGAGGCATTCTGGGAAATGACTGGACGCTGTAAGTCCAGTTTGTGTTTGAATCTAAAACATTTCTTAGAGACGTGTTCTCTCCTTCTGTCGCTGTTCACTCAGTTCCTTTACATAAAAAAGGAAGCACAATCAACCACAGACCGCTGGCCCTCGTCTCCCGTCCAAGTCACCAGACTCCCTTCACAAAAAACTCTAATTTCACCTCGCAGGACATGTGAGCTGCTGCTGCTGCTTCCGTCAGTTAGCTTTGTGTGTGTTATTGTGTGACGGTTCAGTGATTAACCAGTAAGATCAGCTGCTCAAATGTATTTATGCAAATCAGAAGTATTGTGAGCGTTGCATTATGAAAGACACTTACTTCATATGAAAGGTATGTCTTTGATGACACACTGATTAGCTGTGGTGAAAAAGTGACTGTGTAACTTTGTGTGTTGTACTTCGCCAATCGAACATGTTTGAAAATACAGCCTTATGATCTGCTTTGAGTTTTGTACTGAGAGTTGGGAACTTTTACCAAATACTTGCGATAATAGTACCAAAACGATCAGAAGAAACTGTAAAGGGTTAAAAACACCAAAGTCTCCTAACAATCACACAAAGTAACCGATCGATGCAGCGGCAGACCAGAGCGGCAAAATGGAGTCTGGTGGCTTTGACGAGAGTCATACAGTGACTGTACTGGTCTCTGTAAAGGTCTCTCGGTAGGGATCCTTTTCACGATGCTGTCAGACACTAGATCTGTAGTGGACGGACTTTGATTCAGCTTCACTGCTGCAGGCTGCTGCACGCTCAAAGCAACACTGGACCAGTTTCAAGAACTGTTGTCCCCCTTAGTCATAAAAAATAAATATGGTACCATATTTAACAGAGAGGGAGCAGCACCATCAAAGTCCTTATAGGCAGGTCCCGCCACTGGCAGCCATCTTGGTAACGCCTCCAGTTATCTGGGACTAACAGCATCAGGTCTTTCTCTGAATGGCCGGTCACCGGTACGGGAGGGACATCTTTGGCGTTACAAGCTTTCCCCATAGGATCAGATATGAACCAGGACGCTGACAGCTGACAGGTTTCGTCCTGCAGGTTCAGCACTTTGGTTCTCCGGTGGAGCTGCTGAGGATCAGGAACCCCTGGGGTCAGGTGGAGTGGACCGGAGCCTGGAGCGATGAGTAAGTCCTAGTCCTTATATTGATCTGTCTGCCTGTCTGATGTCCGTCTGTCCATAAGGTGACTGAACAATAAAGCAAACTGTTGGAGTTTGAACAGCAGGAGTTCCTGGTAGTCTGGAGAATCGTTTTTATTCAGAAAGACTTTTAAACAAAAGTTCAAAAATACTAAAACCCACAGCACCAGGAAGAACATTAACTTTAATTCTAATTGGTGAGACACAAAACCATCTAAATCCACATGTGATCAGATCTTCTCCAACACGTAAGAGCTCCTGAATGAGGCGTTCAGGGAGCCTCTGACGTTTCTGTGTGTTTTGCCTGTTTGTCAGTTCAAAGGAGTGGGACGGAGTTGAGCCGGAGGACAGGAAGAAGCTGGATCACTCTGCTGATGACGGAGAGTTCTGGTGGGTTCAGATGCATCATGAAATAAACACGTGTTTGTGTTTTATACAGTCAGTGATAATTATTACAATTAATAAGTCTCTGAGAAACTGTTTCTACTTGTCAGCTGATTTATTCCCTCAGTAAACACTTTCCTGATGAGTTTCTGGTCTCAGTCGCTAGTTTCAAGTCTTCTTCAACACAGCATGATCATCATGCTGTTCATTTAGTAAATTATGGTCCCATTTAGAGGAACAGAGATCAGGAAGCAGGGGAGGCTTTAGGGCGGGGCTACAAGCTGATTGACAGGTCGCTACCATGGCAACCTGTCAATCAGGATAGAAGCGACTCGTATCAACTGCCAGACCAAAATTAGCATCCCAGCTAATATCACAGTTAATGTGAATATGCACCACGGGCAAAATGCCAAACTGGAGGCTTCAAAACGGTCGTCGGCTACGCCCGCCCCCTGTGGTTCTGACTGACGCTCAGTGTTTTGCTGCTCTTTAAACTTTCTTCTTCTTCTCCTCTCTGCCGGCTGCAGGATGTCCTATGCTGATTTCCTGCGTCAGTTTTCCCGCCTCGACATCTGTAACCTGACACCCGACACCCTGAACAGCGATGAGGTCGGCCGCTGGAGCTACGGCGAGTTCGAAGGCGCCTGGAGGGTCGGCTCCACCGCCGGGGGCTGCAGGAACTACCCGGGTACGACTCCGTCCATCAACAGGGCGGATGTAGCTTTAATAATTTAGTCCAGATTTCCTCAGAGACACTTGAGTCTGATTTCCATCCTGCATTTCATTTGTTCCCATCTCAGTACCGTTTCCATGGTTATTGATTGACATGATTATAAATCATCAGTGAAGCTACCGAGTGGAAGATGCTTCTTATTAACGGCCACAGGATGTTACTGGCTGGTGGAGGAAACTGGTGGACCAATCAGGAGCTACTGTTCGTTAACAAAACATTCGTCTGTCCTTCAAACCCCAGAATCTTACGTTCTGAGCCACTTCCTGCGAACGCGTGACAAAGTGCACATGTGACACTTCAGGGCAGATTATTAGGCAACTTACATCCAGAAGACCGGCGTTTAGTTCCCGTGTGAAACAAAAAGACAAAGTTAGTTTTTGGGTTTTTTGTTATTGTTATCAGTGTTAGCATTAATTTGGGGAAGCCTTACCTTCACAGGGATGTGTGCCTAAAAGATGTATGTGCATGTCAAGGTTAACCCTACAGCTGCAGGGTTAACCTCCCTGAGTTGCTGCAACGGCAACTTAAAAAAACACTGACAGAAAAAACACTGAAATATGTCGATGCATCAACTACCAACATATCCAGTCGTTTATAAACGAGGATGTGTTGCACAATACTTTTACTCAAGCTGCCATTTTAAGATATTTCTTCTTTCAGGTATTTGACACTTTATCAACCACACGTCGACTGACGTTTCCACTGTTTTCATCAACCTAAACCTCAGCTAAATCTTTAAATCCTTTCAGCACTTTGATCTCACCTGCCGCTTCCTGTGTGTGTTATTCTCCTCCTACGTTTCTCTCTGCAGCCACATTCTGCTCCAACCCTCAATTCTTCATCCGTCTGGAGGACGTGGACGACGACCCCCACGACGGCGAGGACGGCTGCACTGTGCTGATCGGTCTGATGCAGAAGGACGCTCGAAGGGAGAGACGCTTCGGACGAGACCTCAACACCATCGGATTCTCCATCTACGAGGTCCGAACACCTGCAGTGACCAATGACTTGTCAATAATGGAAATAATCCAGTTTATTACAGAACTTAATTAATTTGTCGGTTTTTCCTGCAGGTTCCTGACGAGGTGAGTTCAGCCTGAGACCATCCACCACAGTCTGGAGAGTAACTGAGTACATTTACTCAAGTAATCATGAAGTACTTCTACTTCCACTATCTGCAACTTTCCACTTCTACTTCACTACACTTGATAAAGTTTGTACTTTTTACTCCACTACATATTTTTCAGATGCAAAGCAAACAGTGTCTTTATCAGATACCACACAGTACTATCAATAAAAGTACTAGTGTAATTCTTTTGCGGTCAGTATAAAGGTCAGGGTAATGTCTTCTTCTGCGGTCAGGGTAATGTCTTCTTCTGCGGTCAGTGTAAAGGTCAGGGTAATGTCTTCTTCTGCAGTCAGTATAAAGGTCAGGGTAATGTCTTCTTCTGCGGTCAGTATAAAGGTCAGGGTAATGTCTTCTTCTGCAGTCAGTATAAAGGTCAGGGTAATGTCTTCTTCTGCGGTCAGTATAAAGGTCAGGGTAATGTCTTCTTCTGCGGTCAGTATAAAGGTCAGGGTAATGTCTTCTTCTGCGGTCAGTATAAAGGTCAGGGTAATGTCTTCTTCTGCAGTCAGTGTAAAGGTCAGGGTAATGTCTTCTTCTGCAGTCAGTATAAAGGTCAGGGTAATGTCTTCTTCTGCGGTCAGTATAATGGTCAGGGTAATGTCTTCTTCTGTGGTCAGTATAATGGTCAGGGTAATGTCTTCTTCTGCGGTCAGTATAAAGGTCAGGGTAATGTCTTCTTCTGCGGTCAGGGTAATGTCTTCTTCTGCGGTCAGTGTAAAGGTCAGGGTAATGTCTTCTTCTGTGGTCAGTATAATGGTCAGGGTAATGTCTTCTTCTGCGGTCAGTATAAAGGTCAGGGTAATGTCTTCTTCTGCGGTCAGGGTAATGTCTTCTTCTGCGGTCAGTGTAAAGGTCAGGGTAATGTCTTCTTCTGCAGTCAGTATAAAGGTCAGGGTAATGTCTTCTTCTGCGGTCAGGGAATTGTCTTCTTCTGTGGTCAGTATAACGGTCAGGGTAATGTCTTCTTCTGCGGTCAGGGTAATGTCTTCTTCTGCGGTCAGTATAAAGGTCAGGGTAATGTCTTCTTCTGCGGTCAGGGTAATGTCTTCTTCTGCAGTCAGTATAAAGGTCAGGGTAATGTCTTCTTCTGTGGTCAGTATAACGGTCAGGGTAATGTCTTCTTCTGCGGTCAGGGTAATGTCTTCTTCTGCGGTCAGTATAATGGTCAGGGAAATGTCTTCTTCTGTGGTCAGTATAACGGTCAGGGTAATGTCTTCTTCTGCGGTCAGGGTAATGTCTTCTTCTGCGGTCAGTATAATGGTCAGGGTAATGTCTTCTTCTGCGGTCAGTGTAACGGTCAGGGTAATGTCTTCTTCTGCGGTCAGTATAATGGTCAGGGTAATGTCTTCTTCTACGGTCAGTATAATGGTCAGGGTAATGTCTTCTTCTGCGGTCAGGGTAATGTCTTCTTCTGCAGTCAGTATAAAGGTCAGGGTAATGTCTTCTTCTGTGGTCAGTATAACGGTCAGGGTAATGTCTTCTTCTGCGGTCAGGGTAATGTCTTCTTCTGCGGTCAGTATAAAGGTCAGGGTAATGTCTTCTTCTGCGGTCAGGGTAATGTCTTCTTCTGCGGTCAGTGTAAAGGTCAGGGTAATGTCTTCTTCTGTGGTCAGTATAATGGTCAGGGTAATGTCTTCTTCTGCGGTCAGTATAAAGGTCAGGGTAATGTCTTCTTCTGCGGTCAGGGTAATGTCTTCTTCTGCGGTCAGTGTAAAGGTCAGGGTAATGTCTTCTTCTGCAGTCAGTATAAAGGTCAGGGTAATGTCTTCTTCTGCGGTCAGGGAATTGTCTTCTTCTGTGGTCAGTATAACGGTCAGGGTAATGTCTTCTTCTGCGGTCAGGGTAATGTCTTCTTCTGCGGTCAGTATAAAGGTCAGGGTAATGTCTTCTTCTGCGGTCAGGGTAATGTCTTCTTCTGCAGTCAGTATAAAGGTCAGGGTAATGTCTTCTTCTGTGGTCAGTATAAAGGTCAGGGTAATGTCTTCTTCTGCGGTCAGGGTAATGTCTTCTTCTGCAGTCAGTATAAAGGTCAGGGTAATGTCTTCTTCTGTGGTCAGTATAACGGTCAGGGTAATGTCTTCTTCTGCGGTCAGGGTAATGTCTTCTTCTGCGGTCAGTATAATGGTCAGGGAAATGTCTTCTTCTGTGGTCAGTATAACGGTCAGGGTAATGTCTTCTTCTGCGGTCAGGGTAATGTCTTCTTCTGCGGTCAGTATAATGGTCAGGGTAATGTCTTCTTCTGCGGTCAGTGTAACGGTCAGGGTAATGTCTTCTTCTGCGGTCAGTATAATGGTCAGGGTAATGTCTTCTTCTGCGGTCAGGGTAATGTCTTCTTCTGCAGTCAGTATAAAGGTCAGGGTAATGTCTTCTTCTGTGGTCAGTATAACGGTCAGGGTAATGTCTTCTTCTGCGGTCAGGGTAATGTCTTCTTCTGCGGTCAGTGTAACGGTCAGGGTAATGTCTTCTTCTGCGGTCAGTATAAAGGTCAGGGTAATGTCTTCTTCTGCGGTCAGGGAAATGTCTTCTTCTGTGGTCAGTATAACGGTCAGGGTAATGTCTTCTTCTGCGGGCAGGGTAATGTCTTCTTCTGCGGTCAGGGTAATGTCTTCTTCTGCGGTCAGTATAATGGTCAGGGTAATGTCTTCTTCTGCGGTCAGTATAAAGGTCAGGGTAATGTCTTCTTCTGCGGTCAGTATAATGGTCAGGGTAATGTCTTCTTCTGCGGTCAGGGTAACGGTCAGGGTAATGTCTTCTTCTGCGGTCAGTGTAACGGTCAGGGTAATGTCTTCTTCTGCGATCAGTATAATGGTCAGGGTAATGTCTTCTTCTGCGGTCAGTATAACGGTCAGGGTAATGTCTTCTTCTGCGGTCAGTGTAACGGTCAGGGTAATGTCTTCTTCTGCGGTCAGTATAATGGTCAGGGTAATGTCTTCTTCTGCGGTCAGTGTAATGGTCAGGGTAATGTCTTCTTCTGCGGTCAGTGTAACGGTCAGGGTAATGTCTTCTTCTGCGGTCAGTATAACGGTCAGGGTAATGTCTTCTTCTGCTGTCAGTATAAAGGTCACAGTAACGTCCACCTGGGCCCGGACATCCTGCTAAGGAAGCCGGCTGTGGCTCGCAGTCACAACTTCATCAACCTGCGGGAGGTGTGCGACCGCTTCAAGCTGCCGCCCGGAGAGTACGTCATCATCCCCTCCACCTTCGAACCGCACCGCAAAGGAAGCTTCATCCTGAGGGTGTTCACAGAGAAACAGGCCCACACCAGGTGAGACAGAAACTCACCTGTGACTGTGTGAAGAAGAAGAAGGAGAGGTGTCTGAAACTGTCTCCTCTCTGTTTCAGTCCGATGGAGGAGGACGTCAACGCCGACATCCAGGAGGTCAGTGAGATGAAAACGCTCACCCTGTCACCATGTGCATCTGTTGATTTCTCATCTCGTGCTGCGAGTCTCTTGCTGACTTGATGTGTTTCCCTTCCAGCCGGAGGTGGGGCAGAGCGACGTGGATCCTCACTTCAAACATCTCTTCGTCCAGATCGCTGGAAATGTAACACAACATTTTACCAAACCTTCCTGTCCCATCCACTCGATGAGGAACAAAGCGTCTCACGTTTTCTTTCTTTCTCAACAGGACTCTGAAATTTCCGCCTTTGAGCTCCAGCAGATTTTGGACAAAGTGATTTCTCAGAGTAAGAACGGGGCGACACAGGACTGTACTGCAGTGTGCGAGTATCTGTGTTTGATGAATCATCTTCCAACGTTTTGTTGAAAGGTCCTGAAGCAGTGATCTGGCTGCTCGTAGACCAGGACCCTCTTGTGTTCATGTAGACCTGAATGTAAAAGAGGGATGAAAGTCTGTCTGAGCCGCCTGAAGCTGAACGCCTCTGTGTTTGTGTGTTTGAAGGATCTGACGTGAAAACAGACGGCTTCAGTCTGCAGACCTGCCGCCACATCATCAGCCTGCTGGACGTATCCTTCAACCCTGTCCAATCAGATCAGTCGTTGTTATTACTGATCAATCTTTGAATCTCAAACACCGTCTGCCTCCAGCTGCTGCTGCTCCGTGCTTTACAGGAAGCTGCAGATGTAAAGTGTTCCAGATGTTTCGTGACAGTATAATTAGTTGCAGAGCTGATCACTGATCAGTAACACAGACAGGCAGGATCTTTGACTGCAGGTCAGATGGACGGCAGCAGCAAACTGGGTCTGCTGGAGTTTCACGCTCTGTGGATAAAGATGCAGAGATACCTGGTGAGAGCTCAGCTGCTCGTAGTGATGATCAACAAATGACTAAACACGTCACGCAACTTTCTGTCTTTAAACATCCTCTAATAGAAAGATTCAGAGTTGCTGTAATGATTTAATATGAACCAGGATGTGTACGAAGAGTATTATTTATGATGAGACTAACAGCTGTTTCCTTCTTCTTCGTCGGTGCACTGCAGGAGATCTTTAAGAGTCACGACTCGGACGCTTCTGGTACGATGAGCAGTCACGAGATGAGAGCAGCGCTCGCTGAAGCTGGTGAGATCCACGATCCCTGATCGTCGTACAGGCCCCCGATCTTTTATCGGTTCTTCAGAGAGCAAATGTGTGAATTTATCAACGTCCTAGGTTGTTCAAAGAGGTCCCAGGGTTCTGTAGGGGGTTCTACAGGTTCTTTAAAACACTTTACTGGATGTTGCTGGAGTTTTTTAGCTTCCACAGGTTCTAAAAGTTCCTTAAAGAGAATCCAGGGTTTCATAAATAATAAAAAGGTTCTAGAGGTGTTAGAGAGAGAGAGTTAGACTAACCAGGTACCGTGAGAGGGATTTAATATTTAAATATGGACATTATTATTATTAGAGTCCCTGAGAATGTTCCAGGGTTCCTTCTCTCTGACTGAGACCCTGTTCCCTGCTGGTATAATAAATAGATTCGTTCCTGCAGTCACTTCTCTTTCTCTCTCTGTGCGTTTGCAGGTTTCCAGGTGAACAGCGCTGTGATTCAGGAGATCGTTGGTCGATACGCCGACACAAGTTACGCCATCGACTTCGACTGTTTCATCAGCTGCCTGGTTCGTCTGGAGATGCTCTTCAGTGAGTCTCATCAACTACTAACAACATAAATATATATCCAACCTATGATGCGTACAGAGCCGCCTTTGGGCCAGACGGACTAACCAATCAGTGACTGACACCCCGGAGCAGGAACCTTTAATACCTCGTCCAGCAGTGGAAACCTCCTGTTCCGAGTTCAGTTCCTGAGTTTAGTTTCTGTACCTTTGGGCTTTGGGGGTTCTAGCAGTGGTTCCAGGTTCCTTCAGCAGGTTCAGAGACAAAAGTTCAAAAGCTCCACGATGGTGTTCCAGCGGTTCCAAAGTTACCTGAGGAAGCTTCAGGACTTTAAAATGAGCTTCAGGCTTCAGGCCACTGAAGGAAACAGCCTCAGCATTAATAACAGTGAACAACTACTGACTGGTCCCCAGTGTCTCCGTTGTTCCTAGTGTCCCCAGTGTTCCAGGTGTCCCCGTTGTTCCTAGTGTCCCCGGTGTTCCTGGTCTCCCTAGTGTCCCCGGTGTTCCTGGTGTCCCCGGTACAGTGATGACACAGTATTTATTTTTTTCCTACAGAGATGTTCAGGACTCTGGACCCGAAGAACCAGGGGAAGATCCAATTGGACCTGCAGCAGGTAAAACTTGTCCTGACTAGTGCTGACCCAGAAACCAGTAAGCTGCTGGTTTCTGGGCCCCCTACAGGCTGCAGTCTGTACTTTTTACATCAGCTTCTCTTTTACAGCTGCCTGATGACATCATCACTGAATCTTCTTCTTCTCCTCCCACAGTGGCTCTGCCTCGCCATCAACTGACAGCCAGCCGCTCCAGGTGCATGCTGGGAGTTGTCTCCAGTCCAGGACAGACAGCAGCTATTGGTTCTTGATGAAAACTTGTTGAAATAAAAGTGTGTTGTGTTGATCATCAGGACGTCTGTTTTTAATGTTTAATCTGGCATCGTGATGATTTATAGAAACCTTACGGCTCTTCTTCTGGTCTTCATGCAGACCCCTCAGTTCATCCTGTCTGAAACTTAACCTGCCCCTCCCTAAAAGCCCACCTTCTTCTGATTGGCCAACTTCCAGGAAGCCTGCCGAGGGGCCTGCGAGCCGCTGTGACCTGGGGCGATTCCAATCTCAGAACGTTTTCGGATTGAACGACACTTGAACTTTTCTCTACAGACGTTGAGATTAGTTTTCTCCCGTTTGGTGGGCGTGTCTCAGGTGTTACCCAATCAGCTGCGACAAGTTTGTACGGCGTTAAAAAGGCAGGAACATGCAGCGCGCTTGCGTTCACAACGGTGTGTTCAAGGCACCAGCGTTTCTGTTAGAAACAACGTCAGCGCTGAACTCGGCCCAGTTCTCTTTATACAGACAGAGGATCAGGGTCACCAGAGATTTCCAGAATAAAGTCACATGTCTCCAGTTCTCAGAGCTGTGACATTGTGGACTGACCTCTGACCTCTGGGTGTCCATCAATCAGGATTATTGACTTCATCAGTAAGTTATTTTAACATCTGGCTGCTGAACCTTTAAAACAACGTTCCTGAGGGGCGATGACCCCGAGCCCCTGTGGTGGGTACAGTTACAGAGACCGACTCACAACGTGGACCAGATCCCGAATCCCTCCGCACTTTAAACTGAACAGACCTGAGAGCAGAACTCGTCCAGAACGCACTCAGAATCACCCAAAAACCTCTGACCACAGAGCCAACAGATAAACCCCTAAACCAGCTACTGCTGAGGCTGTGGCCCCCCGGGCCCCGCAGGTCCTCGGGACGACAATCACTGGAAGAATCAGAACAAACTTCAGAATCTGAATCTGAGAGCGAGAAGAATCCAGGTGAGATTATCTCACCTGAGGAACACAGAGCACACAGTTTCACGCAGCTCCAGTTTAAAAATGATTTATAATAAATAAATAAATTATTTGAAGTATATATTTTATGACTCTTTAGAGACGTGAGTAGGATCTGATCAACACCTTCAGGTGTTGGAGGCCACCTGCAGAGATTCATCAGCTGTTTGTCTCCTTTCTCTGAATGTTTTGTTTCTTTCTGAGGTGAAGACGGTCTGTTGAAATTTAAACAGAATATTGAGACAGACAGAGAGACAGCGGGCTGCAAAGAGTGACTCGGGTCAGAGGAAAGAACCTTTCAGCTGCCAGCAGAACTTTTCCTGCTTCGTTGCGCAGATTTCACACAACACGCCCGGAAGTCAGACCTGCATTCTTCACAATAAAAGCGTTTCTTTAACTGCTTTCCTGCCTGATGGTCGGCGGTTAAATATTTTGAAGGTACTTACAGGAAGCTGAATCTGACTGTGTCGGGTTGCTCTCTGTGATCCCGGCGGAGTGGACACTCCCTTCCTTCCAACACTGCATCCTCAACACTCCCCAAACTTTCCAGGAGCCTCCGCACCCTCCAGGCTCTCCGCTGCAGACTCCAGGTCCAGCAACATGTCGGGCATCGCGGCCACGCTGCAGCACCGCCGGGAGAAGAACCGGGGAATCGGAACCAACAGCCAGGCGGTTCGGTACCTGGACCAGGACTACGAGGCTCTGCGGCGCCGCTGCTTAGAGTCCGGCCGCCTGTTCCAGGACGACGCGTTCCCGGCGCTGCCCTCCTCCCTGGGCTTCAACGAGCTGGGCCCGAACTCCTACAAGGTCCGGGGGGTGTCCTGGAAGAGACCCACGGTCAGTGAAGATCACAGCCTCACGTAGAAACGCTGCCTGCGCCAAAACCATGAACGTGAGAACGTGAGACTGCGCGGACAAACTTCAGCCTGCTGCAGTCAGGAAACTCCTGTCAGATATGAGATGTTTAATATCAGGAGCAAGAGTTTATTTTAACGCCATATATCCCACCTTATCTATCAGGGCTCTCAGAAGTTTCCCTCCCCAGGGCCCCAGCCAATTCTCTCAAGTTTTACTAGCAGTTAGATTTTACCCGAACAAACAGAAGGTATAAAAATAGGTAGAGCTGTTAAAGGTAAATAAATAAATTTATTTATATGCTTTCAAAAATACAAACGTATCAAAACTAAAAGGAAATTTGGCCCCAAACGAGCAGCAGTGCTGCACACACAGGCCTCCAGTACACATTTCAGCTTCTGAATGGGGTTTTGTGTTGTAAGTGTGTGTTGCACATTTTTATGCCTTGATGAGGGGTGTAGGGGCCCCACTCAGAGCCCTGTGGCTCAAGTCCATTTTCACCACCATGATGGATGATAGCTTTCTGTCCAGAGCCAAAATATAGAAAAACAAGTCCTTTCCTTAGTTTCAGGCAGCCAAAGCTAAGCCAGTGGTGGGCAGTAACAAAGTACTTAAGTACGCAAGGTATTTGTTCTGAACTTGAGTATTTTCTTTTCATGCCACTTTCTACTTCATCACATCTCCAAAGGGAATATATACTATATATATAATATATAATATTATACTTTACTTTATCTGACAGCTTCAGTTACTAGTTAGAAATAATTTAAAAATAATTTTTTTACACACAAAATGAATGAAGAGTTTAAAAAATAGGATGTTTTGATATAAATTTAATTACTTAACGGTTTATAAAAGTCCAGCTAGTAGAACTACATCAGTTAGTCTAATTGACAGAAATTTAATTGCCAACTGTTTTGGTTTTAGTCATTTTTCCTGTAAAAACATTTTATGGTTCCAGTTTCCAATCTGATAGAAAATAGTTCAACCTCATCCAACTACATTAATGCATGAGGAATAATAATCTAATGTATATATATATATATATATATATATATATATATATATATAACTAGTATAACAGTCATAGGGGACTTTTTTTTTTGCTTTGAGAAGGCTATACTTTTATTTTGAACATACTTTTACTTAACTTTTTCAATGCAGTAGGCCTACTTGCAGAGTATTTTTACAGTGAGGTACTGTTATTTTTTTATAAAGGATCTGAAGAGGCATATGTTCGGCTACTTTGCTCACCACTGGCTAAAAAAGCCAAAGCTTCTGGTTGCAAAGACGTTGGAGGGATTTTGACGGCATCAGTAATCATTTAGCACTCCCCAACATCAGCTGCTCTCACTATCTTTGATCTGAGTGAATAATAATTAAAAAAACCTACAGTTACATTCATTAGGCTACGGAGAAAGCTAGGAACTCTAAAAAATGATCGTCCATTAATTTAATATAGCGGGACAACTTCGAGGACGTTATCTCATAACTTACTTCTCTGCGTGAGAAATACAAGGTGTGGCGTGTGAACTGGCTGAAATGCGTGAGACCTTTAAACAGCAATAACTGGCCCATTCCACCCAACTGGCGGGCTGTTTTCACCTTCCAGTGTTTTTTCAACACTGAATCTAATGACACACACGCTAAACTATTTAAAATATTTAATGGTCACTCTCAGGCAGATTTATTCAAACTTTTACAAGGTTTCTAAGCGGAAAAATGGCTTCATTTTCCTCAGTCCTGTTACCAAAACTTATGTATCATTTTGAAACCATGTTTAAAAGCAGGTCAAGTAATGCCTTTGTTTTTCCCTAAAGACAGTGTTTATTTTAAATCAGTTGTTGGTTACATGTCCATAAAATGATTGTTTTTAACAAATTTTTTTATTTATATGCATGCAAGTTGTATTTTTCCAAAAAATGCAACACCTTTTTTTTGTTTTGAAGGAGACCGAAACCTCCAGGTTCAATGTTTTTATCATGTAATTTATTAAACAACGGGATAAATGATAGATAATAGAAAAAAATAAACAATTTAGTAACAGGAATGAGTGTTGGCTAACAGTATGCAGAAATATTCAAATACACGAGGGGGAAAAAAAACTTTTATACCAAATGCAAAGAAATGCACAGTACCAATGGATGCATTAGGTCATCTACTTTCATATGATACTAGCATCTTCACTCTGCATTTAGAATAGAACCCATGAAAAATCTCTCCCGAGTAGCCGCTTGGGGAGCGTTATACGACGCATGTTTTGATGTGATGTCACAGGGATGAAAGGGAAGCGGCTGGACTACAAACGAGCTGTTTTCAGGCAGTTCAGAGCAGAGTTTTCTGTGGGAGATGGGAACTCCCTTTGGGTTTTTCCAAAGTTTATAACTCAATAAAGGAGAGGGAAAAGGCCAAACAGCAGAATATCACCTCTTTAATGAACCAAGTTAATGTTACAGTTGGAAAATGTGAAGAGAGTGAATTCACAAAACCAGATTTCAGTGTATCAACAAGCGTTAGCTTAGGTTGTTAGCAAGCGACTAACTTTACCCAGGCCTAGCTAGCATTAGCTGGTAACACCATGTAAATAAAAACGAACAGAAACAATTCAGCATTTTCTATGCAAAAAATAAACAGATGTTTTCTTTTTTATGGTGCTCCTATGCCTCCGTATGAAACTAGTCCTGCCCTGGTGTCAGTATGTAACTATGACTTCTGGATTGTGCATGTTGAGTATTTTCTCGCCAAGATCCTGAGTGACTAAGAACTCTGGCATCCAGAATTCATAGACCCGTAGTTACACACATAACTCTTGTTCTGTTTCATTTTCTGACGCCAGAGGCCGTGTGACTAACATGGTCAAGAGGAATCCCACCTTTCAGGGAACGGCCTGATACAAATACTACATAATGTTGCTTTAAAGGAGTTCTACACAGTTTGTATCTGATTTCACTTAGTAACAAACCACTAACACAAGAAGAATTTAGGGTATGTGTGTGGTGTGGGAACAGGTTCAGCAGCGATGGTAGCCATCTTGCAATAATGTCTGAATTCCTTATCTTATCATCTTAAGTTCTTATTCTCCCACAGAAACCTGAACTCTGCCAACCCCGTCCTCGCTGAGCGGCTTCAGGCGTCGCGGGCAGATCAGATAGTCACAAGTGAACAGGTGTGAATGCGTCCGACATAACCAGGTTCAGTCTGTCAGCTGATGTGTGTCGTGTTTCCTGTGCAGGAGATGACCTCCGACCCCGAGTTCATCATCTGTGGAGCCTCCAGGACCGACATTCGTCAGGGAGCTCTGGGTGAGAACAAACACACCACTTACCACCATCCTTCTAAAGGAAGCTGTTGATCTTCCTCCAGTGCAGCACCTTTAAGTACGTGTCTGACCTAATCCCCGCCCCTTCCTGTCTGTCATCCAGGGGACTGCTGGCTGCTCGCCGCCATCGCCTCTCTGACCCTGAACGAGGAAGTTCTTACTCGAGTCGTCCCGCACGGTCAGAGCTTCACGAAAGGAGAGTACGCCGGCATCTTCCACTTCCAGGTACACAGATACGCAGTACCACAAATATTTAAGAAGGTACCTGGGATGCAAATACTACACAAGGTTCTGGGTAAGCACATAGTCCGAGACCAGGTACTGACACGTCTACTTCTTCAACAGCTGTTAGTACCTCTACATGTACTTTTACTACTACAAATGTTACTTCTACTTCCATCTACTACTACAAATGATACTACTACTTCCATCTACTACTACAAATGATACTACTACTACTATCTTCTACTACTATCCATTACTACAAATGTTACTTCTACTACTATAAACCTCCATGGATTCAATGTGGGTTGAATCATATGAGAGGGATAAGTCTGACCTGGATGACTGAATCTTCACAGACATGTTATTGGGTGACTGGAGTTCCTCAGGGAAGCGTCCTAGGGCCTCTTTTTATCTGTTTCTCTGGTCTGCAGTTCTGGCAGTTCGGGGAGTGGGTGGATGTAGTGATCGACGACCGTCTGCCGGTGAAAGATGGCGAGCTGTTGTTTGTCCACTCGGCGGAGGGCAGGGAGTTCTGGAGCGCCCTGCTGGAGAAGGCCTACGCCAAGTAAGACCTGACGGAGTATATGTAAACACATACATCTGTTTTGCAACAGGCCTGAGAACAGTGATGTGAGAAGGGATAAACTGAGGGAGACCGCTAGAAACACAAACGTGTCACCTGCTCAGCGTCGACCTCAGCTGGTCACATGTACGAGAGCTGAGACATTCAGTCCCCGCCCCCTGTCACCTCCACACAGCCGACCAATCGCAGAGGGAGGCGGACCCCTTAATGATCACGAGTTCGTCAAAGAGAGAAAAACAGAAAAATTTTGCAATAAATTGGATCAGAGCTGAAACGATCAGGTGATTCATTGATTAGTAATGAATGCACTTCGGACTCTTTCACAGTTTTAGAAACTAACAGGATGACAGGATCCACGGGGCTGAACCTGGTCACGTGGCATCCTCAGGCGTTACCCGTGTGTGTGATGTTGCCACAGGTTGAACGGCTGTTACGAGGCTCTGTCTGGAGGAACCACCACCGAGGGCTTCGAGGATTTCACCGGAGGAATCGCTGAGGTCCACGAGCTGGGTCAACCCGGTCCTCACCTGTTCCACATCATCCAGAAGGCTCAGAGCCGCGGGTCGCTGATGGGCTGCTCCATAGACGTACGCTGCGTGTAGAGATACTTTTACAACGTCATGTGATCTATGAAGTATTTTAATATTATTTTACCAACAATAAAAACTAACGAGCTTCTGTTTCACATGAACACAACATGAGACATTCAGTGTTCTGGTTATTTTGTAGTTTGCCATCTCATGGTACATACTGGAAAATATCCATATTAATATTGTAATAATATATTATTTCAATAGACAAACACAGGTCCTGTAGAGTATAATGAGTACTGGGTACTGTATCGTAAATGATGAGTACTTCATGGATACTAGACAAGTTGCCCTGATCATATTTTCGTTTTATGGTGTTTCTGGCAGCACAGAGACGAGAGACGGAGCGAGAAGACGTGTTACAGAACAATAAATCAAACTACATGTTTTCAGCAGAAGGTCCTGCTTTACTGTAGACTTTATTGGAAGTATTTTTGGATAAAAATAGAACGCCTCATTGTGTGGACGTTGTTTTGTTTCGTTAATCAGCTGATGTTGTTTTGCTTCAGATCACCAGCTCATCCGACTCGGAGGCGGTCACCTCTCAGAAGCTGGTGAAAGGCCACGCCTACTCTGTGACTGGTGCAGCTGAGGTGAGAGGACACGCCCCCACCCCCACCCCATGTGAACCTCATGTAATGGACAGAAAAATGTGAACACTGTATTAAACTACACTTCCCATGAGCCTTAGCAGGAGGTGTGGCTTTTTGGAGACAAAGCTTGTGTTAGCATGCTGAGGTGTACAGATGGAGCAGACCCAGCTCACCTGAAGAGGGGCGGAGCTTCACCTCTCATGGCATCAGGTGTAACTCTGCTTTGCGTGTGATTGGCTGCAGGTGGAGTACCGTGGCAAGATGGAGAGGCTGATCCGGATCAGAAACCCCTGGGGTCAGGTGGAGTGGACCGGAGCCTGGAGTGATGAGTAGGTAACCCCGACAGCTCGTCACCCAACAGGTGTTGGAGACTCAAACCAGAGAGAACAAACGCTGCAGAGCCTCCGAGAGTCTTCCGAGATTTCCTTCAGTATCACATCCAGTGAAAGCTGTCTGGGCAGGAGGTGCAGGGAGGTGATTAGAAGAAGAGCTGAGAGGACGGGTGGATGTGTTGATATGAAGGAGGTCGGTGAGGTACAGAGGAGCGAGGTTGTGAAAGGCCTTAAAGGTCTGGAGCAGAGTTTTGAAATCAATGTGGTATTTAACTGGGAAGCTGCTGAAGGACAGGAGTAATATGATTAATAGAAGGAGTTCTGCTGATGATCTGGGCAGCAGAGTTCTGAACCAGTTGGCTGCATTAATGATGGTTGAGAGAGACAGTTCAGAGGCGATTAATGTTATTTAAATGAACGCATGCAGACCGAGTGACATTATTAATGTGAGCTTGAAATGAAAGTGTGCTGTCGAAGATCACACCCAGACTTTCTACTCTAAGAGAGAAAGTGGATTTGGTGCCATTGAAGAGAACCACGGTTTTGTCCTTGTTAAGTCTGAGGAAGTTGCAGCAGAACCAGGATTTCTATTCAATCAGAGAGGAAGGTGGAGGTAGGTTTGGTGGACAGGTAGAGATGGGTGTCATCCGCATAGAAGTGGATTTGGATGTTAAATTTACGGAAGATATGGCCAAGAGGAAGCAGAAAGCTGATGAACAGAAGGGGCCCCAGGACAGAGCGCTGGGGAACACCGCTAGTGACAGGACATAGACGTGATTTGAAATGTCTGAGTTGGATGAACCAGAGAGATTTAAACCAGTCCGAAGGTGTGTACATCCATGCTAACTGCTAACAGGAGCTGCTAACAGCTAATTCAGCTACTTTAATGGGACAGTTTGTCTAAATGTCTAAAATCTCACATTATGATTTAGCTGCGAGTTGTGTTTCTTATTTCCTGACTGTAAAACGTGTCGAACGCTTCCTGACAGTTCGCTGCAGTGGCGTTACATCAGTGACGAGGACAGAGAGCGCCTGAGTCATCGCGCAGAGGACGGAGAGTTCTGGTAAAACTTTACTTTGTCTCCAATCTACCTGAACTTCATCAGGTCTTCTGTGGGAAGTGAAACCCTCTGCTGTGTCTTCCAGGATGTCTTTCTCTGACTTCCTGCGACAGTTCTCCCGGCTGGAGATCTGTAACCTGACGCCCGACGCCCTGAGAGACGACTCCATCTCTAAATGGGCTCTGTCCAAGTTCGATGGCAGCTGGAGGAAAGGATCCACCGCTGGAGGCTGCAGGAACTTCCCCAGTGAGTGATCCTGTCAGACAGTGAGCAGGTCCAACATTTCATTTTTAGAGATCCTGCAGGTTCTTATAGCCCGTCAGCAGCAGCGCCTCAGCAGGTGGGGTGACCTTCCTTTGACTCTTAAAGGTCTCTGATCTGCTGTTTCCAAACCGCAGACTCATTCTGGATGAACCCTCAGTTTGTGATCAAGCTGGATGAGGAGGATGACGACCCGGAGGACGGAGAGGCCGGCTGCAGCCTTGTGGTCGGTCTGATCCAGAAGAACCGCAGACACTTGAGGCAGAAGGGAGAGGGCATGCACACGGTCGGATTCGCCATCTACGAGGTGAGAAGGAGTTTCATGTCTGGACTGTTGACTTCAGGCAGAAGCGTTTCTTTAAGGTTATAAAACGTGTCCTGAAGAGTCGACTGTGTTGGTGAGGAGAGTCCAGTTCGCCCTGGTCGGTCTTCACCTCGTCATGTTGAGTGTGTCGTAGCCAGAACAGGATGCTGCTGTTGTCGGAGGACTTTAGAGACGAGCCTGAGAGGGTAGTACGATTTGTAAACTTCTCTGAATCTTATTGTTTCTTCTGTTTCAGGTTCCTGATGAGGTACGAAGACGCCGACCTGCTCACGTCCTGCCGCTCGGGGTTTATTGCTCAACATTTCATTTCTTTAGCTCAGACTCTGGGTTCACCTCTGGTGTCTGTCTGTCAGTTCTCTGGTCAGAGGAACGTCCACCTGAACAGGAACTTCTTCCTGCGTCACGCCTCCACCGCGCGCTCCGAGACCTTCATCAACCTGCGAGAAGTCTGCAGCCGCTTCTGTCTGCCGCCCGGAGAGTACCTGATCATCCCGTCCACCTTCGAACCGCACAAGAACGGAGACTTCTGTGTCCGGGTCTTCTCCGAGAAAAAGGCAGACTTTCAGTAAGTTACTTCAGACTCTGAGACTCTGGAGAGCGAGAGGTCCCATGTCTAAATGAATCTCAGTGGTCATGATGGAGCTGATGGTGAAAGTCTCGGGGAATCTGCTGAGCTGAACTGACTTTGTGTTTGTAGAGATGTTGGAGGTTTTCTTAATTGGTGCGTTCAAGATGACGGCGGCTGACTTTCGCTGACTTGATAGTCTAATGTGAGCTACAGGTGACTGCAGGGGCGGGGAATAAAAACGCCGCCATCAAGTCGAACATGTTCTGTGTGAGCTGAGATCAATAACTGATCTGACCAGGCTTCAGTGTGGTTGTAGCTTTATGCAGCTGCAGAAAAGCCACTGCGGCCGGACTCTGCGCCTGCAGCCGCCTTGCTCCTGTGAGGTTTTCATGTCATGTGACCTGGTGATTTGCAGCACCAGTGAAAGTCGGACTCAATTTCTAACCAGCATGCCTTATTTTAAGCACAGCATGAAGTCGAACGCACCTATTCACTTCAATACAGAGTTTGGTCACAGCAGCACCTGGTGGATGTTAGAGGAACTGCAGCTGCTGGAGTTTCTATTAAAACATCTGATTACCGTGATGCTTTGAGTGTCAGTCAGTAAGAACCCTTCACGGTGTGTTTAATGTCAGTGAGGATTATGTGGCACTCTCTAGCAGCTCTTATTAGTCTTTATAAAAACTGGATCTTGTGTTTTAATAATAAAAAATAATTTAATAATGATGTTTGTCCCTGCAGAGAGCTGGACGACCCCGTCGAGTGCAGAGTGAAGAAGGTGAGGACGAGATCCAGCTGGTACATTTTTTAAAAGTTACCAAACAGACGGCAGCTCCTTGCATTCAGTCTGAACCTTTAGTCTCGTTTTCTTTTTAATAATTTCCCCTAAAACAGGGATAAAAAAACAGGGAAGTAAATCTGCACTATATTTTCTGTCCAGTTCAACTTTGACCCATGAACTCTCCCCGTTAACCAATAACATGCTGTCCTGACTAAAGCTGCAACTAACAATTATGTTCATTATAAATATCTAAATTATTTTTTCAATTAATTGATCAGTTGTTTGGTCTATAAAATGGTGAAAAATGTCGATCAGCGTTTCCCAAAGCTCAAGAAGACGCCCGCAAATGCTCAAAGATATTCAGTCTCGGAGGATTAAAGAAACCAGAAAATACTCATTTAAGAAGCTGAATTCAGGGAAGTTTGACTTTTTGTCTTTTAAAAAAATGATTCAAACCGATCAATCGATTATCAAAATAGTTTCAGATTAATTCAAGTTGACAATCGATTATTCGATGACTTGTTGCAGCTGTAGTCATCTGGATTTTAATTCTTAACGTTCCTTTTTCTTAAAGTCAGACATTGTTCCTCGTTTAACTTTCTGAAGTTTATTACACGTGTGACTGAGCTCTTCAGCTGCACAGATGTCAGCTATTGATTGATGAATCATCATGATTATTGTGTCAGCTGAGAGTTGACTTCCTGTTTCAGATCGAGATCGGTGAGGACGACGTGGACGAGCGGTTCAGAGGTCTGTTCGGCCGGCTGGCAGGAGCGGTGAGCCGATGATAAGAATAATGAACATGTATATTAATATCTGCTGTGTGACGGTCGACTGACAGGAAGAGTCTCTGTGCCGCAGGACTTTGAAGTTTCTGCCTTCGAGCTGCAGAAGATCCTCAACAAAGTGGTGACCAAACGTAAGAACAGGAACCAGACGCCGGTCTGAGGTCCAGGTGGGCTCTGCAGGTGTGAACAGTGTTTACCTGTTTGTCTCTGACAGGATCCGACATCCAGACCAGCGGCTTCAGCATCACAACGTGTCGCAACATGGTTAACATGCTGGACGTATCCTTCCAGCGCCGGCGTGCACGCCAAGTCCTCCTGTAACTATGATGTCATGAGTTAGTGGTTTAAACTGAAAACGCAATGGGGTCTGCTGGGTAAAATACTGCGGGTGAAGCTCCTGAACTGCAGCTGCAGACAGACGGCAGCGGTCAGCTCGGTCTGCTGGAGTTTAAAGTGCTGTGGACCAAAATCGAGGCGTACCTGGTGAGTGTGAACCCGGCCTGCCCGGTGAAGCGTCACCTTTCACTGCTGTCTCTTCTGAGCAGCCTGAAAGGTTCAGCGTGCAGGTTGTAGTGCCATCTAGTGGTGAGCGCTGTGAATAGCATCCAACAGCTCAGTCACCGCTCCCTCTGCAAGCAGGAGAAGCTACGGTGGCTCTGACCTAAATAACACGTGTGCTCCTCCATATATACAAATTTCATCTTCTTAAAGAGACAGGAGCATCTACAGCTTGTTTCACACAGAGGCTGAAATGAAGGCCTACATGAAGAGTCAGTGTAAGAAAACATGTTTTTGAACTTTGAATCATGCAAAGCGGCCAAACAGGAGTCACAGAACTATAATATAGGTCTGGAAAAGCAGTATAATAGGTCTCCTTTAACTGCTCAGTTTCACATTTTATCTAGAGGTTGTACCAGAACAGGTTCACATGGTTTATGTTCAGACTGCAGCTCCTCTTCTCACCCCGTGTGTTCAACACTCTGTTTTAGCCACCGAGCGAAGCATCTCACCTCTATTCCATCTTTGTTGGGAGCTGCACTTGTGCAATGTGCGTAGGAGACCCTAACATCAGTGGAACCACACGATTGGTTGAAATAGATTTCCCGCCTCGGCTGTTAAAAGCAGACGATTGGCTTTCTAGCAGGAGGGGCGGGATAACCGACATCTTTGGGGTTACAGGCTTTCCCCAAAGAGTTGCACTGAGGATTTTTAAAGTGATGCTTCTACTCTATAAAACGTCTCTGACAGTAACTAGCTAAGGACTACTCAGCCACTCAGAAGCAGAGTAGGGCAGGTCCTGACAAGCATGTCAGTGTGATCCAAAACAAAGCCGTTTCGGCCGGTAATGGCTTCTGTTCAGCCATACATGCTGGACCCAGAGCCTGACCCAGAACCAGCTTCAGAACCTAGACTGGATGACGAGTTTCAGAGTGGTGAGTTATTAATCTGTAACACGTTTATCTTTCATAACGTTTGACCTGAGCTCTTAACTGTGTCAGTTCAGGAGCAGAGTTTAATGCACATTTAAAGATTTATAACACATCAAAAGAAAGGGAAGAAGCCAAGAAGCAGAACATGAGCTCTTGAGTTTGAGACCTCCTTCCTCTGTGTGACAGAACATTTACCGGCAGAAGGACCTGGATCAGTCGGGGACCATGAGCTCTGCAGAGATGAGGTCGGCCGTGGAGGAAGCTGGTAAAACATCTTTATCCGTTTATCTCTCGTCTGAAGCTTCGTTCCACGTTTCAGATTCTAGTTTATTTCTTATCAAACAGCATCAGCATCAGAAAACGTTTAAGGTCTCGGATGTTTCATGATGTCAATATTTCAGATGAAGCGTTTATCTGCTGCTGGTTCTTTTTGTTTTAGATTCTTGTATTTTATGTTTGTTTGTTTATGTAAATGAGCTTCTGTTGTTTAATGTGGGAAAAACCCCAAACACTAAATTTCACTTTTATAAAATCAACATGTCTGATTTCATGATTAGTTTACTTCATGTATTTTATTTACTATGTTAAATATATTTAGTACAACTTAACAAAATATTTATTTTGTGTTTGACTCAATTATGTTACCAAATATTATTTCAACAATCATAAAGAAACAGTTAAAATACTAGAAATATTTGTTTTGTACACTTTAATTATGTTGAACAGCTGCAGTGGTACTGTGGTATAAGTATATGTACTGTGTAATCAAATACCACTGTAGTACTGTGTTAAAATGTTTATAAAAGATGAGCAAAAAGTATTATTATTAATTAAATAACATAGCTTCTTCTGTGGTGTAGAATGGAAAGTACAGTAAAAGTATTATTACTGTACTTTTGTTTTAAAGTACACAGAAGTACTGTTAGATGATCCGGTTCCTCACCTGTGTGACCTCTGACCTCTGCTGCTGGTTTGTGTGTTTCAGGTTTCAGTCTGAACAACCAGCTCCATCAGGTCCTGGTGGCTCGGTACAGCGAACCGGATCTCACCGTCGACTTCGACAGCTTCGTGGGCTGTTTGGTTCGTCTGGAGACCATGTTCAGTGAGTCCTCCACGGACCTCGCAGACTACCGCAGACCACCATAGACCACCACGGTCCTCACAGACCACCACGGACCCCACAGACCACTACAGTCCTCCATAGATCACAGACTACCACGGTCCTAACAGACCCCACAGACCTCACAGTCCACCATGGTCCTAACAGACCACCACAGACCACTACAGTTCTCACAGACCACCATAGACCTCACAGACCACACAGACCACTACAGTCGTCCATAGATCACAGACTACCACGGTCCTAACAGACCCCACAGACCTCACAGTCCACCATGGTCCTAACAGACCACCACAGACCACTACAGTTCTCACAGACCACCATAGACCTCACAGACCACACAGACCACTACAGTCCTCCATAGATCACAGACTACCACGGTCCTAACAGACCCCACAGACCTCACAGTCCACCATGGTCCTAACAGACCACCACAGACCTCACAGTCCACCATAGTCCTAACAGACCACCACAGACCACTACAGTTCTCACAGACCACCATAGACCTCACAGACCACCACAAACAAACCACCGACAACCACAGACCTCTACGGTCTCGCAAACCACCACTCTGAGCATGATGATGATTGTTTCCTCTTCACAGGCATATTTGAAACGCTGGACAAGGACCGCTCGGGGACCGTGGAGCTCAGCATGATGGAGGTACGTAAGTTTCACAGACTGTAGACCAACATGGCCGCCGCTCACGTGGACATGAAGGCAGAACAGAGTTCAGCCTTTCTCTTATTCTCAGTTCAACTCGACTGAATCAGGACGTCAGATCTGTTTTTCAGGAGAAACTAGACAAGAAACAGGAACACGACTAATCAGTCAGACGTCCTGTCGTCACATATAATCCAGCCAGACTGAGACTTTAGGAACAGAGATATGGAGTCGTCCCTTAGAAAGAGTTACTACTAGAAAACAAATGCTCTTTGACTCCGCCCCCTCAAGTTCAACTCATCCAATCATGTTGTCTCCAGAGAAGCTCCGCCTCCAGGTACATGAGATCAATACGAATATCTGATGAGGTTCAGTTTGAGTTCCTCAGTTTTCTCAATAATCAGCTGGGTGTAACCAGCTGATGTCACAGTGACATCAGCTGGTTACACCCACAGCCTGTATAAAGTAGTGGGCTTAGCCACCGTGACGTCCCCTGTAGGTTTGTGGACTATCCTACCGTTCTGAAGCCTCCAGTTTGGCATTTTGGCCGTTACCATCTTGTCTTTGTTCTTGGAACCAGGCATATTTGGACGAGAGGGTGGAGCTAGCTAGCTTGATTAGCAAGGTGCATCTGTGATATTAACTGGGATGCTAATTTTGTCTAGCGACCAACCGGCTTAAAACTAAACGTACTTCCTGAAAAATGAGCAGCCGACTCCTGATGAGCGGCGCTGGTTAAATGTTCACAGAGCAGCGGATACGAGTCGCCTCTATCCTGATTGACAGGTTGTCAATCAGCTTGTAGCCCCGCCCTAAAGCCTCCCCTGCTTCCTGGTCTCTGTTCCTCTAAATGGGACCATAATTTACTAAATGAACATCATGCTGTGTTGAAGAAGACTTGAAACTAGCGACTGAGACCATAAACTTATTTAGGTTTAGGTTATTCACTGGCTTCGCTTTTCAGAGGATTTTGATTGGTTACACCTGAGCGCCTCAGGTTCTGCAGCAGACAAAACCAGGTCTGGACTGTAGCAGACTCCGAGTATTCAGAAAGAATTGTTTGTCGCTGTAATTTAAAATCTGAAAACAGCGTTTATTCATATTAGAACTGTGTATTTATATATAAAAATAGGTCTAATGATTCCTGCTGACTTCCTGTGCCGTGATGATCAGGATCCAGCCTGTAGTCCTGACGGCAGGTTGGAGCTCAACAAGGAAAACTCGATTTTTGTAACGCGAGTCTTTAAAAAACAAGAATATTTTAAGTGTTAATAACATAAAAGATCAGATCAGAATCCAACAGTTGATTTAATGTGAGCATGTTGTGGTTTTCCTACAGTGGCTGAACGTGTCTCTGCTCTGAAGATCCAGGACCCTCCTGAGCGCTGGACTCATCTGATCATCAGGGACGAGACCATGACTGATGATCAGCTGTAGCTAATCAATGAGTCCTGGTTATTCACCTGATGCCTTATTGATAAACATTATTAAATAAAGAGAATACAGCAGTGAGTCTGTGAGCACTGATTTATTAATATGAAACCAATCGGAGGAGCCTGCCTGCAGCTGTGGGCGGGGCTTATTCTCACCTGTACCTTTAGTCAGGTGCACTCTGACCGCAGGAAGCATCATGTTGAAATGTGTAAACAAAATAAATAACGTGATTGGCTGACAGCAGCAGGATGTCCCGCCCACCACAGTCAGACCACACCTCACTCTCCCACAGACATCTGATTGGTTCTTAAAGGTGGTCCCGCCCACACACTTCCTGTCCAAACAGGAAACAGTCCCTCAGACCCTCTCAGTTCCCAGCAGCCACCAGCAGGAGGCGCTGTGATGTCAGAATGTCATAATCTCTGGCTTTATGACATCAGCGCCCTGTTTTCTGGCGGGCGAACTCTTCCGCCCATCTCAGAGCCTCAGTGATGTCACTGCTGCTTCCTGTTCCCTTTGCAACCAGGGCGGAGCCGCCGGCGCTGCCCCCCAGGTGATGACACACCGCCACTGCCCAATCAGAGGCAGAGAGGGCCACAGAGTCCTGAGGAGGGAGAGGACAGCCAATCAAACGCTTCAAACTAGACTTTATTTATACAGCCTGACGCCACAGACAGGTGTTTCATCGTTACCTTGGGAACCTGACAGGCACACAGAACCTTCCCAGAATGCCTCTGGTGAGCGAGCAGCATCACGTGACTGCGAGGAGAGGCGGCGCTCAGCTGGTTCACCGTCTTCATGACAACCTGACAGGAAACAGCATTTTCTGATGAGGTCATAGTGATGTCATCGCAGCTGTCTAACAAACTGGAGGTGGCGTTTTACACCAGGCAGGATCAAATGACATCCAGATGCATTATGGGAAACGTAGGCTCCACCTGTGAGCGTCTGAGGGTCCGGCTGTTCTTACCGACAGAGAGTCCGTGTCCACAGAGTCCACCTGCACGTCCTTCCTGCCGTTCTTCCCCAGCAGAGCCTGAGCTCGCACTGCAGCCTGTGCAAAGCATGATGGGAAAACACTCAGCGACACAGAATAAAGCCTTTTATAACCTCTCTCTCTCTCTCTCTCTCTCTCCTGTCTCTCTCTCGTGTGTGTCTCTCTCTCTCTCTCTCTCTCGTGTGTCTCTCTCTCTCTCTCTCTCTCGTGTGTCTCTCTCTCTCTCTCGTATGTCTGTCTCTCGTGTCTCTCTCTCGCGTGTGTCTCTCTCGTGTCTGTCTCTCTCTCTCTCTCGTGTGTCTGTCTCTCGTGTCTCTCTCTCTCTCGTATGTCTGTCTCTCGTGTCTCTCTCTCGTGTGTGTCTCTCTCTCTCTCTCTCTCTCGTGTGTCTCTCTCTCTCTCTCGTATGTCTGTCTCTCGTGTCTCTCTCTCGCGTGTGTCTCTCTCGTGTCTGTCTCTCTCTCTCTCTCGTGTGTCTGTCTCTCGTGTCTCTCTCTCTCTCGTATGTCTGTCTCTCGTGTCTCTCTCTCGCGTGTGTCTCTCTCTCTCTCTTGTGTGTCTGTCTCTCGTGTCTCTCTCTCTCGTATGTCTGTCTCTCGTGTCTCTCTCTCGTGTCTGTCTCTCTCTCTTCTCTCTCTCGTGTCTCTCTCTCGTGTCTCTCTCTCTCTCTCTCGTGTCTCTCTCTCGTGTCTCTCTCTCTCTCGTGTCTCTCTCTCTCTCGTGTCTCTCTCTCTCTCTCGTCTCTCTCTCTCTCGTCTCTGTCTCTCTCTCTCTCTCTCTCTCTTGTGTCTCTCTCTCTCTCTCTTGTGTCTCTCTCTCTCTCGTCTCTCTCTCTCTCGTCTCTCTCTCTCTCGTCTCTGTCTCTCTCTCGTGTCTCTCTCTCTCTCTCGTGTCTCTCTCTCTCTCGTCTCTGTCTCTCTCTCGTGTCTCTCTTGTGTGTCTCTCTCTCGTGTCTCTCTCTCGTCTCTGTCTCTCTCTCTCTCGTCTCTCTCTCTCTCGTCTCTCTCTCTCGTGTCTCTCTCTCTCTCTCGTCTCTCTCGTCTCTCTCTCGTGTGTGTCTCTCTCTCGTCTCTGTCTCTCTTTCTCTCGTCTCTGTCTTGTCTCTCTCGTCTGTCTCTCTCTCTCGTCTCTCTCTCTCTCGTGTGTCTCTCTCTCGTGTCTCTCTCTTTCGTGTCTCTCTCTTTCGTGTCTCTCTCTCTCGTGTGTCTGTCTCTCTCTCTCGTGTCTCTCTCTCTCGTGTGTGTCTCTCGTGTCTCTCTCTCTCTCGTGTGTCTCTCTCGTGTGTCTCTCTCTCTCTTTCGTGTCTCTCTCTCTCTCTCTTGTCTCTCTCTCTCTCTCTCGTATGTCTCTCTCGCGTGTCTCTCTTTCGTGTCTCTCTCTCGTCTCTCTCTCTCTCGTCTCTCTCTCTCTCTCGTGTGTGTCTCTCTCTCGTGTCTCTCTCTCTCGTCTCTCTCTCGTCTCTCTCTCTCTCGTGTCTGTCTCTCTCGTGTGTGTGTCTCTCTCTCTCGTATCTCTCTCTCTTTCGTGTCTGTCTCTCTCTCGTGTCTCTCTCCCTCGTGTCTGTCTCTCTCTCTCTCGTGTCTCTCTCTCCTCTCTCTCGTGTCTCTCTCTCCTCTCTCTCGTGTCTCTCTCTCTCGTCTCTCTCTCTCTCGTGTGTGTGTGTCTCTCTCTCGTGTGTGTCTCTCTCTCGTATCTCTCTCTCTCGTGTCTCTCTCTCTTGTCTCTCGTGTGTCTCACTCGTGCGTGTCTCTCTCTCTCTCTCGTGTCTCTCGTCTCTGTCTCTCTCTCTCGTGTGTCTCTCTCGTGTGTGTCTCTCTCTCGTCTCTCTCTCTCTCGTCTCTCGTGTGTCTCTCTCTCTCTCGTGTCTCTCTCTCTCGTGTCTCTCTCTCGCGCGTGTGTCTCTCTCGTGTCTGTCTCTCTCTCTCTCTCGTATCTCTCTCTCGTCTCTCTCTCTCGTGTCTCTCACTCGTGTGTGTGTCTCTCACTCGTGCGTGTCTCTCTCTCTCTCTCGTGTGTCTCTCTCTCTCTCTCTCTCGTGTCTCTCTCTCTCGTGTCTGTCTCTCTCTCTCTCTCTCTCGTGTGTCTCTCTCTCTCGTCTCTCTTGTGTCTCTGTCTCTCGTGTCTCTCTCTCGTGTCTCTCTCTCGTCTCTCTCTCGTGTCTCTCGTCTCTCTCTCGTGTCTCTCTCTCTCGTGTCTCTCTCTCGTGTGTGTCTCTCTCTCTCTCGTGTCTCTCTCTCTCGTGTCTCTCTCTCGTCTCTGTCTCTCTTTCTCTCGTCTCTGTCTTGTCTCTCTCGTCTGTCTCTCTCTCTCGTCTGTCTCTCTCTCTCGTCTCTCTCTCTCTCTCGTGTGTCTCTCTCTTTCGTGTCTCTCTCTTTCGTGTCTCTCTCTCTCGTGTGTCTGTCTCTCTCTCTCGTGTCTCTCTCTCTCGTGTGTGTCTCTCGTGTCTCTCTCTCTCGTGTGTCTCTCTCGTGTGTCTCTCTCTCTCTTTCGTGTCTCTCTCTCTCTCTCTT